GTTATGATTGAAATATGGTTTATGACAAACAGTCCGAGTCAAATTGAAAGCGACCATCCGAAACACTCCCTCCTAATTTGAGTATCTTTTTGTTAAACAATGTGGTAAGAACTAAAAATAATTGGGCCGTCAAATTAGCTTCCCTGTTTAGGTTTTAACCACATGCCTAAGTGCCAACAATGTCGATGTGGAAGGGGTGGGGGAAAATCCCAAAAAGGGAAAAGTGAAGACACTTCTTTAGTCTTCTTTTTACCCATTTAAAAAAAAAAAAAACACATAATATTGCTATTTGAAAATTAGGGAGAGAAGACTGGAAATATGGGAGTAGTTACGTAGTTGACAATAACAGTGGTATATTGTAAAAATGTAATCCGGGGGCATTGGCCCTTTGGAGATTTGTTAGGGTTGAAACCATTTGAAGATGACATTTCTAACTTCTTTCAATTGAAGTCTTCTTCCTTCTTCAATTATTTAACCACCACTACCTGGCTGGTCCTCAGCATGACACATCATTAGTTTATGTTGTGATCACACCGTCTTCTTCTTTCAATAATACTCACATTACATTTGTTAATTGTTTAATATATCTTACATAATACTTTGTCTTAAAATAAGAACTATACTCCTTAAATTACCATAGAAGAAACTACTAATTTATCATAATTAATTAGTTTAATTCAGTAGGTAAGGAAAATATATCGGTGAAATCGTCCATGAAATGGCACTTACATGAACGATCATATATATGAGCACCATTGAAATTACGTGATCATTTTATTGATTTGAAATGGAAAGGACTGAAAGAAGTATACATCTAAACTGAATTTAATAATGCCGATTGAGATTTAATATGTTCAATCGGAGAAGAAAAAATAAATATAAATTTTCAAGTTAGATGAGAACATTAGGGGGAAAAGTATCAAAGTCTTCGCCAATTATATATCATTAAGTGGTAATCTTCTTTAAAGAGGACAAACACCAGAGAAGTCATTGTTTATGATATAAACACCAGGGGAAGTTAAAACTTCCATTATTTATTACCATTTGATTAATTTTGGTTTGACTTATAGGGTAATTAGTGTTCCTTTTCATACTTGATTTGGTTCACATATCAAAAAAAAAAAAAACACACACAGAGTTTTTAATCAGTATCTTACAATTATGAAATAGAAAAATTCCGGTGCAATGGGGACGTGCACAAAAGGTAAAACTACAAAACACATATATATAATGCGTCTTCCATTTGGTAAGGTTGGTTCATCACGAAAGCTACAGCAACCCAAAGCTCCTAATACGATCATCCGTTCCTTTGAACAGCTCATATGACCATTGTGCCAGCTGCTAGCTACTACTTCCTTTTGGTAGGCAAAGCGCACACATTATTTCTTGTCATTAATCTTTTTCTTTTTTTTTTTTTAAAAAGATCGTATATCCGCTGAAAAAAAAAAAAATAGTCTCACGATGTTGTTTGATAGACTTTTTATAAGAGTTGTTATATTAGGGACGTAAATGATGTCACCAAAGATAAATCGGAGATACAAACCCTAAAGCTTCTAGAGTAAAATTAGAAGATCGATGAACATGCATAATAAAAATACAATTTTGTAATCATTTATTTTCTTTCTTCTTTAAAAATAAATGAAACAAATACTAATAATGTAGTTTAGTCTAAGAACGGGTTCTTTAACGACAAATGACAAAAGTGGAAATTACGTACAAAATCATCAACCAAACCAAACGTACGTCATTTATAGAGGGGGCCAAAAAATGCTGACACATAATGATGAATATAGGTATAAATAGTTTATGTAAAAATTGAGGTCAAATTAAATATTATTGATTAGTTTCTAGATTTTTGGAGGGGGGGAGGGGGGGGGGGGAATTCTGGGTTCGTGCAGATGTAACCTTCAAAGCATTGTTGGAATTTTGGAAGCACTCGATCAATCGTTAGTTTAAATAATGGATTTCCTCCTCTATTATTACACATACTGTTGGGCTTTTTCATCATAATTAAATGCATGCACAATTATTGCACTTTCAAACAAAACAATAATCTGGTAGTACTTAAGCGACTTTATATGCAAATGTAGAGCTACGTTTAATTTTCTATTCTTCTGAATTTTGAACCTTTTTCATGATTTAAATAATAATGATGCCTATTACTAGTATATAATAGGAGCCACGGCCAACGAAAGTGTGGGGATAATTTACGAGTCTAGCTCGGTTGCTGCTTTATGGACGAGTCCCATTTTTTTAGATCCGTGACAAGACAAAACATGGGGAATCTCTTAGGCTTTGTTTGTTTCTTTTTTTATAATATTTTCGGATTAATATATTAATAACTATCCCATTTTAACATATTTTTTTACATTTTTAATATACCTTTTTACATTCTTAATACAAAAAATACCTAAAAACACATCCTAAAAAAACGGAACAAACAAACCCTTATTCTTCTTCTTTGATTTTCTTCTTCTTTTTTTTTTCTTTTTTTTCTTATTGGGTTAGCCAATATGTAATTCCTGGTTTTGGGAATATGTGGTGATGGGCATAACTAAGGACATTGAATATTCTTGCATATATAAACGGCATGAGTTCAAAATTAAAAATAGTATCGTAAGTTGGTACACCTCATTTAAACTTGTTATTTAGAGCGATGTAATTCTATCATTTTGTTTGCAAACTATTGCAGAGAAGTTCGAGTTCCTCTTTGAGAAAATAATAAAAAACTAATGTTAGATGCCAAAAAAAAAAAAAAACTAACAACACTACATTACTGACTTCATAACTTTGGCTTGGCTTTTAATTAACCCGCGGGTGAGACACCAGTACTCCGCCACTTAAAGCAATGCACCGAATGGTTTTTCATCTGTTGGTAATTACAATAGCTTTTTTTGTGCTAAAATATAATTCTTGTATTAAATTTAAATTTTATAACAAAAAACTGAATTGTTGATTTGTGATCCAAGTAAGTACAATAGAATTAACAGTTTCTCCCTAAACCTTTCATTGTGTCATGGTGACCATTCGAGATTTTGGACATTCATTCCACTCGAAGGACACTAAAAATGGTTACTATCTTTACTTTTTTTTGCACGAAAACGTCTAACTTACAAGTTTTCAACCCAACCCATAGTTATCCTTTTTGAATGTTTATTAAATTTTATAGGACTTCCAAAGTTCAATGAACCTAAACATTGAAATCTCCTTGGACATTGATAATACTGATGAATATTTGAGATGAAAACGTAAGAATGTAACAGTTGATACTTTCATCACAACAATTGATTGATCGAAAAAAGAGGTCAATAATTAATAAGGCCACCGGGGAAATTGGAAGCACCAATAAGATTCCCAAATCTATATATGGCCGCCGACTAAGCGCGCTTCACCGACCCCGACCCAATCAATCTCTCTTTGTCCATGTACGCCTCCCATTCCCAAAGTCGCGCCCCCATATATTCATTCATATTTTAATGACTTCGTACAAATACTTTGCACCCAATAATTTTGTGATGTGGCACCAAGAAACTCAGTTTTATCCACTTTTGGGTTTTGTTTTTCTAAAATAAAATTAAAAAAAAAGAAGAAAGAACATCTATCCGCTTTGCTATCCACATAGGAAGGGAAGCCATTAATTTCAGGTGCCTTTTTGACGAATTGCATTTCATCTCATTTCGGCTATGGCGGTTCAACTTCAACATTTTTATGTTTCCCTTTTCCCTCAACTTATGATTACTCAAATTCATTATACGAACTAGTGATGGAATTAACTTGTTAAGTTTCTAAGTCTTCTTTTTCTCTTCTTTTCTTTTATTTTCGCTATCCATCAAACATGCTTGATTATGATGGAATCTCGTCGAACTAAATATTTTTTTTCTACTAAATTAACCAATAGACAAATAAATTATAAAATCATATACTTTTTCGCTCTGAAATTATTGATCAGTTTGGATTTTGAGTAACTCCAGTGAGGACGTGTGGTGAAACCAAACTCAGTTGGGATTCCCACCATGCAAATTGAATTCCCAGTCAATCAAGCAATAGATTGCAACCGAAAGTACGTATCACTCACACACTTGGCTCATAACCAGCATCTTAGCAGAACCATACATATCTAATCCCTAATTCCTCCCTATGCTACATTGCGACTAGACCAAATTCAATAAATATAGCAATGTACTCATATTACCAGATTGGATTTTTTTTTTCTTAAAGCTGTTGCTGTCAATCAAAATAAGTGCCAACATCTCACAATAATGTTGCCAAACACGACGTCTTTGATGCACAAAAGTGAAATTTCAGCACCACGGAATAATATATATATATATAAAAAAAAGGTGGTGCTTTATTTATTAATAAGAAGAGATACTGTTAATTTCACAACCAAGTGTTTTTGTGTATAGCTTGTAAAAGTGATACTATTAATTGATTTGAAAAGGGTCAGCAATCCAAGTAGACCTCTATTTTACAGACCACAAAAAAATTGAAGTGAATTTTAGATGACTGGAGTTACAGGAACTGCCACATTGGAAGGACCCCATACTTACGATGCGTTCTAATCCTTAAATTCTGATGTGGCAGTTTGTAAACCAAGTTTCAGTTAAATTAATTTTCCCCCATGATGCTGGAAACAATTAAGAAAAAGACTACTCTTCATATATAATTTTTTTTAAAAAAAAAAAAAATTGGAAAAATCGAAGATGCTTTAGAGAAATCTTATCGGGAATGAGAAGATTTATTCCCAGATTAATTATCATCCATCCATCACGTCTGCGGGTGTAAAAATTGCTAAAAAAAATGACAGAAAAATGTGCTTCATTCGTGCTTTGTTACTCTTGTCGTTACGTCGACGGCGACTGAAGCTTGACGTTAATAAACAGCAAAAGTAAGAAAAAGCAATTTATGTGGAAAATGTGAAGCAGATAAATCAGAATATCTGCTTGAAGAAGACTTTATCATTGATCAAAAACAGAAAGGTAGCTAGGAACTTGGAGGTGGGACAATGTTAAGTCGTTCACTATCAAGATCAAACCTGTCGGCGCGATCAAATTCTTTGGAAATGTTAATGGATCGCAGAATTACTGTGCCCTTAACAAAAATGTTCGTGGATCATTCTGTGATTTGTGGAATTTGTCAGCATGAACAGAAGATCAAAACTTCGAGATCAAGTAGCACCACTGATGACAAATAAAATGGAGGAGCGGAGGGTTGCCCTTTTTTTTTTTTTTAATTTTTCTTTTTATAACAATGAAAGAGGCAAATTTCCTAATATCATATCAATGCATTGCTCAAATCACATCATGTTTTAATCACGATTTGACCCATTGTACTCTTCCCGACCTTGTGCAGCTAGTGCTAAATAATCAGTTACAAAATTAGTCTCTCGAAAGACATGTTTGATTTCCACCTCTCAATCTCGCTTCATCATCTTCCATATTTTCTCGAAAGACATGTTTGATATCCACCTCTCAATCTCGCTTCATCATCTCCCATCCAGTCACAGGGCATTCCATTTCTTTTATCCTTATACTTCTTCCTTTTAACATCATTCAGATTCCAGACCAATAACAGTAGGTTAAAGGAGTCATTGCAACTAGCTTAATAGAATCACCTTCGTTTTTCATTCATAATATCAACATAGATTATCATAATCCCGTCATTTTATTTGCAGAAGTGAAAGGAATTTTTACAACTTTTACCAAACCGCAAATAAGTGAACACGAAGGGGAATGAAGCATCTGGGTTACATGACTTGAGAGTACCCCTCATTTACAAGTCATAATCTGTTAACCCATAATTGCAGTGACTAAGCAGGAACGATATCTGGCTCCAAAGGTGTTGATCCCCCATCCTCTGTCGACTTACTATCAGAAGCTTTATCCTCTACTTCATTTTCTTCGTCTACAAACCCTTGCATGAACTTATCATAGTTTGTGGGTTCACTGCTCTTAAATGGCCGTTCACCCAATACACGGATCAAATCGTCCTGATGTAATACTTCCTTTTCAAGTAGCAACTCAGCTATTTGCGCAACTTGCTCTTTGTGCTCCTCAATCAGCTGTACAGTGCGCTCGTATGCCTTGCCAACCCATTCTCGGACTTCATTATCAATAATTGCTGCTGTCTTACTGCTGTAAGGCTTGCTCATTTCAAACGAATCCTCCCTTTGAGGAAAAGAAAGCAGACCGACTTTTTCACTGAAGCCATATACGGCCACTTGGGCATAAGTCATTTTGGTGACCTTCTCCAAATCATTTTGCGCTCCGGTTGATATCTTCCCGAGTAGGACCTGGTTCAAAAGACAATCATAATCAGAAGCAAGTTGAATCATTTAAATTGCATCTAAGACAGTGAGGCAGCAATATGATTCACTGAAAAGGGCAAATTGGCACAACTACTGAGAAGAATGCATCAGGAAGGATATATGAGTCAACTTATGATGATCAAGAGGTTTTAGTTAAGATACCATCATCAACAGGTCTCTAGTTAATGGTTAAGTAGTTCAGTTAAAAATACTTGTCAGCATCTGCTGGGTCATGCATTTTTCACAGCTTAAAGTCAGGATGAAGTGACAATGATGGCTACAAAAATCTAAAATGAGTGTAGATAGTTTCAACTTTCAATGAGGGAGAGAACAAAAAACAGCAATTTTAGTTCAGTCACAGTTATATTTACACACCAACTTGGTGCTTTCCCTAAATTAAGGTGCCACAGAGAAGTACGCCCATGAAAGTATCATCAGTACAATCTCATTTCAATAGCCCAACAATTCTTTTAACACGCACTAACCGAGATTCCAAAAAATTACCTGTTCAGCAGCTCGACCACCAAGTGTCATGCATGTCATGTCAAACAACTGTTCTTTGGTCATCAAAAGATTCTCATTTGGAACATACTGAGCAAAACCAAGAGCTGCAGTACCACGAGGAACAATTGTCACTTTCAGCAAGGGTTCAGCATACTCCAGAAACCAACCCGCAACAGCATGACCAGATTCGTGGAAAGCCACAGTTCGTCGTTCTGACGGGCTAATAACCTGCACAGATGAAAAGCATTAGTCTACATTTTCACCAAATATGGACCTCTTAACATTTTTCCACAAAATACGTAGCACGATAGCCGTGGTCAATGAACTATCCAGGGAAGGAAATGCTAATTTTTAGACTAAAGTGATTAACGGGGTGGGAGGGTTGGGTGGGGTGGTTAAGGGATTAGGATGGGATGGTTATTACCAGGAGATCGAGGGTTCGATTCTCGCTTGGGCTATCCAAATCATTATTTATAAAAGAAAAAAAGACTAGTGATTAAAAAACCTGAAACAGAGTCAGAATTCCTTAAGAATATCAAATTGGGATCTCTGCTTTTATCTATATAAAGAAATGCATCATATTCTCAAGTCTAAAATTTCCCGGACTGCAGTTTGAAAGACGGAAAATAGCAAAAGCAGGAAAAGAGACTAAAATGATAAATGACTCAAACAACAAAAAACACTATGTACCTTATTCTTCTTCTCCAGGCCCCCAATGACCCTATCTATTGCCGCCTCAAAATGTTGTATGGTAATAAGAGTGCTCTCGTTCCTTGCAGCAATAAGAGCAGCTTCATTACAAACATTAGCAATATCAGCTCCAGCAAAACCAGGCGTCAGAGCAGCTAGTCTTTGTGAATAATATGAAGCATCCTGGTCAAGCTTTAACTTCTTGAGGTAGATTCTAAATATCTGGTCCCTTCCCTTGATGTCAGGTTTGTCTATGCTAATTTGACGATCGAACCTACCAGGCCTCAGCAGTGCTTTGTCTAAAATATCAGGCCTATTTGTGCCAGCAAGGACAACAACACCGGCAGTGGTGCCAAATCCATCCATTTCCACAAGCAATTGATTCAGTGTACTTTCACGCTCATCATGACCCCCAGAGAAGCCCCCACGCCCTCTTGCTCGACCAATTGCATCTATCTCATCAATAAAGATTATACTAGGGGCACACTGTCGAGCCTCTTGAAATAAGCTCCTGACCCTTGCCGGTCCTACTCCAACAAACATTTCCATGAAGTCTGAACCGGAAATGGATAAAAAGGGAACATTGGACTCCCCTGCAGTTGCTTTAGCAAGAAGTGTCTTTCCAGTTCCTGGAGGCCCGACAAGAAGAGCTCCTTTAGGAATTTTGGCCCCTAACGCCTCATACTTTTTTGGGTTCTTGAGGAAGTGAACAAACTCCATAATTTCTTGTTTTGCCTCATCGCACCCAGCCACATCTTTAAAGTAAACCTAACAGCACAAAAGTCAGCAAGTCAATTACTGGCCCAAGAAAATTACAGACCAGAAAGAAACCGGTAATTCAACTAATTAACCTTATTTTTAGAGTTCTTATCCATCTTCGTGACATGTGCCTTCCCAATGTTAAAGATTCCACGGCCACCCTTCCCACCAGGACCACCAACACCCAAACCACCCTGCTGCACTCTCCTTCCCAAGTAAAAAAGAGCTCCTAAGATCAAAATGGTAGGTCCGAACTTCATCACTTCCTGTAACCAATTCATCTCAGCAGCATAGATCACAGGAACATAGTTGTGAGGATCAATTCCTAGTGCCTCCTGGGCCTCCTCCAGCTTCTCCTCGAAGGATTCAACACTTCCAATGGTGAAGTAATACTTATAGCGACTCCCAACATTTCTAGGAGTACCAACTTGAGCCCCATCATCTGTTGTTCTATTAGAAGCAGACTGTGGATCTTTCACGTACACTTTTGCAACTGATTTGTTAGATACAACAATTCGATCAACAAGACCAGGTTCAAGAAGTTTGGTCTTAAACTCTTGAAAGCTAATCTGAGAGTACAAGGAAAGAGAAAAGGAGTTATTATGGAAGCACACAAATTCTATATACAATGTGGTTCCAAAGATCATTGTTCACTAAAAAATATGTTTAAAAACTCACATAAATTGAAAAGCTTGCCACAGATTTGTAATGGGTTTGTCTTTTGCACATTCAAAATGATAGCAGCAAAGATAATTTTAACAACTCCAAATGGAGCTAAAGAATTGATTGGATCAATACAAATTATGCCCACAAAATCTCACGTAATTTCATTTGCTCTACTTTTTTAGAGAAAAATGCAGATGTGAAGGATTCAATCTCGGAAACATTTGGTGCTTATAATTCATTTCATTTACTCCTTTAGTTTCAAACCACTTCTTGTTTTTCTTTGGTGCGTTATTAGGTATAGGGAGCCACGGGTAAATCTGCAAACTTTGCTGAATTTAAGGAAGCACAAACATACCTGCTTCTGCTCACGGGGATTCAAAAGCATCGATGGGAGGACAAATCCAATAAACAAGAGCGGTGTGACTAAATGCTGATATTGCTTTGAAAAGTTATCTTGGGAGTTTCCTTGTTCCCCTCCACTGTTTTCATCTAGCAAAAGCATGATAGTTCTCAGTCCCAAAACTTTTTATGACTGAAATTATCAAATTGTACCAAAAGACAACCAGATATCCCACTTTACAAACAACATTATAAGAGTTAATAATATAGGAATACTTATTAGCCACAAAACTGGTTTACCAAACATTTTAACCTCCGAGGGAAGTCTAGCATAATGAATAAATACTACGAGTAGCAAGACAGAGAAATTAAATTCTGCAAAAAGAAGGAAGTACCATACCTTTGGCTTCAGATTTTTGTTTGTTCCCTTTTGGAATTTCTTTCTTTTCCTTAGGAGAATAGTTTTCATAATCTATCAAAACCACATTAGCAACAAATAAAAGTTTGAGACGCTACCCAAAGCCAGCAAAACAATCTCTTTCAAGGAAAAAAGACGGCATAATTTAAGACAAAAAATGCATTAAAAGACGTGGGTTTCTCTTACTTCTTTTCTTGGGTGCTTCATTGCAGAACAATCTTCGAAGCCGCGAATTTGCAAATGCCGTTTTAGACTCGGACACAAATGCGCTACCAATACTCTTCGTTGCACCTCTGATCGATGTTAAATAGCTTCTCGCGAATCCTAGTCCCGAATCAAGGGGTGCAATACTAACATTCTGCGACGCCAAATCATTCGAAATAGCCGACCTAGCTCTGTAAAATCCTCCAACGGGAAAACTCTTCTGCAACCACCCAGAAAACCTCAAAACCTACATCATTAAAACTCAAAAGAAAAAAAGGATAATGACGGTTCGATGAGCTTTCGTGATTGCTTACGTTGTTATTCCATGCGGATCGAGAAGAGTTATGGAGAGCGCGAACAATTCGTGTGTACATGATTGCTTCGACGAGCGAACATGAAATTCCGTTCAGCTAAACAACAACCCTAGGACGATTTGTGCACGTCGTCGTTTTCTTCAGAATATGAAATTAGGGGTTTCAGAAAATTTCAGGAATAGATGAATAAATTAAGGAGGGAGACCTAAATGGAAGTACGTCAGGAATGGCGTTTGAAATTTGGTACAGTGATATAAGAAGTGCGAAGAAGAATAAGGTACGGTAACAACAAAACATACGATGTCGTTTCTGTACTATACTCGAACCAATTAGGTCGGTCGAGCCCCATATAGTCGACAAGAACGTAATTCTCCCTATGTTGACTTTTGGTCTCCATGCCCTAATCAACAAATTTTTAGTCGTCAGTTTTTACATCTGATTTATTCATCTTGACGTATCGCGATAACTATACAAAAATGTATCCTTGTCAACTTATCTGGTAGACTGTAAAAATTGATAACTTAACTGATAGATAGTTATTTTACACAATAGTATACTAGTCAACTTGTTTTAGAGTCGACAATTAAATTGACAAAATCCTATTTTCTAAAATTCCTATCTGTTGAAGTCATCTCCGGCTATATATTTCAATGAAAAAGTCGATGAAAATTATTTTTGCACATTTTTTTTCTTGAATAAAAGATCAATAAATTATTGTAGAATTTGATGAATAAATAGACGGTATCCTTTTCTAAACAATTATCCACTTGTTGATTTCATCAACAATCCAACTCAACGGTGCTCTTTTTACATAATTATCACTAATATTTATCTCGAATTTCTTGATAAACCATGACAAGAACACCTATTTTCACCTTTAACCGAAATTTTGAAAGGCGTTAGGGCAAGTTTGATGTTGTCTTTCTCAAAAGGTGGATATCGTGTTTCTTCTTCCCATCGTCTGTAATTGCTTCAGTGATTCATTTGATTGTGAATAGGACAAATTAAACTGTTTAAAACCTGTTTACAATTTTCCAGCCGCCAACTTGTACATAGAGCTATAGTTCTTCATGAACAAGTGTACCGGATTTTTATTACTCGTCGATAAGTCATTTTCACACACTTATCTAAAATTCGGAGGTTAAGTTAAAAAAAAAAAATACTCCCTCCGTCCCATAATTATTATCCAGTTTTGATTTTCATTTCTAGTTCAAATTGTACTAAAAATGAAATCTCAAACTGGACAATAATTTTGAGACAGAGGGAGTAATAATAATAATAAAAAATCCTTTGAACAGTTCCTTTTTTCATTACAACTTTTTACTCATCGACTTGAACATTGGGTTATAGCAGTCACAAACTTAATTGGGCTTTAAAGTTATGGATACCACCCAAATTTCTTCTAAGTGATGGTCCAATGAACACGTAAAAGGGCCCATGAGCAGAGCGATGTGATCGGACCATTTTAGTATTCGAGGAAAGAGATAATTCCCAAGGCCCCAGCCTCCCTTCCCGGCCGCCGCCGTTAGATCGAATTCGACTGGTTCGAATCGCCGGACTTGATAACGATCTGAAAATTGGGGAGGCAAATTGTACCGGAATCGTCCTATAAAGAGTCAGTTAGAAATGGAGAATAGTATCAGTAATTGTCTCTCCGTCTCAGCTTCAAACCTAACCGCTCTTCTTGTGATTGGGATCGTCACAGTATTTGTGATCCGGGTTTTGTACGTCCTACACCGGAGTGCCCGGCCCCGTCATCCCAATTCATCAAGCCAGCAGCATCTCAGTACCCTGATCGTTCTGGGTTCCGGCGGTCATACGGCAGAAATGATCAATTTGTTGAATGTTCTTCAGAAGGAGAGATTTAAGCCACGGTATTATATTGCCGCTGCTACTGACAATATGAGTCTTCAGAAGGCCCAAGTTCTGGAAAACTCTTTGCTTGATGATCAGGGAGGAAGGGAAAAAGTTGTGGGATCAGCTCATTATATGCAGATCTATCGAAGCAGAGAGGTGGGTCAATCTTATCTAACTTCTGTTGGTACCACTTTACTTGCAATAGCTCATGCATTGTGGCTGATGATTAAGATTAGGCCTCAAGTGATTCTGTGCAATGGACCTGGAACGTGTATACCTATATGTGTGATCGCTTTTATTTTTAAGGTTTTTGGGATTAGGTGGTCGTATATTTTCTATGTTGAAAGCATTGCCAGGGTAAAGAGGCTTTCTTTGAGTGCGTTGCTTCTCTACAAACTGCGTATGGCTGATCAGTTGTTTGTGCAATGGCCGCAATTGAAGAACAAATATCCTAGAGCTCATTATGTTGGCCGTCTTATGTAACCTGTGTTAACTTCTGCATTTATATGGAATTGGTTGATGATGAATTGGGGGTGAAAAATGGTTTTGACTTTGGCTAAATTGTTCTTGTTGATATCAAACATTTGATGATTTTAGTGTGTAACTTGGATAGGATGGCTTTGGGATTGCAAATGCCAGGATGCCTGTTTTGGGATTGAAAATTAGGATTGCAGTTTGATCCGGTAGACAAAGTGAGGGGTATTTTCAACTTGGGAAGAAAGCCATGTTAAGTTGTTAATCGTTAAGGCCAATATATAGGAGTGGTGAGTGGAGAAGATTCATTAGTTATGTTGGGTAGACAAAGTGAGGGGTATTTTCAACTTGGGAAGAAAGCCATGTTAAGTTGTTAACCGTTAAGGCCAATGTATAGGAGTGGTGAGTGGAGAAGATTCATTAGTTCAGTAGTTCTGTTCTCAGTAGTTCTGTTCTAGTTTTTCTTTACACTTCTGCTTTTGAGTATACTGTTATTCAGAATTTTATACCGTACTGTATAATCAACTTTCAACTTCGAAAAGGGGTTGCATAAGGCGATATAGTTTGCCATGCAACTGGGAATTGAACAGTGGAACATGATAGTGCCACAACCCATTCCCCCTTGCTCAGTTCCAAATTAAAAAACTGGATTTTGTCATGTTACCCTGACTTTTCATATTCATATCATAATTATTTACCATTGTCTATAATATGCACTACAGTTTTTCCGGAGCAAATTCGTGTTATTTTCTCTTCGTCTGACTGTGGTTGCGGAAACAAGTGTATCTTTGACATATACAGCAGATATCTATGCAAGTACAAGCCTACAAGGCACAGTATCATAGTATCATTGCCTTACTGATGCCATAACTTGGCAGATATGATTATAGTCGGGACTGCCAATATTAGCCAGTAATCATCAAATTACACTAAAGCTTCAACAAAATTACTTCTTCTTCAAAAAAAAAAAAAAAACAAAAAGAAAAAGAAAAAAAAAGTAATACTTGTAAATTCCTGAGCAAATAAAATTAAATTGCTCTAGTATTTTCAGAAGGAAAATGTATAATGTGATGATAAGCTAAAGATACTTTCATGTATTTATCTTCATTGTAAACTTCAAAGCCTAAAGTACAGAGTCGGGAGGCCATGAAATAGAAGGTGGTGAAGATGGAGAAGATTGAAAAGAAGAGGAGGAGGAGGAATTGAACCAAGTCCCGGTATTCAATGGATTACGAATCATGAAGGGCACCACATCTTCAAGCAAGCCTCCTTTTGAACTGAAGTTGTGCTCATCTGTGCCGTCAAATTCATTCCCGTAGTCTCCAACAATGGCTGCAGCTGTTGGTAGTACAGGAATGCCGGTGCCATTCGTGACGTTCCCTGTGCTTTCCTCTGCTTCCTCAACAATAACATTATTCTTGTTGGCTTCTGGTTTGTCCTCATGCCAGTTAGGACTTGTGCTAGGGGCTAACTTCCTCTGTTTTTTCAGGGGTGAAGAAGTCATGGGGTGCTGTTGTTGTTCATCTAGTAGGAAAAACGGGTAAGCAAAATGGAGGTGAAGGCCCTCGTAGGTGATGATTATGGTATCAGGATCATCACTGCACCGTTCTACCTGCTTTTTTGCAGCACACCTTGGGTTTGTACACCTGTAATAACTCCTGCATAACAATGCAACTTTCAAAGTTACAATCTAGAAATCGCACATCATGGAAAATATGCCAATTTCATTGAGCATACCTCGGGTTTGGGCTATTCTTGATAGATTTCTGGCCATATTTTCTCCATTTATAGCCATCATCAGACAATGCCTTATTGTCGCAACTCTTTATCCTTAGAGTATACCTATAGTTATCATCGTGACTTCCCTTGCCCGAGTCTCTCCCCGATGATGAAATTCTGCATGCATAAACAAAAAAAGAGTTATCGATCCGGTGGAGAAATTCAACGTATCAAGCACGGCAGATACAACTGTGTACAATCAGAGAGTGATAATGGATTATGGACCTGGAATGTGAAATATTATCAGGTTGGTTTCTATATCTGGTCATGGAGAAAGCATTTCCTGTATCTTCTGAAGTTGGGGCTGAGCAAAATGCAGAGACATCCCAGTTTAAAGTAGATGAATAATTGGAAGTGTTGCTAGAGTTGGATTGCATTCCCATTCTTGGTACGAAGAATAAAGGAGATTCATCATCAAGAAGCTCCCTGACAAGTTCATCTGCTGCAGACCAATCTGACCAAGCAGGACAGCTCTTAAATTCTTCCATTGGGAATCTCCTTACTTTAATGATTCAGTTCAGCATTAATGTATGATTATAATGCTAACTTTTTAGCTGGTAAAGAAGGAGATGAAGTGGTTATGGAGAGAGGGAGGCTTAGGAATATGTTTAAAAGGAGGAAGAGAGTGGAGCAGATGGAGGAGAAGTTGAGAGCTATTCAGATAAGTTCTTTTGCTGCTTTCTTTCTTTCTACTTTTCTAGTTGAAAAAGCACGGTTTGGTAGTTGCTACTGTGCTCTAGATTTATCGTATTCTTTTGGAGATTTTCAAAACAAAAACTTGTAAATTAGTATGTTTTATTGTTCTTTTTCGTGTACCACATTATTTAACAAGTTGACTTCTTTAATATTCTGCTGAGGTTAACACGGTCTCATGCATTAAACAAAGGATCAATCATTCCTCGTATACAAACAAAAGATGTCTCATGCACATTCGCTTCAGTATCCAATTCTTTATGAAACAAGGTCAAGATTGTAGAGATTTTTTAAATGCGAGTGGTTATGATTCATTCATTACTATATCATCATTTCTTCAATATCGAAAAACATCAACATGAACCATAGAAATCATACACAAAACAATATTCCGGTTTTTTTTTTCCTTCTATTTGGGTTCTTTTTCATCTTCAACCGATCATATTTGGTTAAATGCTCTATATTCTTTTGCATCTTGTTGTGTTTGTAATCTTGCTTTGACGAGATGGATGCAGAAGAAGAAGGTAAAGGTGGACCAAACTACTTTACCTGATCATAACCTCTGCACTAACATTGTTTTATGTAGTAGATTAGTATTGCTTAATTCGAGGGCGAAGGTCAACCACTTAAAGTGGTTCATTCTTCAAGGGATTACTTCAACCTATATATCCTGATATTTGTTAAATTTCTCTGCAACATATACATTGGAGGAAAAAAAAATTCATATTTGCCTTACTCAAACTAGTGAATGAAAACATGGCACTCTGTCTTATAATACATTAGCTCAATCAACACAGTGGTCGATTGAGAGTAGTCTCTGCTATCAATGATCCCTCCCCATGTGGGAAATGGGGAATAGATTTTGACTAGATATGTTCTATTTTTGGATGAATGTGGAAGGAAGATGACAAGATGAAGTAAAATTACTGCACATTTTTACGGGTTTTTTTTTTTCAAAATAGCAATAGGCTAGGACAAAATCGATCAGCAGCAGCAAATAACAACTGCATGTGGGATATGAATTATATTTTGTTGTATGTTCTACCTAACACATAAAATACGTCAAACTAACTAACCCAAGCGCAGTAATTCTAAAATGTTTGCAAAATTCTGTTTATTTTACCTTCAAAATTTTCAGCAATCAAAACCTTCAAATGATGATCCATGCTATACTCTCTATCATGGGTCATGGATGAAAACCATACGTCTGAATTGGGAAAACAACCGCACATCATGAGAAAAAAATATCAGTGAAAATGACTTTTCATCATCCAAGTAAGTTGAATCTATCTCGCTGACAAAATAAGGATGTTTCTTTCGTTGCCATGGGGAATCCTAAGAAAAACAACGTTTTTTACCATAATGATTCTGATTAACTACAAGTTATACAATACAATTGAAAAATGGAGACAGTAATTTCAGAAACCTAAAGAGATGTATATTATCTACTACGTACAAAACTTATGTGATTATTATTATAATGTTTAAAACGAAAATAACTATAACGACTTGAGAGTAATCAATCCCAATGGGTCGGCAAATCATGAAGACGATCTTTCAACAGCTAAAACGTAATTATCCTTGAACCAATTTTTTTTTTATTTTTATTTTTTTAGTGAAACAAAGAGAAACGGTACTAAAAATAAGTGAAAGATTAGAAAGGGCTGATTGGGAGGTTTTGTCCCATTAGGGTTGACTAATGGGGGGAAAGTCCTATAAGCTACGGCATTGAAGGAAAAGAACAAAAGGTTGACTGCTGGCAAAAAAGAGAAAGTGTGTGGGGGGTTTAAGTAAGGTTGAGCAGCTGCAATTTATGAGCGTCATCTGGTTGTGACTCTTGTGTTAAGTGATGTGTGTGGAAGAAGATAGACCGCCCCCAATGGCTCACAGGTTAAGAAGGAAAAGAAAAAAAAAAAAAAAAAAGCAAAGAAATGGAAACCCTTCTGACTCACTGACTTCCCGACCAAATCTTTGTGGAAGTTTATGCAAAAGTCAACCTCCCCGTATTTTTTTAGTGTGGACCTCTGTGGGTAATTTTTTTATTTTTTAAAAAAATAATAATAATAATAATAATATCCCATCTGGGGGTATTGTCTCGAGTCTCGTCCCAAGATGTTGCTAGCATTAAAGTGGGTGACCCACGCGTGATGGATCAAACCATGGATTCATGTGGAGGCGATGGTGAACTTGGAGCTGCTGCTGAAGTGTGAAGATGATCGTCGGTGTGTTTACCTTTTGGGCTTCGGACCTCTTGTAAAGGATGGCTTTTTTGAGGCTTTGAAATTGCGGTCTGGTTTGGCAATTGATTTTCCGTGTAGCTTCAGTTTAGTTTTGGGAGATTCCCCTCAATTTCTTCAAATTTGTAACAATACATACACTTTTGCTCCAAAACATCAGTGTAATCAAATCATCGATAAAAACTTTTACCAAAAAAAGAAAAATGCTACTCCCTCTGTCCCACAAAAATAGTTTACATTGAGTTTTGAGTTTTGTATTATTTTTAGTACAAATTTAAAAACTCAATTTGGACTATTTTTTTGAAACGGAGATAGTTGATAAAATGAAACGCTAGAGAATAAAAAGTGTTTGGCAAACATTTCGATTCGGATATAAATCTACCATGTTGAAGCCTATTGAATTGAAACAGAGAGCAGCAAACTTAAAGCTACTAGATACCATATCAAAGGAGTCACCTCAACTTGAAAATTTGTAGTGGTTTGATAATCGACCGCATGAGATTTTATAATAGTTGGAATACGATTTGATTGGAGTTTTCTATTCACGTAATGTATTTAAGTTTTAACTCCTTTTATTGTAAAATAAATAAATAGTAAGGGAGAAGGCATTAAAGTGGGACTTGGACATTTGAAGAAAAAAGTACCTTTAATATCTCTAATAAAACGATATCCTCCGCTTCTTATTCATAGGTCCACTCGTATGCTAAAAGAAATAGAAAATAGCTTCTTGATTGGTGTTAACACCAAACATGCAACGATAATTATAATATTTATTAAAAGAGTTTTGTCTTCTGAAAAAAATTATTTAGCCAAATAATAATACTTCCGTCATATATTGCAGTAATATATACCGAAAAGAAATGGAAAATTGCGAAGACTTAAGCGTATTTTTACCTTTGAAGGCATGGTTTGGAGAGTTGGAAACGGAGCAGGAACATCAAAATATCAAATTAGATTGTGAAATAAAGAAGTTAGCGGAGACTCCGGCGACAAAGAATAAAGTAAAAACTTTCTTCTCCAGTCAACCTTCTAACCAATGTTGACTGATATTTTTTTAAACCTTTTTCGTCGTCACTGACGACAGTTTCCGTCAATCTTCATTTCAACACCATTCATTCTAAGCGTAATTTGGTCAAATGAAAAGCTTTGTACACTATACATCACAATTACCCAATCTAATCAAATTAATTCATAATTTCAGGATTCGTATCGCCGCGTGAATTACGTCACGCTAGACCGACGCGGAGTTTTGCAGCTTCACCTTATTCATTAAAAAATCATCATACTACAAAGAGAAAGGGAGGAATGTTCAGATTAACTTCAAAATAACAAAATGCACTCATAAAATTATTTTAAAACCAGGCATAGAATTTTTCGATTTGAGCACAATTTGTACAAAAATAAAAAATCTAAATTGAATAAACACTCGGGTTCAAGGGAGCATATATGTAGTTTATTAAAAGAAAGAAACCAATGAGAGAAAAATAAAATTTCATTTATAAGATAAAATCTCATGTGTGATTTTCTAATACACTTTTCAAAAACTATCTTAATAAAATCATGAAAAAGTCCTCAATTTTAATGAAAGTAGCCAAATAACTCCATCGTTTTTCTTGCCTCCTTTTTTATTACTAGCTACTTTGGTAAATGAAATACATTGGCCTAAATCCAAAATTTAGTAGTATATGAAATGAATTGGCCCAAATCCAAAAATATATACAATGTATGATAGTAGTATGTATATGTATGGAATGCAATGTTGCTTTACGAACGATATTCAATTTATTTATTTACTTTTTATCAAACTTTTATTTTCTGCTTTCAACAAATAATTTTGTCCATTCGTATTTGATTAAGCATGAATTTTTGTCCCGTACATCGCACTGGTTAGATATCTGGTTATAAGGTAAGAGCGACAATGACAACAAACAAATATAGAGAATAATCTGTTGCTTGACACACCCGCCCTAAAATCCCAATCAATAATCCATATGCGATAATTAGGAAATTGGGAGGAAGTTTCCCGCTCAAAACTCCCCCAGTGGATGGCGCCGCCAAATTTGAAAAAGAACACGTCAAGAATCACGACCGGGTCTAGCCGTAGTGGGCCACGGCCGGAGCACCGAACGTGTTATGTGTCCTCCGATCTATCTTCTACGACTACTAAACCAAAAGTCGGTGCTTAACTGTCACTCTGCTTTGCTTATTATACCCCATCTATTAAGTCTTCTTCATTTCTTCACACATCCTTTCTTTCCTTACTCTGCTTTCAATTCTCACTCAAATTCTCTCTATTCCTTTTTTGGGAATCTTCCATCTTCCTTGTTTTTGTTGGGATTTTCGATTCACTTCACAAATTGTCAATTGAACTGCTAGATTTAATGGCGAGAGAAATGGACACGTATGACTCCGAGGAAGAATGCACAACTCCAAGGAACCCGGAATTCAGAATACCTCCGCTCCTGGAGTGTCCACCGGCTCCCAGAAAGAAAATGTCAGAGAGCCGAATCAAGCGACAGCCTCCAAAGAATGGTTTCTTCCAACCACCTGGTCTTGACAAGTTTTTCGCCATGGAGTTAAGGTCTTCAAGAGAAGAAGCTTGTGCTTAATCTATAGCTTTTAGCTCAGCCAGCTTCCTCATTCCTTTTAATATATACATAGTTTTCTGGAGTCAAAGTTTTGAGTTTGTTTTATGGGTGAAGGTTTTTTGGTTTAGGCTGTTCATACATTTCTATTTTGTCGATTGATTTGGTACTTATTTAGGACACTAGATCCGACTGAGCTGCAATTGCCGCATTAGTCTTGGTCATGGTCGACCTTGCGGGTTTTGAGTTTAGCATAGTAAATTAAATATAGCATTACTTGTGATTGATATTTAGTATTGCCTTCTTGTTGGTTGTTTTTCTTCTTGGAAAGATATATAGAGATAAAATTCCTCCTCAAAAGACTTCCTAATAACAAAAGGGGGGGATGGTTCCCAGTAACTTGTAAGCTCTTCAATGTTTTCAGTGATTCAGTAATTTCTTTTCTTCAGGGGTTGTTCTTAATCGCTTCGCTGGTTCATTGATTATTACACAGATTCTTGAACGAGACGTTATTTGCCCTCCAGTTATTATACCATCTAAAAAATAGGCATTGAAAAAAAGTATACCAGGAGATACTGGATTTGGATACAGGATTGTGTGTGTATCCCATTCTGTCCTTGCACTTTATCTAAACTGAATACTGAGTAGTCTGTCTGTCTAACAATGATGAATTCTGTTGTCTTGAATATTTGTAATGACAAATCAAACTTTGCACATCAAATCGCATGGAATAATCTATCAAATCTCACAAACTTCAACAACAATCTTCACCGCGATCATTAAACTTCCGGAGCAACTGCAAGACCGTCTCATTGTTCATTTAGGTAATGCAGGATTATAAAAACTGCTGGCATTGGAAAATTGTCTTCCAACTTATATAGCTAGTTGTTTATGGTACCTCAAAATGCAGATTTAGAACGGCTATTAGTACACCTATTCAGATTTAAAGAAAATAACCTGAAGCATAAAGCTGAATTAATAACCCCTCAATTATGTGGAAAACAAATGGGGCGCCGCCATTCTGATGGTCACGGATCCATATGGTTCTTCGCAGACGAAACCAGAAATTCAACCTGTACCAACGTCCTTGGCTAAAAAAATTCCTTACCATCAGAAAATCTGCGTTGGTGTGAAAATGCAAGGATTCATGAATTGATCAAGTGAACATAAGTTACCAGGGTAGCCTGGCTGTTATGAACGCTGACTCTTCTCGTGCATACAACAGGACAGGGTTTTACAATGGCAATGAAGCACCCGAACACCAAAGCTACCACTGGCACCTGGAGATCTTCGTTCAAGCTGGAAAATATACGAATTTCACAATTGTTCACTGAAGTACTTGCATATTTTTCTCCACAGGGAAAATCACACCATCTTCTTCATGCTCATAATTCAAGGAAATTACCTTTGAACTGCATGTCACTGGCTGATGAAAAAAGCAACAAAAAATCAAGCAGCGAGAATAATAACTACTGCCTTACCAGTCTGTATATTTGCCATTTCCGGGCTTTCTTTGAGCATTACCCCTTTCGGACTTAAAGAATGTTAAAGCTTGGTGCAGGCTGGATTTTGGACATGTTCTGGTAACGAGGCTTGCGGGTTCAACCTCATTACAGTTACACCCATCAAAGAATCCATATACTTTTTTCTTCCACTACAATCAATCATTTTTCATCCGAGTGATACAGCAATGAACAACAAGATTGACAAACAACCGCCATACATCAAATAAGTCTTTCAAAGGTCACGCAGATAGCCAGTCTTTGAAGAGTGATATTATTCTGCCTCAAACTTTGAAAAGTTTTGTAGTCATACTCTGCAGTCCGCGCCGCAAAATGTTTTCAGAACCAACATAAAATTATAAAATAAAATTTTTGAAAAAAAGCTGGAGCAAGTGAAAATGTTAATAACAATGGTCCAACCGAAAAGAAATAACAAATTCCAACTGGCAAAAGACTTCGAACCTTGGATAATTATCACCGGTTCAGATATACTAAATAAAGGGTAAGAGATAAAATGGACTCAAAGAAAGTATTAATATGCTAGAGCGTCATTCTTAGGTTAGTAAATACATACAAGTACAACATGAATTATTGGATCATCTACAAGATTTCTCACAAACCTCAAAAAAACAGAAAAAGGGATCAAAGCATAAGAGTGGAAAAATACTGCTCGAACTCTTTATCAATTGTTAACTTCTGGGGTTCTGGTTGAGCATCTGCATTCAAATAGTAGACAGAATACTCATAAGGGCATATTTAAAGCAGTTAAAGAAGAAAGTCATTAACTTTGATCAGATAGTCAGAAAATCAGCTTTCATGACAGAGGCATATGCCAACATGAAACAAAAAACAGTAGTAAATATAAAGGAGACCGTTCTTATGGCTATCTGCAGAACCTGGTTACCTTGTTTGCGAATCCATCGCCCAGATGAGAGAACATAATTGTTGGGGGCCACACCATTGGCATGAAGTATTTCTTCAATTTCCTTCTCCGGAAACTTTCCATTGCTTGTTTCGCAGTCAGAACAACTGCAATCAATGTGACCAGCAAATTCTAAGAGATCATCCTCGAAATTCACAGATGAATGCAGCTCATCAGTGTCATAATAAGTGTATTGATGCCCCTTGCCAGTTAATGATGATTCCAAAGATGTTGAACATGATTTCATAGTCGATCCGCTCTCTAAAGAATTCAAGACATTCTTGGAACTGTTGCGCACCCAGTAAGACGAACACTCTTTGGAGGTTCCTCGGTCCATGTCAAGATCAGGTTCATTAGATGTAGAAATAGTTGACTCAGCATCAGCCCCAACACTATTGCTATCTTTTACAGATTCTCCTCTTGTTTCCCAGATATGGACCCCTTCTGTGTCGGAGTTAGAATCAGATAAACAATCATACTTTGAAGCAAATTCTCTATTTAACCACTTGAGTTTTGTGGGTGGCACACCCAGTTCTTCAGCTTGCAACTTCCGCTTTCGGTCCACGGCAGCATAGCTGGTCTGCAGCACCTTCTCTTCATGGACACTGAGATGGGACAGAAAACGTGAGAAGACATCATAGAAACTGGTTAATAAATTTGACATCAGATAATGAAGACTTCAGAGTTAGGAATTTTTTTTCCTTTCATCATTTTATTCCACTGATTATGCACCTTTCATCATACACCTTGACAAGAAGATAATTTCCTTGCAAATAATACAGCTTTAAATCAATATATTGTTCTCCTCAAGCTTAAAAAAAAAAAAAAATCGTCATTTGGCACATCAAATTTTGGTTAATCGGGCATCAAAATTCAGCCTTTAATTCTCATCTGGCGCAGAATAGTAGAAGTCATATCAAATTGCTCGTAAAAATTCATCGATTTCAAGTCAGATCTAGTACCCATGAAAAACCCACATACCCAAACCCCAAAAAAAAACGCAACCCAGCAGGAAAGACAATGTTACGGGTACGAGAAAGTTCCTTCAGATCGCAAAATCAAGCAAAAAATCTACCTAGTAATCAATTGAGACTAATAATCAGAGTAAAATAAGAGGATAAAGCATGCGAATCAAAAGAGCAGACACCCAAATAAGAGGGGAGAAAAAATGATTAAGGAAGGAGGCAATACCCGTTAACATGAGTTGTATCACTGGCATCACCCTCTGCATCCATTACAGAGGGGGCTTGAGGTAAGGGATGGAGAGAAGAGCGTGAGACAAAGAAAAACCAAAGTGGGAAACTGCTGAGTCTGGAACCGAAAAGAGATCTCAGCTAGTACCAGCTGCAGCAAGCATGCTTAAACATCATCATGGTACAGTGTTTTACTTTCTTCTCTTCCTCTCTCTCTCTCCCCTTTTATTTTTTTATTTATTTATTTTTTGGGTTCACTTTATCCGAAGAGAAAGATCAAAGACTCGAAGTTGCCCCATCCCTCAACACAAATATCGAATCAAAATTATCTGTGGGCGCCTTTTTCTATTTTGGAATAACAGACGAAATCTCAATTCACAAATACACCTCATTTGTTTATAAATCTCCAGCTATTAATATAGTGAAATGAACTTATTATCAAAGGGGTCTAGTAACGCAATCAATCGATCAGATGATTTACTGTGATGATGGGCAGGATTGGAGGCTTTGTGGTCAATGGTCAGGATACAAATGTTAGTACTGAGTTAAATACTGACTAGAACATAATATCTTTTTACTAATGCCGAAACCCTATCAGAAATGAACTAACCCACGACGATGTTAGTATGGCTGATTTTTGGTTTGAAAAAAGTATGGCTGATTTCATGAATTTAGTTTCACCAAATTTTAAAGAAATAAATTAAGTAAAAAGACTGTATTGAAGACCATGCCCAAGGTCCCCGCTTTCTCGACAAACTTTTCTCCCCGTTCACGTGAGACATGCTCTATTTGTGTCCTTCCACTATGGTGAATGGCCACCCAGAATATTCTCGTTCCGAACTTCAGATAGCATGTACCAGTAATTTTCAAGTGTTTAAACTTTAAACCTAGGATGCCGAGGAAATCAGGAAGGTATACTTTCTAATTTTTAAAACCAAGTTTCTTTATCAGTTGTCAGATTTTTACTTGTAGAGCTCCCCAATATATTGGAATAACGAGAAATGTCGCCTAGACTCAAATCAAATCAAAACTTTTTTTCATCAGTTATTATTACTCAATACACCCTATGGGAATTACAATGATACAACAATTTTTTTTTTCCTGCGTTACAGTTTGGCTTTTGTGTTCCTCTAACTGCTATTGCCTTTGGGTTAGACTTGAAAACTTCTGTTATTTTTACATCATAGTACGGGAGCTCTATATTAAACCAAAACCTAAATTCAAAGGAAAAAAAAACACACCCTATTTTCACATCAAGGCGCCTCCACAAGCTACTAATTACTGTTGGACTATTCATCGAATCATGTTGCATGTTGGAGAGTCAAACTCTCTCTCTCTCTCCAAGTTGCTGAAATTGCACAGAGAAGAAGCATGAGAATCTCCAACTGGGCTGCAACTGGGAGCACTGAGTGAGCATCTTCAGCCCTCTGCTCTACAAATGAACCCGACTTTTGATCCTCGAAACCACAACTTTTTCTTTGACCATCACCAGAACTTGTCATGAGACTACTAAAAGACATCTATCTAACTCAAGTTGCCGCTTGCTTATCAACCCCTGTACGAAATCGAAGGCCAGAACCAATATGATCCGCTGTGGGGCATACCCAGCAAAGAATATTTGGACCTAAAACCTGCCAGTTGAGTAACAATATATAAACCTATAAAAAAATCTGGATTTATTAAGAACAGTTACATCACAAAAGCTCCAATCACAAGTTCTCTTATCACTATGTGAAGTCATATGTCAAGAGAGCCAAAATCTGATCAGCTATATGATTGCCAACAGATGGAGACATAAAGCACTCCATCACAAGTGGCTTACTGTCATTTATGATGGGGGGGGGGGTGTGGGAGGGGAAGAGGGGGAGGAGGAGAAAGGAAAAGAAGAGAAGAAAAGAAAGAGAGCCACATAAAAAACACGAGTAGTAGTTAATTAGAGAAGAAATGACCGAGAGAAGAGAAAGCATTTCTTACTGATATCAGATTTTCATAAGCGCCAAGATTGTAGGGATGTGAATATAAAAAACCTCCTTTTTCTGCAAGCCACATTGCTCGGACACCTTCATGATACTGCAAGATTTAGACAAGATATCATCACCACCAGATCCAATATTCTAATATAGTTGAAGAAAACTACAGAAATCACGGGAATATACCTCTATTGTGGTCTTATTCTGCAAAACTAGATAAACATGCCAACTCCAGAAAAAGGACAGAGCAATGCTCAATGGCAGTAGTAGTAGCCCAGAAATCACCTGGAGATGAAACTGTTAAGTACAATGTATACTGAAATAGAAGTTCACAATTCAGAAAAGAAAAAAAATAAAAAATAAAAAAAAAATCATAACAGGAGAGTTACATAAAAAGTCCGGAAAAAGCTTTCATTTTCTTCGTCATCCTTGGGTGAATCAATTGTCAGACTACCAACAAGCAGCACCTGCAACAAAATGGTAACAATTGAAAATTGCACAAGTGGCAAAGAATCGGGAAAAAAAAAAGCAGGCAAGAGGGGTAACAGGACAAGCGATAAGCTCAACAACTGGACAGTGAACTAGAAGATATTGGCGGTTAAACTCATACAAAAACTTAATAATGGAATAAAGAAGTGGAAATATTCCATGATTTAAAGAAATTTATTAACATACCAGGGAGTATATGCACGACACAACAGCGTACATGACGAAGACGAAAAAGATCTTATAGTTTGCATGGCCCACACAATTATTCAACCACACGCAATGGTGATCCTTAAATTAACCAAAAAAAGCAGAGCTTCAACACGTGATAAAGGACATTATATAGAAGGCATGGTCAGTAAGCAAATCTCACATACCATTCGCAACACACATCTATTACATACACGGCAATGATGCGCACGTGGAGGTTTATGAAGGGCACACTTTTGGCAGTATCTTAAATCCCCACCCTGCAGAATATTTTGCTTCAAATAGTCAGAACATGAAACTTTACTGTAAAGCTAGAAATTCCATATTCCAACTAACAAATACACAGCCGCCATTCGAAAATACATTGCTTTAGTCATTTTAATTAGTTTGACCACTGAATTCATATTCTCCTTTAACCTTTTCTCAGTACCAACCTACTAGATTTTGTGGGAAATTAATGTGTAAACAGCAGCAAATTCAAAGAAGGCTCAAAGTTAAAAGCAGTTCAATAATTTTTAAAACATGAATACACACGCGCGAGAAAAGGTCTCAGGCAGGCATTTCAGGAAAACTAAAAGCAGCATTCATTCATTATTTCAACACTATCCAATCTTCTAAACAAGAAGCTGAAAAGAACAAAAGGTATTTATTCTACTTCAATATCCCAAATCCATGAATAACACAGACTTAAATGTGCTGTGCAACTAAAATATTTCTACCAGATCATGCAGAAACACAAAACAAATAAGAAATTGAACAAATTAAGCCAGATAAAGTCTCAAAGACTCGCCAATGGAGATCAAATCTGCAGTAGAACAAGATATTCAAAATAAGTTCTAAAAACTACATCAGATTCATCCCTTAGGAAGCATCAGAAAACTACAGTCAAACTAATAACACATGAAGTTGAAATGGATTTGGTAATTAAGGTTGATAACTTGGCAAAACTCAGCGAACTCCTAAACCCGGGACTAAGACATTGGAGCATATATAGGATAGAGATCTCAAACAGTTCTGTGCTGCAAGTTTGGTTTGATATCAGAAAGGCTGAGCGTTCTCCCACAAATATTATTTCAGGAAAGACAGGGCTACTTCGTGGGCTTTAAAAACACAACTCATACACAGGTAACACATTTCCAACTTGACTAGGCACTCCACTGCAACAAGAAACCAGTTCTTGCCTCATTTAGCGTACCAAAGAATCAATCTTCAACATCAATTCCACCGTTAAGAACAATGAAGGTTACGTTGAATCTAGCCAACGACCCATTAACTATAAAATTCAACCCAAATCGCTTTGTTGTCATGCTGAACTTAAGAACATCCTTCCTTGTTACTACTATTTTGAAATTCTCATTCCCCAGCACCCTCCATCATTGCCCGAGTTTATTGAAGAACCACCGTTTCATTACCCAAGTTTATTGAAGAACCACCGTTTCATTATTACTAAGTCAATCATTGCCCAAGTTTATTGAAGAACCACCGTTTCATTACCCTCACAAAATTCAAAAGTTTGAAATGCAAATAAATACAATTTAATTAAAAAAGATTCTTGACGATTGTTAAGACGCAATGCAATAAAATTGTTCAATAGTAATCTAATCCACAATTCATACCAGAATCGCCCACCAAACACCAAATTTTAACCGCCAGTCAATCAAATTCCACCCCAAAATCACAACAAGATCTTCTTCTATTCCACTAACTCAACAACACTGCAGCATAACATTTTAAGCAAAAAAGAAATAAACGCAAGAACAGAAATTGTGGCAGTACCTTGCGCTTGATCTCATGAATAGGGTTATCGGCATCCTCAACGTCCGGGATGAAGGAGGAGGGGATCCGGCCGGGGTCAGTAAAGACGGCACGAGCATAAGTATAGACACACATAGCGGTTAAGAAGGTAAAAACGAAGGCATTAAGTAAGCCGGGAGAAGTCCACAGCCCAAACCAGTGATCTATGTAAATGAAGACCGTCGAGAAGTAGATGTAAATGATGGAAGCTACGACGACGCTCACATGGAAAGAAAATTTCCAGCCACGCTGCATTTTTCACGGTGATGGAGTAAAGGCGGATTTCGGCAGAACTGCGGCGGAGACACCGGCGTAAAGGAGGATTTACGACGGTGACTCCGGTCAGTCCCGGTATGGGTTTTTAATTTTTCTCAAGTAAGTTGTATTAGTTCGGCAACGGCAACCATTTTGGGTGGGGATTTGCTGCTGCTCAGTAGAGGTTTTGGAGTTGTGGATCTAGAAGATGCGGTGGCCCGGTGGGGGAGTTTTTCCGATTTGCCCCCCCTTCCCTTAAAATACCAAAAAAACAAACCAACTTTTGAACCGAAATGATAAATTTGCTTAGCCAAAATAGAAGTCCCCCCAATTTGGGCAGTAGGCTGCACATCACATCTGTAATCAACTCTTGATTGGACTTGCTTTCTTTGTCTTTTTTTTTTTTCCCGTTTTATTTATTTTTATAGTTTTTTTTCTTCACCGAAAAAAAAGTTATATACTTTTATTCGAACATTTTTCTTTTTCATTAACTAAATAATGATAAAAAGGTGAATGAGCAATATCAATCATGTTGTACTCTAATCAAATTCTAACATATTTATTTATTTCACAGTAAACATGTTTTGTCTCAACAAATGTCTTCATGAAAATTCCATGTCCCTGATGGCATGGCAGCTGGTTTTTATCAACATTATAAGGACATAATTGGGTACAATTTTTTATTCTGGATGCCTTCACTAACATGTATTTTCCTCCCGAATGGAACCAAACTCCACTTAGTCCTTATACCAAAAACTCCTATCCCTACACTGTGCCTAATGATTTTCGTCCCATAAGCTCATGTAATGTGAAGTACAAGATCATCACCAAGATGATTACAAATCGTCTTAAACATGTAATGAATGATCTTATAGATGAATATCAAAATAGTTTTGTGCTGGGGCGTAACATCAGTGAGAACATCCTCATAGCACATGAAGTTTTAGATTGTATAAGAAAAAAGAAAGGAGAGTTGGGACTACCAGCAATTAAGCTAGATATGAGTAAGGCGTATGATCGAGTTTTTTGGCCATTTCTAATGGCAGTCCTCCAAAAGGCGAACTTTCCTCAAAGTTTAATCACTTTGATCCTGCATTGTGTCTCAACGGTATCCTATTATATCCTTTTTAATGGAGACACTTTACCGCCTTTCTCACCAAATAAGGGGCATCGTCAGGGATGCCCTTTATCTCCATATTTGTTTATTTTTGTCAATATGTACTTTCTTCAGTTATCAAAATGAATATACAAACCTTTCCCGAATTAGGAGTGAAAGAATCAGTCAAAATGCTTGTAGGGTTAGTCATTTGATGTATGTGGATGACAGTCTCTTCTGCATAGAGTCCAAGGAGTCCTCCATTCAAATGATGGCAAGATTGCTGGAAAATTACACAAATTTATCAGGTCAACATATCAACTATCACAAGTCCTCCATTTTCACCAGTGGCAATACACCACCAAGTATGGCATACTTTCTTCATAATACTCTCCACATTCCGCCAGGTAGTTTTCACAGCAAATATTTAGGTATGCTTTTAGATTTCAGTGAAAATAAAACGGCGGTATTTAAAGAGTTACAACAAGATTAAGTGATATATTTGCTTCTTGGAAAAAAAAATTGTTGTCACTCCTTGGTCGAGTTACCTTAGCTAAGTCCACACTCTCTTCAATGATGGTTTACCCTATGCGTGTTTTTTAAATTCCCATGCATACATTACATAAGGCAGACCAAATCATCAGTAATTTCATATGGAAAGGAGACTAGTAGGATCACAAAATTCACTGGCGGGCATGGAAAAAGATTACGAAATCTCCATTTCATGGTGCTCTAGGCCTCAATGCTACAAAAAAAATTTAATCAAGCACTTCTTGCAAAACATGCTTGGAAACTGTGGTTAACCCCTAACTCATTGATAGCCAGAATCTTTTGGGCCAAATACTACCCTAATGGTGTTTTTCCTCCTAGTCAACCCCCTAGGAATCCTTCCTAGGAATTTAAAAGCATACTGTGAGGAGCTCAACTTCTGAGTAACCAACTGCCTTGTCCCATTCTCAGCGAATTGGATTCTTGGAATCCCGAACCCTATTAGTCAGAACTCGATTCTTACTACATCAGATATCAAAGTGCAAAGGTTTATATCTTCAACATGTCAATGGCGAGTTCATGCTCTAGGGAGATTTTTTTTTCCAGATCATATCATCTCCATTATCACATGTATTTTCATTGATCCAGCAAGAAGGCAACAAACTGATCGTCTACAATGGAATCACACAAATCATGGTAATTAGACTGTCAAGACGAGGTATCAGTTGGTGATCAATCAACAGCAATCACTACCAGCTCCAAATCCATCTAATTTAACTGCGAAAATATTGGTTTGGAAAAGTTTGTGGCAATCAAGAGCTCATCCAAAACATAAATTCCTGTTATAGTGAGCTTTGTTAAATGCTCTCTCTACGAAATCAAAATTATCTCGGAGAGGAGTACAGGTGGATCCTTTATATCCGCATTGTTTTAAACATGAAGAAGACACTCTTTACCTCTTCTTCTATTGTGACTCATCACAGGCAATTTGGGTGCTGGCTTTTCCCAAATTCACTTCCATATTCACAAACACATATGCTTGGCTGCTACAATAGTTCGTGATCTGGATTCAAATTCACCCGCCTAAGCAAGATATTGATCTCTTCCTGATCATCACTTGGAGAATTTGGATGGACAGGAATGATAAGATATGGAGGCATCAGGTACAGGATCTGGTAAACTCGTGGAGACTCATCAATTCATAAATTAACTTTCTATGACACTATCAAAGACGTTCTCCACTGACTATGGTTGTACCGGCTGTTCATGAAACACAAGTGTCGCCTATTATACACCCTCCTAACCTCGATGCCACAATCCTGTTTGATGGCTCTTTTAATCCCCAATCCAGGAAAGTAACTGGAGCTTGGAAAATCACGTCATCTTCAGGAATGGTGATGCAAATCAAGACGGTTAATCTTAATGCCCTTTTCCCCTTCCAGGCGGAAGCAATAACTTGTCTTCTTGCTCTACAAGAGGCGGCACAATTAGGACTCACCCGTCTCAAAGTATATATGGACTGTGAATCTTTAACTAAGGATTTACAACTATCCTTAGTTTCTTCTAAATCACAGGAGGTAGTTTCCCTACTAAATTCTACTATTTCCTCTTGGAATAAATTCAAATACCTTAGAAATCTTCAAATCAGATTATCTAGAACCGTACGAAAGTGAAAGTGTACCTTAATCTGTAGTGGCAAGAACATCGATTCGGTTTGCGTCTTCCAGATGATTCCGTCCAGTCCTTGCGGGAACCTCTGACAATTGGGCAGTCGAGATTTGGCATCACGGCTCATCCATGGACCGCAAACAATATATAATAGGGTTTCCGATTCCACCCATCACAGAATCAAAAACTGGACTTTAGGGTTTCTAAACAATGCTGGGCCACACTTTAATTTATTATCATAAGTTCAAACTTAAGCATACTTAATTAGATCACTTTAATTGGGCCGGTACTTTAAGATAGCTTATAATATACAAATATATATCAGTGTATATAGTCCACATAGATCTTACATTTCTTCGTTTCAATTGTGTTCACTGATTAAAGTGAGTAGAGTCTAGGTAATACGAATCTTGAGATGAGATGATTGAATTACCTCAAACGCGGAAGTTATGAATTTCCTAAGACTTGATAACTTGCGATACCAATGGAGAATACTCTAAACCACACAAGAAAGAAGAAGAAAAGAAGAAGAAACGATGCAAACCACAAAAATTTGCACCCAAAAAAATGGAAGATTCGAAAGATGAAGAATTGTGTTTTGGTTAGCAACCCAATCGGTTCCTCTCTAACAACCCTATTCCTTTGATTTATGGATAGAAAGGCTAGCGAAAAGGCTCCAATGAACAAACTAACAAAGCTCCACACGTGAAGATTACTTAAAAATCACGCTCACGCGTTAACAAAGCACAAACAAGTGTGCAATGCACTATTCTTCAAAAAAAAGAATAGAAAAAGAATAAAGAGTTTTCTCTCGTCTCATATTGAAATATCAATAATCATCAAAAGTATATGTTTTTTATCGACCAAGGCCCCCTTTATATAGGCAAATGTTGGCTTGGACAAAAAGAAACCCGCATACAAGTTCAAATCGGATTTGTCTACCTAAGTTTCCTAATATAGATTTAAATAATAATTAAATAAATAATTGCATATGTCAATTATTTAAAACCATCTACAATCTTCTAGAGGTGTAGGAAAATCGGGCATAAGAGATAAATGACCGAAAAATCCTTTTCATAATCAAAATAGGAGAGCAGAAAAATCTGTCCGCCGCGCGTCGACTCCCTGTTGACCAACACCCTAGTCGACGCAGCCCTGTCGACTTTACTGTTGATCAATACCTTGCTCGACGCCATGCTGTCAGCTTTGATGTCGACTTCCTCTCCCCGGCTCCACTCCAAGATAAACATGAAATCCATGGAATTGAATCCATATTGAGAGCTTGAACATCCATGAACAAGTTGTTGAGTGACTCATTCATTTTCTTTCATCAAGACCTCGTCATAAGACCTCCAATATTAGCTAATGGATCTTGAACCACTCTTTGAGCTCGAACTTGATTATTCGATTGAACGTTGACTTGTTCTTGAGCTTGATCACCTAGGATGTCCACATCACTAGGGCTGCTAGAATAATCGATCCAACCCAACGAACCGCCCGACCCGGTCTTTATTCGGCTTAATCGGGTCGGATAATCGGTTTAATTGTGTGTATTTTGACTTTACCCGACCAACCGATTAGCTTGGACGATTCGGTTTCAGTTTGAATAAATATAATTCGGGTGGCCCCAAATAACCCGATTAATTAAATTGTTTCTATTATTTTTTTAATTCCATATGTATTTTACATATATATAAAAGGGAATCCCCTTCTTGTTGCACGGTTAAACGGGAGTTGCCAATAATTTCTGTCGACGTGTCAACAAACAATTCGGACTCTCTTTTTTTGTCGCTCTGTACTGAAGTAGTTTCACCTCCATGCCCTTCCGGTTCCCCATCGCCAATAGTGTACTTCCACGTATTTTACTTCCGATTGCCTTCGTGCCTCACTTTCTTCTTCCAACAAAAACACCGTCTGAACCATCAATTTGGTTGCTCTTGGTCTCTTCTCATCAGACACGGCTCCGTAGCTGATTTGTTTAGAAAAAGGCGGGTAGTTTGTTTTGATTTGCCTTTACAGGAGCTCAAATGGTTGGTCCTAAAATTAAATGTTAGTTTTGGATTTTAATTTTCAGTATTTCTTCGATCATTTTCAAAGGGTGTAGAAGTCTTTATGAGCACGTATAGATTTTTGCATTACATGTACAACACATAGTTCTCTGTATGTCTTCTCCATCTAGCTCAGCTTTGCATAAGTTTTGCAGTTGCACTGGAGAGGATATTTGGGTCGCACATAAGGTGTTTGATTTTGGTTATATGAGGTTGTCAGTGAATTTTCTAAGACTGGTTTTGCTTTTTGAGAACCAATCCTCCATTCTTGCTTAAATGATAACATTTTGCTGCAATTTTCATTTTAGTTTCATTAACATTTCAAACTTCAAAGTGGCTCCTTTACCCTCTGATTAATCTTGTGTATCTTCACTATGGGATATGTGCTACAAGGTTACTATTTTCTAGTAATTGTCAACATGTTGGTGCAGACAAGTGACTATTTCACGCTAACCATTTAAGGAGGTCAGACCTTGTGGTAAGTAATTTGGAAATTTTTGTTTTACTTTTTTGCTACAGAAGTTCGGTTTTGAAGAGTTTATACTATGCATTTTTTCTAATATTAAATCCTTACAGCTTCATTCTTCATCTAGAACACATTTCTTTTGACATCAGGTGATTAAATTTTCGACGTAAGCCATATTGGGATATTTCGCCTTAATTCGATTATTGATAATTATTTTGAGGATCACTGCCTAATTTGTGAGCGAATTCTTAATTCAGTTGACGAATGTTTTATAATTGGGGTTATGGATTTCTAATTAACCTTCTAAGCGAGTAAAGTTTTAAGTTGTGTGCTCTCAGTTCTGTTTCGAACTTGTAAAAGGTGGACTATTGTTGTATGTTTCGAGTTTCGGATTTCGGATTTGTTATTAAGTCATTCATATTACTGATTCTAGTTTCTTTTAAGTAAACTCACCTATCTAAATGACCAATTTAATTTGGTATGTCACGTTGATTTGAAAATGGTTCTACAACTCATTGACTAATCATCTACCGCTATCAATGTGTCAGACAGAATGCAGTGGCTTCTTTTTTGTTTTTTGAATGATTAGTTATGTTTTGTAAATGTATAGAATGTCAATGAATTATGTCATATCCTTGGAATTTCAAACATGAGTTGAACTGCATGAAAAAGAAAATTGTCATAGTTTCCTTTTGACTTTGCCGAATTTTTGTAAATATAACCAAACTATGGTGTTCATTGTAGCGAAATTTGTGTTGATGATCCAGGGGCCTTTGGTTACATGGTTATGAAAAAAGATTTCTTCTATTTGAGCAATGTGTATTTTAATCATTTGTGTTGCCTTTTGCAGTATTATCCATAAAAAAGTCATGGCACGAGATTTCAGAAGATCTCCGAGTGACAAAGTCTCTGTTGATGCTAGATTCTTGAAGGATGTTAAAACTCTCTTTGCATTTTTTTTTTAATGACCATTTGTGATTCCATTGCAAGACTTGAGCAATTCTCAAAGTAACTGTTCTTGTGCAGAATCCAATCTTTGTTGACAAAAGTGCAAAACTGGTAGGTTTTGTGCTAGATTGGACTTCCTTACATGGAATAAGTTTTAAGATTATTTTCCTTTGCAGCATTTTGAACCCATCATGTGTGTATGTGTCTTTCATGTGAGCAATGTATGGTTGGTGCCACTACGGAGAAGAAATGACGGGAAAGAGTGGGTGATCCTGCACCTTAGTGTTTCAAGGCGGAAGTCTTTAAGTTTAGCATAAATTGTTGGACCAAAAGGACATATAGAAAGATTTGTAAACACTTGGAGGAAAATGATCAATTCGCTATTATATTGTCACTCTTATATTACATAATTATTATTGATGCTTGTGTAATATACATTAAAATGATTAGTAGAAGGAAACGGCTTCAACACATTCATGATGCATTTTTATGTTCTTTTCAATTTTTTAAAGATGAATATTGTTAAACATTGACATGGTAAACAATTTGGGTACTTTGGGCTTACCCTGGCTCGGCCGAACAACCAGCCGCACATCGTGCGGCTTCCCTCATCTAGTATATACATGTTTTTCCCAAATCTAGGTTTCAATCTCCCATTCCCCTTCGGCATTTCCCATCTTTTTATTTCTTCTTCTTGTTTCTTCTGCCCAGCACAATTCGCATCCTCCACCTACCCATCACCTCCACCCGCCACCGCTCCATAGCTTCACCTCCCACTTCCCACCTCCGAAATCCACCAATTTGACCACCACCTCTCGTCTAAAAAAGATTGTTTCTACTTTATATCTAATTAGCTCTTCCAATTCAAATTGAGATTTTAATTTCTTATAAAAATCTCTCCAAATCAAATCCATCATTGCCGCCGCACCGTCCTCCCTCCGCCGCCACCACCGCCGCCTCCCCGACCAGGGCTGCTACCAAGTCGTTCAACTCTGAAATCAACAAGCTTTCCACACAAGGCTCCTCTACCCATTCTCCGCCCAACTCAGAAATCAAGATTATTAATTTTTTTTTTTATAGTAAATGCGTGTTTTTTTTTTCCTCTTCTTCTCGTGCAGTGTCGTCTATGTTTTGTTTTGTTTCCTATTAGGACAAACACCAAAATTGTTCTTTTCCTGTTCATGTTTTGTTTATGTTTTTTTTTTTTTTAAAACCATTACCTTCCATTTAATTTCAATTAAGATTTTAATTGATTCAGATTGGATTCGGGAGTGACTTTGTTTTGATAGGTTGTTTGTATTTTGTTGTGGATTCTTTGTAGGCGGGGCTTGGAATTGGGATTTTGTTTTCTATTTTAATTCGTTGACAAATAAAATTTTATGAGAAGAAAGGAAGATGAATAGGATTGCGTGTTAACATCAAGGCCACAAACAGAGCGGATTTTGTTGGATTCGATTTTGCGAGAGAGATCGAGGAGGGATTCTTCTTCTTCTGACCAGATTCAGTATTGGTTTCCGACCCCAAAAACCCGATTGCTTATTTGGCTCGGTTCTGTTCGGGGGAATATAAACTTCGGTTCAGTTTCGGGCGGTTGAAATGAAATGAAAAAACTCGATTAATCCGAATCGAATTCACCGGAACCGAGTCGAACCGACGTAATTAGCGGCCCTAGTAGAATCGATGTAGTTGAAATGCATAATTTAGTGTACCGTATAGGTGTCTCACGTATCTAATCAATACTGGTACCTTCTTAAAAAAAAAAAACTCCTTTTAAGAGGAATGAAATATACATATTTTGATTTACCAAAAAATCTCGCTAGCGAAAATTTTTAAAAGTTTGAAGGGTGTAATATAAGTCGAAAGTGACATATTTATTTCTCTCGTCTATTTGGTAAGATTAAGGGCCAAAATGATCAAAAATCTTTTCGTGTTGCACGTAAATCCAAAATTGGCATTATGAACATGTTTTTCATGATATATAGAGCGACATTGCCCTATGAAATTGTCCGGCTTTGTTTTCAATTAGTTTGTTCTAAACCGAAACTATGAAATGTAAACTGTTTTTATAAACTTTGTGCGATTTACATTCCTGCTATACTTTCATAACGTAATGAGCTTGAAACAGTTTGACTTTCTTTCCATTCCTAATTTTGTGTCGTATATTTATCAGCTTTTGCTTTCTTGTCTTTTTTCTTTTTTTTTTATTTCCCCAAAGGAAAGAGAAGAGTTTCTTTTGTTCTTTTCTTCTTTTGCCTCGCTTTTACTTTTGATCCTCCTGATTGGCAATCTCTTACGTAAATTTATTTCGCATTTCTGTTAGATCATCTCTTTCAACTTAAACAAACCATTTATTTAACTATTGATTCCCAGTTTCTCCGCGTTTGGTCTACAAAAGTCACCTTTTCTTTCTTCCTTTTGAAATCGTAACTATATTAAAAAAATAATAAAAATAAAACATAAAGTATGTCAGTGAACAAATTAAACGACAACAACTTAATATTCAACTATTAGAATTATCCTAATTGTTTAATCTAGCTATATCTAATCACATGCAAAGAGGTATACAGTCTCAACACTATGTAACACAAACACTAGAGAAAGCTAATTTGGCTGATTTTCTTTTTTTTTTTCCTGCTTATTTTTCGCCATAAAAAGTCAATATTCATGGCGTGAACCATTAATTCAGCATAGTATTGCATTTACTCGACTGAATAACTCATAAAGGCTGGAACTTTAAAAATAATACCCGATGGGATTGGGTATTATTGCCAGCTATAAAAAAGAAAATATGCAGCGTTTACAGTAGCGGCCACAGACACGCAGCGATATTTGTTATTCATCTGGTAAAGATTTTCCTCTGGTTTCAGACCTCACCATCCCAGAGGTCCTCAATGGACTTGAATGGTCCATCTTGGCTCACGTAGAATTCACCTTTAACCAATCTTTCCTGCATAGGTTCAGGAGAAAAGACTTTCTTTAGGTGAATTTCACGAGAATAATCAGAGAAAAGTACCAGCATGAAACGAAAAAATGGCAAGATTGTGATGTTTATGATAACATGGCGATTTTGTGGAAATCCTCATTGTATGGCATGCCAGAGAACTAGTAATCTAACCATCTTGTAGTTGAAGATTTAATTCTTGCAAGTTGTTCATATCTTCTTAGTTTAGCTTATCGATTGCAGAATCTCTTAACGGTTTTCGATGATGAGCTATTAATAGGTGAAGAATTACCTGCTTGATTTCAGAAAACTTAGTAAGCAAATCATCAGGGATGGACCAGTCAAAGACATCAAAGTTCTCTCTGATTCTCTCTTTGGATGTGCTCTTGCGAAGGATACCATGTCCCATCTGCAATCCCCAGCGCAAAGCAACTTGTGCTGGAGTTTTTACTCAATTTCTCAGCAATGCTGGTTATAACTGGATGCTTGAGGACTGTTCCTGCAATCCACTGTGTCCCCGGTGAACCTAATGGCGACCAGGCCTGGAAAAAAGAGCAAATGATGACCTTGCGACATTTTGAACGCTATCGCTGCTTATATGGCATAAAAATTACGGTATTAAAAAAAAAAAACAAAACAAAACAAAGGGTAACTCACGGATAGGTGAACACCCTTCGAGTTACAGAATTCCGTAACTTAGTCTGTTGCCATATGGGATGACATTCCACCTGATCAACAGCCGGAGGCACCCTTGCAATCTCCAAAAGGTCACCCAACTTCTTTGATGAAAAATTACAGACTCCAATTGCTCGAGCCTTTCCCTGATCGTAGAGTGCTTCCATTGCTCTCCACGTGCTAGGTATATCTGTTGGTATTACACTATCTGGTCATTTTCTGTCCGCACCCTTCTTCAAACGCACTGGCCAATGGATCTATATTCAAGCAGCTTATTTTAGCCACACTTGCATTTTCACAGGAGAAAGCCTAGAACAGAAACCTACAGTCCTAATTCCCCTTCAATGTTTGGATTCAGTTCAAAACAATTCAGAGATGTGAAATAACGTTTGCTCTAACCCAAAACATTCCCCTCTTACAAGTACCCTCTATCTTTATGAAGTAGGGACAAAAAATTTCTGAATCACTTCATGAAGAATGTCCTTAGGAGAATACTTACAAGGTACAGATCGACATAATCAAGCTGCAATTCACGCAGGGTTCTATCCATAGCCAATGGTACATCTTCAGGTGCATGTTCTGTGTGCCTACAGAAAACTCAAGTTTGTAAAATGTAAAGACAAAGTCATAGGCAACCAAAATGAAAGCTTTAGCACATGGAGAAGACTCATTCTTGTGATTTTAAGGATAAAACAAACCAGAGTTTAGAGGTAATCCACAATTCCTCCCGCTTCACATAACCTTCTTCAAACAGTTTCTTCAGAGCATCACCAACCTATGGAGTATCAGACTACATCAAAGATCAATGCTGAGAAAGACTTGTCAATAAGAAACAACACCCACTTCAAACTACTGTCTAATCAGTGCATTCAACTTAGTAAAACCTCATCGGTAATGGGCAAAAAAGGAAAAAAAAAAAAAGGAGAAATCATCACGCATATTAACAATCAATCAGCGAATTGATTCAGACAATTACCTCCTTCTCGTTGCCGTAAATGTGGGCACAATCAATGTGGCGGTATCCAGCCTGCTCTCGCAAACAACAAATCATAATTGGACCCACTTTTAGATCGATCGATCGAGAAATCTTAATTTTCTTTTTTTTTCCCCAAAAAATTCAGCGTGTTCGTGCATGAATGTGCAGTGAAGGCGAAGGAGAAGAAATAAACCCTGATAGCAATGTCGACGGCTTGACCGACGAGACCAGGCGCCGATTGCCAAGTGCCAAGACCAACCGAAGGCATCTTGGCTCCTGTGTTCAACTCGAAGTATTTGATTGCATCCCCCATTCTTTCTCCCGCCAGATCACTTACAGAAAGTGCAGTGATTTACGAAGAATTTAAGGTATAGCCAGTGACAAAGACTTCAAAAAGGGTCGTATTCTCACCTATGGCTATGGGCTATGGTATCTTCCCGCTCATATTCTGCTATCTGGCCATATTTATCTCTCCTTTCAGTTAAGTGGAATAAAGGCACCAAAACAAAATATTTCCAACTATGAACCTAATACATATAGGTAGATTAAAATGACCAATTTCTTCAAAAATATTTAGGACTTCTTAGGTTGCTAAATTGATTATTTTGTTCATTGTACTCTCATTTTTTGGATACTAGAGTACTATACTTTTAGTTGGATTACAATATGAAAAATTGACAACTCAGAAGAAAAACTCATAACATCATTGCTGAGCAACAACAATTGGACAGCTGCATTGTGTTGCATATGGAAATGTAAGGACGACTTCAGATGATGCATAGTACTAGTACAATAACAAATGTCACCCATGAAACTAAAACTAGTCTGAGGATTTCTTCAAACAAGAACCAGAATGTAGTAGGGAAGGCTGTACGCCAGTACTAGTTAAATAGTTTAAAGCATCATCACACATCATATTTCATTATCCCTGAATTCCTCCACTGACTTGTATGGTCCATTCGCTGTGATAAACGCTTCGACTTTCACTAATCTTCCCGGCACAAGTGCATATAAACATGGAAGATGAATAGATGATTTCGCCCTCACCATCCCAAAGTGAAAATATGAAATTGCTGTACTTCAATGCTTAAGCATCACCATATCATACCTCACCATCCCAGAGTTCCTCCACTGACTCGTATGGTCCATTTGCGGAGATATAGAATTCCGCTTTCACTAATCTTACCTGCAAATACATATGGAAGTTAATATTGAAGCTGCCTCGAAAAAGGTTCAATGTTATGCAAAATCACCTAAATCCGAGTTCACAGCACTGAGTAGATCTCACATCACCAGTCCCACATTATAAGATCATAAACAGAGTTTTACCAATCCCATGCAACCTAAATCAAAGTTTCTAATATGCCGGTTTCTGTGGTTTATAGGGAACAAGAGAAAAATTACATACTATGTATCCAATTCCAATTCCAGCACATTGCAAAACTATCAAAAGAATTCGTCAGCTATAGTCGCAACTTAACAATTTGATAATAACTCCCTTTACCTGCTTAATTTCTGAAAACTTGGCCATCAAATCGTCAGGTATGGACCAGTCAAAGATATCACAATTCTCCTTTATTCTTCCATCGTTTGTGCTCTTTGGAAGTATTCCATTACCCATTTGCAAACTCCAGCGCAAAGCAACCTGTGCTGGAGTTCTGCCAAGTTTTTCTGCAATACTTGTCAGCACTGGATCTGATAGGACATTTCCTTTTATTGATAATGTTCCAGGACAGCCCAATGGTGACCATGCCTGAACATAACAAGCAGATGATGCTGAAGACTAGTTCAAAAGGGAATGTCTTTAGATACATTTTCAGTGTTACTACAGGAATTTGAAGGGATCAAGACACGTATCAAACACAGCAAACTGAAAGTAAAAGAAATGCGACTTACAGATAGGTGAACATTCTTCAAATTACAGAATTCACGCAACCTGTGCTGCTGCCATAGTGGATGACACTCCACCTGGTTAACAGCAGGGGGAACCCGTGCTATCTTCAACAGATCGTCCAACTTCTTGGTTGAAAAATTACTAACTCCAATAGCTCGTACCCTGCCAGAATCATAGAGTGCTTCCATCGCTCTCCAGGTTCTAGGTATATCGGTTGGCAGAACATAGTCTGGCGAGCCTTTAGGAACTCCCCGCTTCAAGCATACAGGTCCATGGATCTAAAGCAATTTGAAGAGCACGACTGACTTAGGTCACAATCCAAACCACTCAAATAAAATTGCTTTACCAGTCCCCCGTTATTTTACTGCAGGTAAAAATCATTCTGAGAGGGCACTGGGATTCAAGTCCCTGGCAAGTTTTCAAGCCTTAATAGATGATTTCAACTCAGAGAAAAAAACGAAGTCTCAAAAGTTCAAATTAAATTTCCGCTGGTATATCTGTGTTCAAACAATAATTCACTAACACTACTCAAATTCTCTACTTGATTAGCTTCAGGGTGTATAGTTTACTTTTCTGCACCCCAAAAAAAAACTGAGGAGCTGCTCTAAGTTTGTTCTCAACCTATCTATTGCTTCTGCGAAGTCTTTTGAACTTCAAAATGAGGAAACCAGGAAGCTAGAAACTAAGAAGAAATAAGGTTTGTCTCAATGAAATGTAAGCTTAAGGGAAATGGCAACTCATAAAAGATATATAAAATGAAACTACGATACGAGGATAAGAAGCGAGCAACCTAAAGGAAAGTATGACGCTCACAAGCGCCCCATTGAGATGATGAAACTTAGGCACAAATCAAACCAAAAATTACAATCAAAGCAAAACATACTTATTTAGAGGTAACTCACAAGGTAAAGGTCAATGTAATCAAGCTGCAAATCTTGCAAGGTTCTTTCAAATGCCACAGGGACATCTTCTGGTGCATGATCTTCATGCCTACACTATGCTTCAATTTGTAAGCAAAAGATCAAAACCTAACATAAGTTCAAACATGTGGACAAAAAGTAAAATATGGAGCTCCTTAACAAACCATAGTTTGGAAGTGATCCACAGCTCCTCGCGCTTCACAACTGCCTCCTCGAAAAGTTTTTTCAAAGCTACACCAATCTACAATCCATCATAGAACCAGATTTCAGCTAAAAAGAACAATACAAGCGTACTCTGCATCTTCTCAGCATAAATCACAAAATTGAATGTGCAAACAGTTACATGGGTTGACAACAGCGCCCCACAATACCTCTTTCTCATTGCGGTAAATGTGTGCACAATCAATATGACGGTAACCAACCTGAGAAGATACATAAACTTTAACCAATAGAGCTTATAGCAATCAAAAAGCACCCAAAGTATTTCCACACATTAACAAAAAAAACTTTACCTTGACAGCAACATCCACAGCTTGACCTACGATCCCAGGCTCCGACTGCCATGTTCCGAGACCAAGCAAAGGCATCTTTGCTCCGTTGTTCAACTGATAGTAGTGCTTAACTGCAGGCTCCATCTTTGGTCTCCTTAGCTCAGATCAACTCGTTGTCTTCCTCAAGTCAATCAATTAAATCACAAAGGCACAAAATAGGTGTAATTTTAGAGAAAAAGCAGACTTTTTTTCAGTCATTTCAGCACGTGAAGAAGTTCTAGATCAGTGCTCTGAGCCGACACTGATGATGCACTTACAAAATATATCATGGATTATGCAACTGACAGAATTTTATAAACCTCACATGTCAAATAAATTTGGGGTTTGATCGGAATTTTGCATTAATTTGTGGTTAGAAATCAATTTTCTAAATGCAGCTATTACCTGCCAAGCTTTTCCCAGTGGGTTTCTAACTTTCCGCTGGTTGGATTGGATCCATCAATTCCAAGGTTGAAGATGGATTCATCGGTGCTCCATTAAAAGCTGAAATAGAACCGAATCCTGTAAATGCCCACCTTCTATCAATCACAGTCTACTGAGAGAGTTCATAAGTTTGGGCTTATAGGGTTTTAGATGCCATTGGTCTTGTGAAAGAAACTTGTTTGATTTCGGAAACAAACAAGTATACTGAACGGTCTCATGATATTCCATGATGAAAATCGCCAGTTTCATGATTACCATTTTTAGCTGCATTTGTTTGGTCTTGCTCGTAATGTCGAGACATTGGAGACATGGTGGTGCCTATATGAGTGTATGCATAAAGGTGTTTGACGATATGCTTACAAACTACTACCAAATACCTTCCCAAAACAGAGAGCCTTTCCCCACCGGTATTTGATTATATGAACATGATTTTGATAACTGTGTTTGAAGAAACAAATGGACTTTTTTTTTCTTTTTTTTTTTTTCTTTTGGTGTATATTACATACTCGGTGTCCAAAGTCATACTTAAGATTGGAAAATTTCAAAGAAATAAAGTTTTGATGAGAAAGAACCCCAGAATGTCATACTTGGGATTGGATAATGCAGTATAGATGTACATTCTCAGAGAAAACATAACAACTGATGCAGCAAAAATGCTGTAGGATTTCATCAGTCACTACAATTATAAAATGCCAAATTAAAGTAAAGCAAGCCCAGCTGCTTGAAGACTTTTCTATCAGGAGGATGTTCTTCCAAATAAGGAGGGGGAGCTATCACCAAAAGGGGCGACTTTATCAAATCATACCTCACCGTCCCAGAGGTCCTCCACTGACTTGTATGGTCCGTCTGCTGAGACAAAGATTTCCGCTTTCACTAATCTTTCCTGTAATCATATATATGGAAAAATGATATGGTATCAGCGTAGAAAATGTTAAAAAAGTTTTGCAAAATCAAGAAAGATATGAGATTGTCGAGAGAGTTTTACATATACCGGGTAACCTGACAACGAGGTGCAACTTAGTGGTAAGACGTCTCACCTGTTGACCAATAGGTCACGGGTTCGAGTCATGCCGGAGTAAGTGGGGAACCACTATTGATCCCTTTAAATAAAAAAAAAACATATGCCGGGCAACCTAAATCGATGTCACAACAGGCCTGGTAATAAGTTTCTTTACCTGCTTAATTTCAGAGAACATGGACATCAAATCATCAGGTATGGACCAGTCAAAGATATCAAAGTTCTCCTTGATTCTTTCTTCATTTGAGCTCTTTGGAAGTACTCCGTTGCCAACCTGCAAACCCCAGCGCAGAGCAACCTGTGCAGGAGTTCTTCCCAGTTTTTCTGCGAGACTTGTCAGAACTGGATACCTGAGGACTTTTCCTTCAGCAGATAACGATCCAGGTGAACCTAGAGGTCCCCATGCCTGAAGGAACAAGTAGATGTCATTGAAGCACAGGTATTATCTTCTTTAGGCACATTCTGAGCGTCATCAAAGGAATCCGAGCATGTCAAAAGACATTACAAAACACAATAATTTAGGAGTAGAAGAGATGCAACTTACAGATAGGTGAACATTCTTCGACTCGCAGAATGCACGCAATTTGTGCTGCTGCCATACTGGATGGCACTCTACCTGGTTAACTGCAGGTCGAACTCGAGCAATCTCCAACAGATCTCCCAACTTCTTTGTTGAGAAGTTACTAACGCCAATAGCTCGAGCCCTTCCTGAATCATAGATAGCTTCCAAGGCTCTCCAGGTACTAGGTATATCGGTAGGGATAAGGTAGCCTGGTGAACCTACAGGAGCTCCCCTTTTAAAGCGAAAGGGCGAGTGGATCTAAAACAAATGACGCAGAGGAGTTCAGTTAAAATGCATACTCTTACGCAAACTAATCAAAATAATTTGGGCCAGTTGCCAGCAATTTGTGCAACAACACGTAATTATGAAAGTGTACAGAAACTTAAGTGAAGGGGAATAGTTAGGCTGGCTAGCATTCTAGCTTTGTTAAGTCGGTGATTTCAACGTGTTAACAAAACTAAAATTTCTGCTGGAATTGAGCACTTCAGGGTTTATACTTTATTATTCTTCTCCCCAGGGGGGAAATATGGTGGATGAGCTCTAAGATTGATCTCAACTATTCTATTGTTTCTTTCTAGTAATTTGACCTTCAAAACCAGGAAACGAGGAGGGGTAGCCTACAGCCTACAAAGGAATGAGGTTTGTAACTGACCAGGAAAGGAAAAGTTATGAAGAATTTGAAAAACTGACAAGGATATGAGAAAAGCAGAAGCATGAGCAACTTGAATGGAAATTTACACTCTGAAACCGCTCAATCGACTTCATCACTGGGTAATGAAACTTGCATGAGATGATTATATACAAAGCAAAAAAGAAAAGTTATACGAGATGATGATACTCAGGTATAATCAAATTGAAAATTATAATCATAGTGACAACTGAAAAGTATTGATTAGGAGATTGCGTACAAGGTACAGGTCGATATAGTCGAGCTGCAAATCTTCCAATGTTCGCTGAAATGCCACAGGTACATCTTCTGGTGCATGATCATCATTCCTACACAATGCTTCCGTTTGTTAGCATAAATATCAAAAGAGAAAAAGAGGAAAAAGAAAAGAGGTTTTAACAAACCATAGTTTGGAAGTAATCCACAAGTCCTCGCGCTTCACAACGCCCTCTTCAAAAAGTTTCTTCAAAGCTTCACCAATCTACAATCCATCACAGAACTATATCATTGTTACAAAGAGCAGTACAAGATTGTGACAAAAGCGTATACTGTAAATGATCAAATTCCTCTTCCATCAACAGTACCTCCTTTTCATTGCAATAATGATGTGCACAATCAATATGGCGGTAACCAACCTGTTACCATAACGTGTCAGACTAAGTCTATCAGCAGAACGAATATCAACTTATGACCAACAAAATTATTTACAATTCCCTATCAGCTAATAAAACATACCCTGACAGCAATTTCGACGGCACGACCAACGACCGCAGGCTCCGCCTGCCAAGTACCAAGGCCAAGCAAAGGCATTTTTACTCCATTGTTCAACTGATAGTAGTGCTTCAGGGCAGTCTCCATTTCAGCCTCCTTAGAACAAGTCAACTCTTTGCGTTTCTTAAAATTAACTAAATAAACCACATTTTTCAACAAGGAATAGTTTGTTAAATATTGAGAATAGGAACATGTTTGGCCTCGTAGTTTATGGACCCTTTAAAGTGTTTTGCAGGATACTTGTGAAGTTGTGATGCACAAACTTCCAAAAATGCCGTCTTTATCTAACCACCAGAATTATATAATCCCAAAAGGAACCTCATGCATATTAAACATTTGATTAAAATTTTCTAATAGTTTACAGATTGAAATATTTTGCCCGAAACAGCTATTACCTGCTACACTTTTCCGAATGCTTCTAGCGGTGTTCTGTCAATTGGTTTCGACAATTCCAAAGGTGGAAGAAGAATCCATAGGAGCCCCCATTAAAGATGAAATTGCTCCGTTCATTCTGAAGTGGACTTCAATGCTCCAGCTCCAAATACAGAGCGAAATCATGACTGCCTGAGAAACTATAGAAACTTTTGCTACCATCGATCTCATACTGGAGAAGAATTCAAGAGGTTGGGCTCATATGGACATATGAATAAGATCATGTATTGAATGGAGACTTAATGAGATGCGCGTGTTTTAATTTAACCTCGTCCTTATTAACTGTTTCTGCATCAGAGTTGAGTAACATAGCGGCATTGACGATCTAAGCCAGAACGAGATAGATTTGTCCCCGGTATATTCTTCAGCAAGCATTTCCAGAACCCTTCTATTGAGTTTCTGACCTGAAAATGGGCTGAGGCGAAAAGCAATTTGTACCTCCATTTGAACTGCTCTTAATGCCATGATTACGATTACAGATACTTCAGTTTGGATTTTATTTTCCACACCTTTGGTTGCAGAGTTTAATTTCAGGAGGGATATAAATAGGGCATGTCGTCTTTTTAAGAGCGAAAATTTTCTGGGAATTTAAACAAAATGGTGAACTTTGATCAGATCCCAAGTCTGCTGAGATGAAAATTACGTTTGGCAATCCAAAAGATATAGTTTGAGTTTCAACGATGCACTCTACTGCAATATACGTTCTAGATTATCACCTTACAACCTATAACAATACTGAACTGTTTGAAAATTACACCATAACATTACAATAACTGAAAACATGCAGGACTAAGGTCGATCGTCCAAACATTTATTCTATACGAAGGGTGTTCTGGCCCCAGAGGAGGGAGCTGGCACCAAAAGGGACGACTGTATTTATTGCTTTAGCATCACAACGTTAAACCTCACCATCCCAAAGTTCCTCAACTGACTTGTATGGTCCATTCGCTGTGATATAGGCTTCCCCTTTCACTAATCTTTCCTGCACAGACAAACGGAAAAATAAATTGGCAGCTAAATTAGTGCCCAAACAGAGTTTGAGGATTCATCAATGGCACAGTCCATGCAGATCTCCTACCCAGGCCCTCATAATAAGGTCGTGACTAGAGTTTACTGCACCATGCAACCTAGACTAATGTCTCAATATATCATTTTCAGGGATTTCTGGGAAAAGAACTACACTCTCTGTGCCCTTATTCAAATATAAGTACTATATAGATTATTATCAAGCTGGACATCTCCGGAATCAAATCAGTTGCATACTTAGATGCCATCAAAATAGAATGAACTTTCTTTACCTGCTTAATTTCGGAAAACTTGGCCATCAAATCATCAGGTATGGACCAGTCAAATATATCAAAATTCTCTTTAATTCTATTTTCATTTGTGCTCTTTGGAAGCACACCATGACCTGCCTGCAAACCCCAGCGCAAAGCAACCTGTGCGGGAGTTCTGCCGAGTGTTTCTGCTATACTAGTCACAATTGGATGAGTGATGACATTCCCTTTTATAAATGATGTTCCAGGAGAGCCCAATGGTGACCATGCCTGAAAAGATCAAGCAGACTTCAATATTTTTCCAGAGTAGGTGACAGTTAATGTCTTAGCCAATTTAAATATAGTCATAGGAAGTAAAATTCTGTAACTTGACTGATAAAAACTAATGACAAGAAAGTAAAAAAAAAAAATGAAACTTACAGATAGGTGAACACCCTTAGATTTACAGAATTCGTGCAACTTGGGCTGCTGCCATACTGGATGACACTCCACCTGGTCAACAGCGGGGGGGACTCGTGCTATGTCCAACAGATCGCCCAACTTCTTTGTTGAGAAATTACAAACTCCAATAGCTTTAGTCCTGCCAGAATCATAGAGTGCTTCCATTGCTCTCCAGGTGCTGTGTAAATCTGTTGGCAGAACATAGTCTGGTGAGCCTCTGGCAGCTCCCCTCTTCAAATGTACAGGCCAGTGTATCTAAGATAATGATGCACAAAAAGAATTTCAGTCAATCTACAACAGAAAATGGTTCAGAACATGTAGGTAGATTTACAACAGTACAAAATGGTTCTGAAATGTAAGTAGATGTAACTCATTGAGACCCCTATGATATTTCACTGCAATATTAAGACCCTGGTACTCTCACTTTAAGGGTATTTGGACAGAGAGTAAATGATCTATCATGTGTATGACAAGTATGAATAAAAAACTCTCACGGATAAACCTGTTCAAGTTCACAATAATTCATTACTTCTACATTTTCTGCTTGAGTCAAACACACTGATTTTTACATGAGCTCTGATTTCTTCTTAAATTAACTTCTATTGCCCCTGTCTGGTGTCTGCTACTTTGAACTTCAAAAGTTCAAAAACGCAGAGCCAAGAAATTTAAGCAGCTTATCCAAAGAAATTCAAAGGGAATATCATGAAGAGCGATAGAGTTGTCAAGGCCATTGCAGAAGCAAAAGTATCAGCACATAAAATGAAATTATGCAAAGAGTCAATTCAGCTCTTAACATATAAAACTCGGCCACAAAATGAATAAACTTTTGATTTCTAAGCAAAAGATGTGAGCTGGGAGGTAGACATACAAGGTACAAGTCGAGGTAATCAAGCTGCAGATTTTGCAATGACCTCTCGAAAGCCACAGGTACATCTTCTGGTGCGTGATCTTCATGCCTAAATTATTCTTCAATTTGTAAGCATAAATATCACAACCTATCCAAATATCTAAAAAAACACCCAGAAGAAGTCCAAACTAACCATAGCTTGGAGGTAATCCATAAGTCCTCGCGCTTAACAACGCCTTCCTCGAATAGTTTCTTCAAAGCATCACCAATCTATAACCCATAATAATAGATACAAAGTGCGGTACAGAATCAAGCTCAGATTATTCTACTTGTAATCAACATACAACCAAAACGAATGTACAAATTGTATATAAAACTTTTAAGTCCCAAATTCCCCCAATTTTTCAGATCAAAATCAACAATTACCTCCTTCTCGTTGCCGTAAATGTATGCGCAATCAATGTGACGATAACCAATCTGTTAAGCATAATAAAGTGATAAAAGAGTAAATATAATCAGCCGAGGGAACTTCTGTCAACAATCGACAACAACTATGAAATTTTCTCGACCAGTTTGCATATCAGGAAGTGAGGCATTTACCCTGACAGCAATGTCGACGGCTTTGCCGACGAGTCCAGGCGGCGACTGCCAAGTGCCAAGACCAAGCAAAGGCATCTTTGTTCCATTGTTGAGCTGAAATACGTGTTTCAGTGCATTCGCCATTCTTTTTTCTTTCCCTTATCAGATCAAAAGAACGCTATGATTGCAGCCGAGATCAATATAGGCTTTTAGAAGGAAAAAAAAAAAAAAGACACAAGTGTCATTACTCATTAGCACTCCATTCTAACGACATAATAACGACGGCTAGCTAGGTCGCGACGTCACTAGTGACGTGGGGGTTAGAATGGAAACTAGTCAAGTAAGTATTGTACTTTATGATAATGGGTGAATGGTCCCTTTGGCTATTTTAAGTGAAAAATGTATCCTCTTATAATTGACATCTCCTATTTCCTTCTCACACCAAAAATCCATTTTGTTAAATTGAAGTACTAGATTATTTTGAACTTTTTCATGATGCGAAAAAACAAAGTTAATCAAAGAGTTAGTGTAGGGTGTGGAGCCCAGATTTGTTTCACTTTACTGTCTTAATTTGTACTCTCTAAATTTCTTCATTCGTTTAAAATAACGCTTATTTTAGAATGGAAGGAATATCAATTTCTTTTGGTGAAAAAATTAATTTTTAATTGTAACTTTTATCTCCACAACATCTAGTAATCTTTGCTCATTTATTATTATTATTATTATTATTATTATTATTATATATATATATATATATTTGACTGGTTGAGTTATATCAATGTAGACCAAAAACAAAAGAAGAAGTCACTATCCAAAAACGTCGAGACCTACCTTTGCTCCAGAAACTCTGGTTTTATTACAAAACAAATTATTCTTTACATTGAAGATTACAAGAATACGAGGAACAAGCAACTAGAACTTCTTCTGCGATGAATAGATGCAACCGCAGAACTACAGATCGGCTGCATACGCATAACCACATCACACTTCACCATCCCATAGTTCCTCCACCGAGTTTACTACTCCGTTCGGAGAGACGAAAAATTCTCCTTTCAGTAATCGTTCCTGCAGATGCATATAGCAAAACACATTATTACATATATACAGATTTAAAACAAGATTGAAAATTACCGGTTTCTCAGCCCAATATGATCTTGAACATTCTAATCAAGACCACGCTATCACCAGATAGCTCGATAACCCCTTATTAGGATTCTAAAAATGGACACAAAATCGTCACAATGTGCATTTATAAAGAAAGAAACGAGCTTCTCTAGAGCTCTGATAGTACAGAAGTCAATTATATCTCTTATACCTGCTTGATTTCCGAGAACTTGGCCATCAAATCATCAGGAATGGACCAGTCAAAGATATCAAAGTTCTCCTTGATTCTGTTTTCATTTGTGCTTTTCGGAAGTACTCCATGTCCGGCCTGCAAACCCCATCGGAGGGCAACCTGTGCGGGAGTTCTGCCCAGTTTTTCTGCAACACTTGTCACAACTGGATGTGTCAGGACATTCCCTTTTACAAATGATGTTCCGGGGGAGCCCAATGGTGACCATCCCTGAAAGAAAAGGCATTTGACATTCAAGATTTGGTCATAATCACTGTAGCTTTGTAGGAATGCGAAAAAAAAATCAGATCCCCTCACATGTGAAAAAACATACAATCAGAACTCGATTGAACAATTTGCAACTTACCGATAGGTGAACACCCTTAGTTTTACAGAATTCGCGCAGCTTGTGCTGCTGCCATACTGGATGGCACTCCACCTGGTCGACAGCAGGGGGAATGCGTGCTATCTCCAACAGATCTCCCAGCTTTTTTGTTGAGAAATTACTAACTCCAATAGCTCGAGCCTTGCCTGAATCATAGAGTGCTTCCATTGCTTTCCATGTACTCGGTATATCTGCTGGCAAAAGGTAATCAGGAGCGCCGAAAGCAGCTCCCTTCTTCGCGCGCAGAGGCCAGTGAACCTAAAACAATGAATCACATTACTAAATTCACTATGGCCTAATCACCGAAATTTCTGAGCGCACAGAAAGAACAAACTTGCTGCGGATTCAGTTTCTGGTAACTTCAAGGCAATTAGACATAATTCACAACTGCAGCAAGAATCAACTCATTTACGACCTCACAGTTCGTGGGACTAGTGCGTACGTTTTTCTCTAGCTCAAGGAAATTCATTCAGGCAGAGAGAAGAACATATTATGTGTTTAGCAAGTGCTGCACAAGACATCCTATATTCCCACTTTATAAGCAAATATATCTCAAGGTGAACCATATACCTATATTTTAAATTTCTACAAGAGCAGGAGATGAGAAAAAAATAGCCCCAATTTACTTAACAGAGACTAAAACCAAAGCCAAAGCCAAGAACGATAGCTAGATGTAAAAAAATTTAGGCATAGAGTAACTAAAACCAAAGCCAAAAAAAAGTTAGGAGATTGCATACAAGATATAAGTCGAGGTAATCAAGCTGCAAATCATTCAAGGTTTTCTCAAATGCCACGGGTACGTCTTCTGGTGCATGATATTCATTCCTGCATAAGATATAGTCCTTTCAATTCTGTAAGTATGGTTTCTTCAAAATCACAGGCAATTCTGAAACAGGAAAAAAGGAACAAGGAGTTGGAAAACCACCATAATTTGGAAGTAATCCACATATCCTCCCGCTTCACAACACCCTCTTGAAATAGTTTCTTCAAAGCCTCACCAATCTATACAGTTCATTACAGTAAGTCAGTAGCAGAAGCATGCAAAGAGCAATAGAACAATAAAGTATTGACATTGATGGTACAGGACATAAAATAATCAAGATAAAAAAAATGGAACAACTACAAATTCAGTATGATTTTTTCATTGCAATATTTAACTGAGCACTTGGGTTTAGCTCAGAAAAGACCGACAAACACTCCACTTTAACTAAATTGTTATATATATATTTATATATGCGCTCCTAAATCCTAATTCCCATTTCGGAATAAGAAACAGATAAGGGACTAAAGAATGTACCTCTTTTTCATTGCGATATATTTGGGCACAATCAATATGACGGTATCCAACCTGTAATGATAACGATACAATCAATTTTATCCGGCAGGAGAATTTTTCAACTTATAAATCAATAAAATCAAAGCTCAAAAGCAAATACCCTGATGGCAGTTTCGATGGCTTTTCCGACGAGGCCAGGTTCGGACTGCCAGGTGCCAAGACCAAGCAACGGCATCTTTGCTCCGGTGTTCAACTCAAAGCAGTATCGATTCTGTGAATCAGCCATTTTTTGTTGTCCAGAAAACGAGCTAGTACTGAAATCTTTTAGGCTCCAATATTGCATCTAATTGACTTAATCTTGCATCATGGTTCATTCGCTCAAGTATTCCCAGAAATGTACAGAAGTTGTAGTTAAGTTCTATGGGAAACAATCCATTTTATATATACCATCGCCACTCTCCATTATTGGAGGATAGAGGCTACAAGAGAAGCCGGCCCGGCCACGTCACCTGTAACGTGAGGATTACTAGGAAAGACTGTTTTCACTTTTGGTCGATTTGTTAGGTCCCCTGTCATCGCAATAATCAACCTTTGCCCAATAGAGTTTTGTTTTATTCTCTCTGTCAATTCAATTCGCTCTTTTTTTCTTCTCTCTCTCTCTCTGGTTTTTTTTTTTTAAAAAAAATACTGTAAACGTCGCCCTTAAAAATAGTTATAATCACAACAATTTGCTAGAACTATCCACTGATTAGTGGAGTACTGTTTTTTAAAACAAAGAAAGATGATTAATCGCGAAGCTTGAATTACACGTTTCATGGTGTTTCATGTGGTCATATAGGGTGTTTCACGTTTCACATGGTAGACGGAAAAGAGGTAAAGGAAAGGCGGTGGAGAATGGAGATGATTTTTATGAAGATTTCAATACACTCCTTCCTTCTGTTCTGGAATGATTATTCACTTTAAAATTTTATTTTTAATATGAATGAGATTAAAAATAAAAATTCAAATATAATAATTATTTTATGATTTAAAGAATATAAGATTATTAATCTCTATTTATGAGAGACATGCAGTACACGATCGATAAATCAAACAAGAAAAGAAAAACAAATGAAGGAAATGATTAATTTGAAGAACAAAATGATGCAAGTGAAAGTGTAACGGTTTCATTTTTCAAGAAGTCATGTGTTATGGTTTCGTCCGTAAGATTATAACACATGACTTCTTGAAATTTGTATTACCTTTATCCCAGAAAAATAAACCAATTTGAAAAACTAGAATATAAAAATTAGATGACTTAATTTTGTAATTAAAAATTAATAGAGAAAATTAAAAAAAATTTCATAATTATTTATCAATTTAATAAGTAATTTTATGTTATACCAATTTCATAAGTCTAATTTTAAGATTGACATTTTTAACATTAGATTTTTTTTTATTTTTTTTGGACAAAGATAGTAATATTTTCAATTGTAATTAGTTGTTACTTTTTGCAATAAATCTCCCTTCTCTCTACAGTGTGCATAGTTCAAAATATATGAATTTGCAACGGAGGAGGACACTCCTATCATCCAATGCACCATCACGTTCTGAACTTCAAACTCAAATGTTCTAATTCCCTTTTTATTTTGTTGTCCTATGACTGAAACTACAGTCCGGACAAAATAAAAATAAACTACAAGTTCAATAAAACGATTCTAAAAAAACAGACAACAAGTGATATCATGGTTGATCTAAGAAGTAACAAACAGGCAACAATGTCCCAAAACTAAGGGAAACCATGAAGATGGAATGCATTCAACCCTCAGATCTCACCATCCCAGAGTTCTTCAACTGTTTTGTAATCCCCATAAGTCTCGTCCACAAAGCTGGTTCCCGTCATCAATTTTGCCTGCAAAGGCGCAGAAGAGCATTAAAAAAAAAAAAACTAAAGTCTGATTTGAGTTCTACAAAGTGAAAGAATTGCGTTGATCAAAATCAGAGTTAATAAATAAATTGCCTGCTCAATTTCAGAGAACTTGGGGAGCAAATCTTCAGGAATGGACCAGCCAAAAACATCCAAATTCTCTTTGATTTGTTGTTCGGTAACACTTTTCGGAAGTACACTGTGACCCATCTGGAGTCCCCAACGCAGAGCAATTTGTGCAGGAGATTTTCCCAGCTTCTCCGCAACCTCAAGTATCACTGGGTGCTTCAGAACGCTATTTCCCCTGTACCACTTAGTATCAGGGGATCCCAGAGGTGAATATCCCTGATTAAAAAAAAAAAGAAGAATGCAGATTATAGAGATTGAAGAAAGTAGGAATTGCTGAAAAGAAAAAAAATTTATGAATACTTTAGTGACTTGAAATAAATCATGAACATACGGTGAGGTGAACTCCCTTTGATTCACAGAATTCCTGCAATTTTGTTTGCTGCCACAGAGGATGGCATTCCACCTGGTTAACAGCAGGAGGAACCCTGGCTACAGCCAACAAATCTCCAAGCTTCTTAGTGGAGAAATTGCTAACTCCAATAGCTCGGGCCTTACCAGAATCGTACAGGGATTCCATAGCTTTCCAGGTGCTGGGGATGTCAACTGGAACCAGATTTTCAGGGTTAAACCCAATTGATCCCTTCTTCATCCGCACAGGAAAATGGATCTTCAAGAGGATAAAAACGGAATGGTTTAGTTACAGTGCGAAATGCAAAAGAAGATAAAACGGCAAACACAAGTTTTTTTATGAAGCAGGACTTACGAGGTACAGATCAAGATAGTCAAGTTGCAGATCCTGCAAAGTTTTTTCAAATCCCACAGGTACATCTTCTGGAAGATGATCAGTACACCTATAAAAAGCAAGTGAAATACAAAAAGACAATAAATCCTCTGCCTACGGACACTTTAATTAGCAATTCCAACTATAAAAGGATTACAATGTAAACAAACATTCAATCTAATGTATGCTTACCAGAGTTTGGAGGTGATAAACAAATCCTCTCTCTTCACAACACCACCATCTTCAAACAGCTTCTTCAAAGCGGAACCAATCTACAACGAACAAAGGGCTTAGAGTTATGTGCACAAATCCGCAAAACAGAACCGAACATTCGATAGATTATGTAACTTTCAAGCGCAGTTATCTGCTTCCTCGAATAAGTGAACATTTGATGGATAGAATCAGATCAGGTGGAGTAGACATAGAAGCTGAATTGATTAAATCAACCAAACTTCACTTTCTTTTAAGTTTGAAAATGTAAAAATCAAAACAGAAAATATTCGTTTCAGGAACAGAATGCTCGAAACAGAGAATGAGCGGCGTCGTACCTTGTCCTCATTCCCGTAGAATTTAGCACAGTCGATGTGACGATATCCCGCCTGTCAAGAATCAAAGATGAAGAACGCGCGTGAAGATTAAAACAGTTTAGCCCCAAAATTTGATGGTCAACCTATTTTTAAATTCAGTAATTATCTTTTATCATTAATACAGTGAATTCATGTTAGCTATCCTTAATTATTTTGTGTCATTAATTTATATTTAAATTATTTTCTTATCAATTGGTTAGGAATTAAATCCACTGGCATTATGCACGATTAATACAATTCAATCCACCGAAAACAAACAATTACGCTGATTATGAATTTACGCATGCATACGTACTTAAGAATTTTTAACTTTATTATGCATGCACATAATTAATGGTATTTCAGTCACGCAGAATAGATAGGCATTAGGATATATAAATATATATCGATCGAACATTTCGAACCTTAACGGCAATTTCAACCGCTCGTCCAACGTCGTCGGGTTTCACCTGCCATGTACCCAAACCGACAGAAGGAATTTTGGCGCCGGTGTTGAGTTCGAAGAACCGCAGGTCTGACGATGATCTCCCCATCCTCCCAAATACTACCTACAAAGTATCACCGGAATCAAAGGAATCGTCGGAAGTTTGAGTCCTCCCTACCGGAATCAAGCAAACAAATTAATGGATCGACTAGAACTTGAGTAGGATGCTTAAGCTGCCTGTGACTATGGAGGTGATTGATATAAAAAAAAGAGTACGTCCTATATATAGAGCTCGAAATGGGATTGGTAGTAATCATATCTCAATATAGTGGGTTGGTAATTTAATTACTAACCATATTTTGTTTGTGAAATGTAATACCTTCACATAAATTTGTTACCGTATTTGAGTAATACACATAGTTTTGTTACCTTATTTAAGCAATACACATTATTTAGTTACTTTATTTTAGTAATGCACACAGCTACTGTTACTAATCTATAATCTTTCTGAGAAATGATACTTTAACGATCAAATTTCGGAGTAGAATACAAAAGCAGATTGAACGTTTGTAAGCATGAGCAACATTGAAGATGTTTACACTTTACACTATAACTTTTACAATGTGAGTCTTACATTGACACCAATAAATTATTTCATTATCAAAAAATGGTATCATTATAAAGTTGTGAAAATAAACATAGAAGTTAATTTCATGATTGTTATGATGATGGTAACACATTAATTAATTATCAAACAATAATACTATCAAAATACGGTGAAAACAATACTAACTTACTTCAGTTTGGCCTTTATCAGCTTTCTCCTCAGCTTTGGTATGAGATGAAAAAAATCAACGCAACCAATTTCTTAAAACAAATAAACATTTTGGTACTCTTATATTGATAACGATAAATTAATTAACTGCAAAACAATGACACCATAAAATTATTTAAAATGATACAAAATGATGGTTTTTTTACTTTTGTCGACTATATATCTTGTCGATTTTGCAAATTAGATAAAAGAGTCTACGTGAACAATTTTCTTAAAAAGTTTTTTTTATGACTTTTACATTGATACAAATACATAAATTGATTGTCAATCAATAATATTATCAAAATGTTTTTTGAAATGATAAAAAAGAATGAATTTTGACTTTCGTCAACTTTCGTTTTGCCTTTGCTAATGAGGCGAAAAAGTCGTCGCAAACAATTTCTTCGAGCAACTAAAAAGTATGTTGCTTTTACCCATCTTTGGTGGGTTTCCGACGTTTAAAAAAACAATTATGTGGCTTTTACGTTAATCCTGATAAATAAATTAATTATAAAAAATTAATGGTTTCAAATTTGTTTTTTGAAATAATAAGAAGTAATGGAATTTATCCTTCGTCGACTTTTTCGTCGGCTTTGCTAATGGGACGAACAGGTCGACGCAAACTATTTCTTCAATCAAATAATGAGTTTTACAATATTGATACTCATACATTAATTCATTATCAAACAATGACAATATCAAAAAATTGTGAAAACAATAAAAATTTATTTTCTAGTTTTGCCTTTTTCGAATTTTTCCTTGGTTTTGCTAATAAGATTAAAAAAAAGAGTCGACAAAAGAAATTTTGTTAAAACAAGTAAATATTTTGGTACTTTTATATTGACACCAATGAATTAATTAATTAATTATCAAACAATAGCACCCGACCACAATGAATTAATTAATTAACATCACTTATACTACTAAATTAATGTCCGTTAACATAAATGGTAGAAAAATAATGAAAAGCCTATATAATATTAATGATTAAAAATAGCAAAAACTTATTAGAATAACATAATAAATGTAAAAATATATTTTTAAGGTTTTATTTTCAATTAAAAGATCATATTATATGAAATTTACCACAAATAAAAATGGCTTATGATAAGGAGGGGAGGAAGTATCAATCGGTTGATTAGCTGAAGCATATACAACATGGGTATGAAGCATGAACCACCATATCCGATTGATTTGTTACTCTTTTTCAGTGTATAAAAAGTTATCCATTTCAGCATCACTCCCTCTAGTGAACACATAAATTTTAGAGAAATGACAATTTCAATTCTCTGTGATTGAAGATTCAATAGTATTAGTCTCTAATTCTTGAAGTTAAAACGGTTTACCGTCTAACATGCTTGACAGTAAGTCAAAATCAACACTATCTACAGACTAAAAAACAGTAGTACTTTTTGTTATTTTTAATCACTAATATTATATAGGCTTTCCATTATTTTTCTACCATTTATGTTAACAAACAATAATTTATTTCACTAACTATATATATATATATATATATATATATATTTTTGTGTGTGTGTGTCTGAGAGTATCGGAATCATCTTCATATCCTCCATATTCAATCATCAAAATGTTTAATTTCTTGCACTTTACTATATTTCGTTATTCCAGCTGTTTTTGGGAATTTCTGAATTTTCGAAATCCTCAATCAGTGAAAATGGGGATACTGCACAAGTGTGTAATGTGTTATGTTATTAATATTAAGTATGGATTAAACAAAAATCAATCCATGGAACAGAAACGCGTACGTAATAGCTTCGTACTCATTTCTCAGACATCAGTGAGGTTGGTGATTTTCATAACTCACCATATTTCATTTGTGAAATGGATTGGTACAAATGATTAGTAAAACACAAAATTTTTGTTGCTTTTATCTAAACTTTGATCTGTTTGAGAAATTGTATTTCTTAATTATCAAATTACGCTGTTATATGAGCAAAATTGTAATGATAATAATCATTAAACCTTAACCTGCTGGAACTTCACTCACTGCGTTTTCAGATACTTATTGTCAACTAACATGGAAATTCAGTAAAACTGACCAAATTGAAAACATCCATTTTCTGGTTGATGTTTAAGTTTACACTTTACAGAACAGTGTCTCCAACAAAATGAGAATGGCATTGGCAGCAGACGGATAAAAAACGTCCCGAACTAAATCAAGAATAACATCGCAAGCATTGGCTGCAGTGATTCACTACAGACATTTATATTCAACTGCAACCTCAGATCTCACCATCCCAGAGTTCATCAACTGTTTTGTATTCGCCATAAGTCTCGTCCACAAATACGTGACCCCTTAGCAATCTTGTCTGCACAGTCGCAGGAAATTATTTTGACAGAAAATTACTGGGAAAGAATTGCATAGATGGGCTCTAAAAAGATACTGTACTCAACTAAATGCACTGAACATCAGAATGTAAACACCCGCCAACGTATGTTCTCATGGTTTCATAGTCACAACAATGCAGAGGTTTCTGAAAGCAAAAATTCCAACTTCACTTACTCCCCATTATGCGAGACAAGAACAAAATAACTCTCCCGAGGTTTATAAGACCTACACTACACAGAGATGACGTGAAAATTTGAATTCATCGAATAATTAATATCATATATTACCTGCTCAATATCAGAGAACTTGACAAACAAATCATCCGGTATGGACCAGTCATATACATCCAAATTCTCTATAATTCGTTGTTCATTAGTGCTCTTTGGAAGCACGCTATGGCCCTTCTGGAGACCCCATCGGAGGGCAATTTGTGCTGGACTTTTGCCCAATCTCTCTGCAGCCATAACTATCACTGGGTGCTTAAGAACGTTACCTTTCATCCATGTTGTTCCTGGGGAGCCCAGAGGTGAATAACCCTAATGAAATGATGCAATTTCCAAGTTAATTGCAGAAAGTCATCTTGTACAAAGAGGAGCAAGTTACAGTATAACAAATTTCAGTAGGGCCTGATGTGGTAAAGATCATAAAGCATAAGAAATATCCATAGTTGAGAAGACATGTAGCCCAAAGAAACAACTTACTAAAAGTTGGATGAATTATCACAATTGTCGGAGCCAAAAAAGCTTGTAAAAATATGATGTTCAGTCCACCACCAGGCACCACTAATATAAAACACCCATTGTCCGACAGGTAAAATATGAACTTACAGAGAGATGAATTCCCTTTGATTCACAGAATTCCCGCAATCTTGGTTGCTGCCATGATGGGTGGCATTCCACCTGACAAACAGCAGGAGGAACCCTGGCTACAGCTAATAGATCTCCAAGCTTTTTCACAGAAAAATTGCAAACCCCTATAGCCCGGGCCTTAGCGGAATCATACAGGGATTCCATAGCTTTCCAGGTGCTAGGTATATCAGTTGGAATGAGATATTCAGGCTTGACACCAATCGAGTCCTTCTTCATCCGGGCAGGCCAATGAATCTTCAATAAAATCATATGCAAGAAAACTCAGCATGCAAAGAAAGAAATCTCTATGAGTTAACCTATGAAGCTCTTTATCTAAACCTACTCAATGGCAACGGCATGTGGAGTATTTAGTGAAAATATACACAGCTCAAATGCCCAGGAAATCATAAGTGGACGATCGTCTAAAGTAGATTGATTCTTTGCGAAGCAAAACTTACAAGGTATAAATCAACATAGTCAAGTTGCAGGTCCTCTAAGGTTTTGGCAAGTGCTACAGGAACATCTTCCGGAGCATGATCAGTGCACCTGTACAAGCAAATGACATTTATGATCTTTCATTAGAAGGGAAAAGTTACAAGAAAACATCTGGCATAGTCCCTTGTACAACAACTACAAGTAAAATGAATTACTATATACACTTAAATGTAGAATTCATTGCACCAATGCACATCATAATGCTAGCAAGTTGCAAGAAAGTACAGACATAGACATACGAGTTTAGGCACTGCCAAACAATGAACAAACCATTTATGGCAGAAATTCCGCAGGACAATGTGGGTCTATCCGATAGCACAAACATATTATCTCATACTGCTAAATGATCAGGTCATTTTATATACTAACCAAAGTTTGGAGGTAATAAATAAATCCTCCCTTTTAACGAGGCCATCTTCAAATAGCTTCTTCAAAACTGAACCAATCTACAAGGATGGTGGGAAAAAAAGTCAGATTTTTGGGCTTTCAGCTTTTACCCCAAAAAATATAAAAGCAGCAAAAAAGCTCAAATCACGCAATGATTCCCATAACAAGATTTAGTTTCTAGAAGAAGAAGATGATAAAATCCCATCCAACACACGACCAACAGGAATGCAAAACACAAACACCAGAAGCCATTTTACAAGCAGAGGTGGTAACATATTAACAAGATCTAAGAAAATAAACCAATATTCGACATTTTAAGTTTAAATGCGTAAAAAGGCAAACGAAAATATTTTCGTATAACAGTTCCCCAAAACGAAGATATCAGATAGAAAGCTTCCTAGCAGATCACTAGTGAATGTTTGACAAAAATATGTTGATTCTAATACATTAATAATTTTTCAATAGGCAGAAGTTTAGACATTTTTTCAAATATCTAGCACTTTCACACTATCTCTAAAATTTACCAAAGTACCAACTTATCTACATTGCTATAAGACATAAACTATTGGTAAAAATGCATATCAGTGCTCATGCATGGTTTTATTCTACAGCATGATAAAGGAAGAAATAGTTATGGTTAAACAATCTCCCCAAATACAAAGAGGATCAGCACTATACCTCCTTTTCATTGTAGTAAGCCCTAGCACCATCAATATGACGATATCCAGCCTGCCAAGTTGAAGAAATATTTATGAACATGTTGTACTTAAGCAGAAGCCAGCAAGATTCTGAGTTCTTCAACATCTTCCTAAGGATAAAATTAATGAGAAGTCATAACAACAACAAAGCCACAGGCCATATCAAATTAACTCACTAAATTTCTTCTAATGTAGCTATCCTCATAAAGACCTTTCCCCTGTTCCAGAAATAAAGCACGCTTCATTTGCATTGCTCAGCCAAATTACATCATTCCTTGCCAGTTCAGGGAGCCTAATGTTACAAAAGGGTTGCGATAGAATAATCATCATCACAATAGGATGAAAATTCCAAAAAGAAAGGTGCAGTCTTTACATGCTTCAACTGTACTTCGGGGTGATCACAGAATCAAGAAACTGGTACTGATATTTTAGACTGCTATTGGGTTGAATTTGGGCATTCTTGATGTAAGAAGTGTCCGTGAACCTAAGAGGCTTGTCTTTTCGCGAAGGCCGTGGAGTTGAGAGGAGGGATTCCGAAGAGTAATCCCCAATCTTCTGAAGGGCTGATGGGGAAAGAGAAGAAGATGGAAGTGAATCTTCAAGAGTTTCAGCAAACTGGAGGACATTAGCAGCAGAGATTGGCTTAAACACTCTGAACTTACAGACTCCTGGTGTTCTGAGTAATCTATATTTCGAAAGACAGTGGAATAAGTGTAAGGATGATGATGAAGTTTGGGGTTTGAAGATGATCGGCGTGAAGTTTGGAGTAAGCTGTAAGCGCCATTGTTGTTTTAGACTCTGTTTGTCCGTGTGTTTTTGGTCTGTTTGGAGTATGCTGTGGAGCACGAGCTCTGAGGTATGATTATTATACAAATATACCCTTTTTGTGATGGTCTTATTTCAAAGTATCACCCTGAACTCTAGTAGACTATTAGACTATCAAGAATTCAAGATGGTCTCCGTTGAGAAAATAACCTTGTCTCATATGGATAATAGGAGACTCTTAAAACTAATATATAGACTGACCTGACAGTTATATTCGGGGTGTAATTTACTTATCCATTTGGGCCTTCTACTTCTATTTACCTAGAATCTGGGCCTTCTATTTCTACTTTTTCTACTTACTCAAATCTGGGCCTTTTATTTCAATTTCTACTTACCCAATTATATTTAAGCCTTTACTGATTCGACAGTTTATCTTTTTATCCAAACCCTTCGGGCATTTGAGTCTTCTACTTTTATTTACCCGAACTCTGGGCCTTCTATTTCTATTTCTTCTACTTACCCAAATCTAGGCCTTCTATTTCTACTTCTGGGCCTTTACTAATCCGACAGTTTATCCGTTTTGTCCAAACCCTTCGAACTTGAGAGGGAGTGTTGAGATTTCTACTTTTACTTACCCAGTTATATCTGGGTCTTTATTGATCTGGTAGTTTATCTGGTTTGTCTAAATCCTTCGGGCTTGAGAGGGGATACCTTGTCCCACATGGATAATTGGAGACTCTTGAAACTAATATATAATCACATGTACTACTCCTCTCATCATCAATTAGTTTTAGGTGGAACCACATGTGGGCCTATATTTGGGCCTTCAAGAGTCTCTAAACGTTTTGAAATGAACTTTTCAGGTTTTTCAATTATTTCGGGAACAAAAAAGTCATTTCTTCTTTTCAGGGTTATAAAAATGATACAACAAGATAATACCCAATGTTCATATACAAACACTTTTCTCTCTTAATGTTTTCTCCATTGATATAGAAAAATCAAAGGCCGAGATAGTCATGTTAAATGTTTTTAATTAAGAAAGCTATACTACTTCTGTCATTTGGCTGGAAAAAAGAAAAACTAAAAATGTTATACTAGCTGTTATATACACGTGTTTCTATTTGTTAAAATGCTAGTTTCTTCTTCACAGAGTTCACACGAAGCTAACAATAGGATAAAAATCATAGAAAATAAATATAGAGATAGGCAGAATTAGTTTAAGGATGGAAGTTAGAAACCTGCACGGCGATCTCAACAGCTTGGCCAACGACGCCGGGATCAGACTGCCACGTACCCAAACCAACAGAAGGCATTTTAGCGCCGGTGTTGAGTTCCACGAATCGAATGTCTTTCCCCATCCTCCAATCACCTAATTAAGAAACCACCGTGCGTTGGGCTGGACCCTGGAGTACTAAAATGAATCAGCAAATGAGCGAGCTCCTATACTATATGGAACAGAGAGCAAACGAAAGAGAGCTGAAATGTAGCAGGAGGGTGATGTTTGAGCGGGCAGTGGCTACGGAGGCGTAAGTCATTTATAGAGCTTATTGTTACTAACAATGTGGTTCGCGGTAACATTTTGCCAGTCTATGAAAATTAAAATAAAAAAATAAAAAAAGCATGAATAGCTGGTTAAACTAATAAAAATTCAATTCATAAAAACTACTAATTTAATTGGATGGTGGTTCTCTTTGGACAAGAATCTTTTGACTCTTGGTGTTTAGTGACCACGTACTTTTTTGTGCAACTAGATTTATTATGGATTGATCTAAAAAAAAATTTTAAAAAAATCTTCAAATACCTTCAAAGACCACAAATGATATTCAAATGAAATGATCTCATTCGTAATCGCGCACATCAGAATAGGTATGATTCTGATCGCTGATATTCTATAATAGTTTGGCGCTTCTTCTCCTATAATCCAAAGGTGAGGGATAATTTTAAGTTTTGAGCCAGAATTTTGGTGTGGTGATGATAAAGAAATGGACCATTTGGAACTTAAAATGAAAGGCTGATGTGCGCATGCCTATATGAATGCGGTATTTCACTATTTATAAAACTTCAAATGGAAACCTTACTAGAAACTTTTTTAATAGCATATTCTACTTTAGTCTCTTTTTTCCCAAAGCAGCCAAGAGCGACCGTAACAACTGATGAGCCAATATGCATTTCCGAGGTCACATTCCCATAATAATTTATTTATATAGATTATCCTGGCAATATAGGGGTTGGGGGGTGGGTTGTCGGATCAACCTGGTCGGCCTAATCAAGTTAACTTTATGATAATAATCAAAGAAAATTTGTATTGCTAGATGTGCACTATTGCAGCTGGTATTGTGATTCTTTAATTAGGATTTTAACCACTATTAAACTTCTAACCCTGTGAACGTTTAGCTGATAACAAATGAAGAAGATAGCATAATCCTGAAGATCAGATGCAAAATACCAAAGGTATTTTAGATATAGCTGCAGTATCAGATCAGATCTCGCCGTCCCAGAGCTCTTCGATAGTTTTGTATTCGCAGAAAGTCTCGTGCACAAATGATAAACCCTTTAGCAATCTTTCCTGCACAGTTTCAAAGAAGCATCAAAATTCTGTTGAAAAATCATGAGAACTTAGTATATATCAAGTTCCACCGAGTTTAATGGAACAAGATACCGGGGTCATATGTGGTGTATATCACATTTAAGTTCTTTGAAAAGTGAGAATCATATGTTACCTGCTCAATTTCAGAGAACTTGGCAAACAAATCATCGGGTATGGACCAGTCGTAAACATCCAAATTCTCTTTGATTCGTTGTTCATTAGTACTCTTCGGAAGCACACTATGGCCCTTCTGGAGACCCCAACAGAGGGCAATTTGTGCTGGAGTTTTGCCTAACTTCTCTGCAACTGAAACTGTAACTGGATGCTTAAGAACGTCACCCTTGATCCACGTTGTGCCAGGGGAGCCTAGAGGTGAATATCCCTGAAGAAATCAATCAATTTATAGGTTAATAAGGAACTGCAGAAAGTCATCTCGTACAAAGAGGTGCAAGTTAACAATAAGACATCTTTCAGCACAAAGTATCATGATCTGATGTTAATTTTTGTATCAGTAAAGAATTATTAACAGTTGGAAAGATCTAGATTATATCCAAATTATAAGCTGGGGCTAGTATAGGCAAAAAATAACTACTCGAGATTGAACTAATGATCAGCATAAAAGCAAAAGTTAATATAATTACAATATTTATGCCCTTCCACTAATTTTATTTGATTTTTTTTCCCCTTTCATGAACTACCACTACCCACTCCAGAAAGGTAACTTAGTTCATAAACTTACAGAGAGGTGAATTCCCTTTAATTCGCAGAATTCCCGCAATTTTGGCTGCTGCCACGAAGGATGGCATTCCACCTGGTTAACAGCAGGAGGAACCCTGGCTACAGCTAACAAATCTCCAAGCTTCTTCGTTGAGAAATTGCTAACCCCTATAGCTCGGGCCTTACCAGAATCGTAAAGGGATTCCATAGCTTTCCAGGTGCTAGGTATATCAGATGGAACAAAATTTTCATGCTTAAAGCCAATTGAGTCCTTCTTCATCCGGGCAGGCCAATGAATCTTAACAAAAGGAGAGAAATTCAGCACGTGAAAAGGAAAAAAGAAAACATCCTAGATGAGTTGGCCTATGAAGTTCTATGTCCAAATCTACTTGTTATTGCACATCCACGATCTTCTAAGTTTAGCATATCTACAGGATGTTTGACACAAACAAAATATTGGATAATATCACATGTTGTGGTAAGAAGATACACAACTTAATTTATGGCTGTCCAGGAAATTTTAGCTGCATGATGGTTGAGTGAATATTTGAATTACAATAGTCCATAGAAGAAAAAAAGTATAAACAAACTTTATGAAGTAACACTTACAAGGTACAAATCAACATAGTCAAGTTGCAAATCCTGTAATGTTTTGTCAAGTGCCACAGGAACATCTTCCGGAGCATGATCTTTGCTCCTGTATGGGCAAGTAACATTTAGGTCTTCCAATAAATGGTAAAAGCAACAAGGAATCTATGGCCATGGCCACGTTTATTAACAACTACAGGAAAAAGGAATTAGCACAACGCATACATTGTTCCCCGTGACTTCAGGGCGCATCAAAGTGCTGGCAAGTTACCAGAGAAGTGTAGATAATAGCAGTAATAGCTAGGATAGCCAAACAATAAAAATTTACTGCAGAAACAGATAAAATGTTGGCACAGCTTGGGATATCTATGTAAACAGGTCTAATTAGTCACGTTTGTCCAAGTTCAAAGATATTGTTTAAAACTGAATCCATGCAAAAGTAAAATGAAAAATATGATTTGACAAGCAAGACAATATCAACTCATAATAGAAATCTTACCAAAGTTTCGAGGTAATAAACAAATCCTCTCTCTTGACGACACCATCTTGGAACAGCTTTTTCAAAACGGAACCAATCTGCAAAGAATAACACAAATTTAATCTGCATTAAAATTTAAAGGCACCCTAAGACCGGGGGGAAACAGTGCCACGTGATTCCTGCTTTTCTCCAAATTAAGCATAAACGTAGAGCAACGCAGATCATGCAATACTAACCCTGACTTTCAAGTGCAATGATTTTGTTTCTAAGATACGTAACAACTACAATAGCACAAGATCAAGTAATAAATAGCCTTCAGCAAAACTGTAAAGCCCACAGAATATGTATCCAAGCGAGGTGATCATTCAGAAATCAAGCAAGAGTCACCTTCTTTAAGTCTAAACCTATAAAAACCAAAACAAAAGATGAATGTACAACAATTCTCAAAATTTTCATTGGAGAGAGATTTCCTAAAGATCACGAGTCCATGTTTGCATAATGAGCCATTTATGCTCGTTTTCACCATTTTATAAAGCAATAAAAGAACAAAATATATTAGTATATTCATAACAAAGCGCGCCTCTAAGGTTCATCTTGTTAGAAACATATGGCTGGATTTTGTCAAAGGCTAACACGGTGCACTTCAATGCACAAAGAAAGAGGACAACAAATCTACGACCAATTGCATCAAAAAACTGATGAACGATAATTGCAGTTAGGAACAGAGTAAGAGGAGCAGCATTCCACCTCACTCTCATTGCTGTAAGCTCTAGCACAGTCGATATGACGATATCCAACCTGCCAAGAAGAGCAACTCGAAATGCAATTCTAAATATCGGCAGAAGCACATCATGCTAAAGAGATCAATGATCAAATGCAATAAACGTAGGCCTGAACCAAATCAAAGTCATTTGCTACTCCATTTCTACTTTCCACTTTTAACTTTCAAATAAATTAATTTCTTATTAATGCTAATGATTATGAATAAACTAGAAAAGAAGATCACATGCAACTACAGCATGTGAGAGGTACAAAGAATATATTTATGCGATCAATGGTTGTAATAATTGTTAAATAAAATTAAGCGACAGTACTACAGGAATACAATTGCTTTTGGGAGATAGAGCAAATAAAATAATCACGGAATCCAATTAAGCTTATGTGCATCCTATTTTCTTTTGCATGACGCCGACGGAATGAAGATACATGAAATTCAAATAGAGACAGAATGCCTGAAAGATTAATTAAAGTAATAAAAAAAAAAAAAAAAAAAGCGGAATGATGGAACCTTGACGGCGATATCAACCGCTTGGCCGACGACACCGGGGTCAGCCTGCCAAGTTCCCAAACCTACAGACGCCATTTTGGCTCCGGTGTTGAGTTCGAAGAATCGAATGTCTTTCCCCATCGCCAAAAACCTAGGAAACTCTACTGGCGCAGCGAGAATTAAAGAATCGGAAATTGGATGGAATTCAACAAGCAAAGGACTGAAAGGAGGCAGAGCAGCACTGCCGCCAGTATAAACTAGTATAAAATGCTCCAGTCCAGGAGAGCGGCAACAATAATAAAATGATAAATGAAACTCCGCCAGATGTGTGAAAAAAATGGTGTAACACGTGGAACAATCAGGGTGGAGGTCATCTCTGAGCCGTTGGATGCTCGTTTGGAATTTGACCATTTTGGTCGAATTATTTATTTTTTTTTTTCATATCACGCACGGTGTTCTAAGTGCATTGCACTGAGACTAATTCGTACCGAACTGAGTCGGTCTTCTTTTGGAAAGAAAATTTTCCAAACATTACTCTTTCTATTCACGAGACTCGAACCCCATACTTTGCTTAAAGAAACTAAAACACCTTACCACTTTGGCCAAGTAAGTGTTGGTATTTTGGTCGAAATCTGAACTGGAAAATTTTGGTGGGCTAAAACTGGTGGACACTGGACACAAGCACGCATCTGATCCATTTTCATTCCATGAATGTGATTTTCAGAAAAAATGACTAGAGCTTATTCAATTCTCAGCATTGATGGCCTCTTCTATATTTACTCACTCATTCAAAATCTTCCTTTGCTTCACGATACGATGATCAGATGATGGATTGGTCACACATTATTACATAAGAATGCCGGCCAAGAATCACAAACTCGCCTAATTCAATTGGCATCTTACTTCTTGCATCATTATTCAGCATCAAGAGACAATGACGTTACCTCCGTAGACATGTACTCCCTCTCCTCTCCTGTCCTTATTATAATTATTATTATTTTTTTACTAAGTTTCAAGTAGTAGTATATTTTTTCATTTGAATACAAAACTTTAAAAATGAATTTTCATAAATGTTCTCCTAATACTTATGCTTTGTCTTTTGGAATTCATCAATTTCAATGTTAGAAAAATAATTAAGATTCAACCACACCATTTCCTATTAAAATTGTCTATATATTTTCCTAGTATATATTGGCACTCTTTTGATAATTTATCGTTTCTTTTTATTTGGGCTTAATTTTTAAACTAGATTTCCAGAATAATCACAAAAAAATCTCTTATTGTGCCGCAAAGTATCGACACTTGTAATTTTCACTGATGTCACTTTCCTACCACGTGCCAGGCAGCTTGATCAAATAGTTAAGTGGTCGATCTTGGACATTTCTCCAAAGGTGTGGGGTTTTCCTCAGATTAGACCAAATCTTAAGGGGGTGTTTTTGATATTCGCGGCATTTCGGCAAGCAGGAAAATTCTTAATGACAAAACTGCAAAGAGAAAACGATAAAAAAAAATAAAAAATAAATAAAGCAAACCAAACGAGAAAAGGAGAAAAAGAAAGGTGATCCACGTAGGAAACATAATGGTGTTTAAGCAACAAGCAATCAAAAAGTACAACTACTCCTCAATTCATTCATCCTTGCTCACTAGTTTCTAGTTTGTTTGCTAGTAATAGTATAATTAAAACTAGATGCTTGGCCCAGGCAGATGCCCGGGCGCCCCCTCTACTTTAATTTTGTGTTAATAGATAAATGAATTTTTGATTTGGAAAAAATAAAATAACTACACATTTATTTTTTCTCTTTTTTAGCCAAAAATAAAAATGAAAATAAAAAAATCATCTGCAAAAGGAGAAAAAATATTGAAAAGTACACCGATGCAGAAATCATACAAAAGAATGTGGAGTAATAAAAGAGATAAGTTTATGGACAAATTTAAATGGTATCTTAATTTGATTGATAAATGATAAGTGTTAGCAGTTAAAATTGTGTAGCTATTTTTGTAAATTAGCTTTTGTTTTTCCGGATAAGAAGTTTTTTTTTTCTTTTAAAAAAGGATGACACGTGGCAGAATGGTTAAAGCAATATGGTGCATTTGGAGCCAAAATTTTTTAATTAGAAATTGCCACATCAACTTCATGTATTCTGCTTTAATAGGGTAAAAGGGATAACCAACCTCTTGATGGGGAATATTACTACCGTTAATTCCTCATACTTTTAGAAGAAAGTAAGTAGTACTAGTAGTATTAAAAACCTTCAGTCAGAGGAACATTTTAAATACTATCATCATCAACTGTATTCTGTCCCAAAAGTAAAAGTAGTGAGTATTAATATTTATTATTATTATTAATAATTTATTTATGTAATGGTATTATTATTATCAGCCCCAAGAATTGTTCTCCACTTTCTAGTTTTCTAATAAAAACAATAAAACCCAGCAGTGGTGGTGAATCTGGTGGAAGCACTGCAGTTTTGGATGATGTTATACCATCCCAATCACTTTCCTTCCGTCTAATCTCTTTCGGTGAATACGGCCTGAATTTGTTAGCGATTTTAGCATCTGTATTTGATAGGGAATCGGGTTTGGGGGAAATGGGTGAATTTGGGGAAATCTGAGGAATTCCCCGGTTCCCCTTTGTTTGGGGGTAAGAAGAGCCGGATTTGGGTAGGAGTGAAAATTAGAGAAGAGATGAAGGAGTTGATTGGAGGTCCGGGTACGGTTTGTGGGTTCATATTAAGGGTTGCTCAATGTGTGTGTGCAGCTGCATCCATTGGAGTTATGGTTTCTGCTTTTGGGTTTTCCAATTACACTGCATTTTGGTAATAATTCCATCACTTCATTGCAATTTCTTTGTCTTCTCCAATCTGATTTTTTCTGCTTTTCAGTTTGATTGGTAATGTTTTGTGTTAGTATTGTTATTATTATTATTATTATTATTATTTTTATTTTTATTTTTTTTGGGGGGGAAATTCTATGTTCTGTATTAGCTTTGTAGTGTTTGTGGACTGAATAGTTTGCTGATTTGGAATGATAGAACACTGTTAAGATTTGTTTGTTACCAGGTTTCTTTGTTTGGATATGTTCCTTCAGCTTTCACTATCCCTAGCAATTCTAAGGTTTAGTTTTAAGTTAATCTTAATTCTTTGACGATATGTTCAATTCTATATGCCATGACCTATTTCACCAATCACTGACTCTGTTCTGGAATGCCATTGTTGGTGGAAATGAGACTTGTCCTATACATTCAAATCTTGCAGCTCTACCAATTTTTTTTGGTTTTCTTTTCCAGCTAATACTCCTGTCAGTGCTGCTTACAGTTAAGACACAACTGTATTTTTCTTGTAGCCTAATTGGCCCCGAGTAAGCTTTGACGTTATCTCCCATCGTGTTGAACTTTGATGTATAAAATTACCATAGCGTGAAGTTGCCAATTTTTTGCCGTTTCAAATATGTGGCAGAGTCTGGGGCCTGTGGCTTTTTTGAGATTCCTGTTAGATTCCGCAGCTAACATCTGAACTCATTGATTAATAATAATTTTTCTGGGGACCTCGTGTAGTGAAGCACAGGTCACCAGGAAAGAATATATTGTATGCAAATGTGTTCCTAATGAATTATAAAAGAAAAGAACTGGTTCCTCCTCCCAATTGAGTATTTCCTTTATGAGATATATAGGAGGCATTCTTGCTGGTATGATTTATGCTTTTGTTCTGATTCCCAAAAGGTGTTCCAAGATCATTAACAAGAAGGGAAAAGTATGACCTGAGCTGTCTTTGGAAAAGGAAAGAGGATGTACACATATTCTCATGGCGAAAACCAACACTGTCTGTCCTAGTGTGTAGTAATTAGTGGGTCCTGCCATGACATAGGTAACGGTGTTATAGAGTGACGATAGCTTCCCAGTACTCAATATGAGAGTTCATCAAGTGCGTCATCACATTTCTTCAGTTATCCATGCCTCCTGTCCCTCTCTTTTTTGTTTTTCCTTGTTTTCATTTTGTCTTCTTCCCATTATTTTTTCTTGAAAGATTTTGTTTCTTTGTTTTAACATTAAACATTATATGACTGGCATACTTTTCCATTATTATTCTGTTAGACATAATACTAGCTCTTTTGAAAGTTAACGTGCATAAGTTTTGGTGAGGTTGTTTTGCCAACATGCTTTTTTTCACTTTGCTCATATGCGAGTTCTGGATTCAGCTATTTGATTGCATCAATGGGGCTTCAAGTCTTGTGGAGCTTTGGACTGGCATGCCTGGATGTCTATTCTCTGAGAATAAAGAGAGACCTATATAATCCGGTGTTAGTGAGCCTCTTCGTCGTGGGCGATTGGGTACCTCCGGATATCTTTACTCTCATTTTGCTTCTTATTATCTGCATAATATGTTTTTTTGCTTGATTTCTAGCTATTTGCTTGGTGGGTGTGATGTTGTAAATTGGGGTTTTAAAGGGCAATCATTCTTGCTATCAAATTTTCTTGTCACTGTTTGACATTCTTCCATTTCTCGTTTCACCTTCTGCAATGGCAATCGAGTACTTATGGATAGCTGTCTACTTAATTCCCAGGCTAATATGAACAACTGGAACTAAAACTAATCAGTTGATATGTATGCATGTATTTGCTTAACTTAGAAGCTAATGGTTACACTAATTTACTTAGTGTATTTACAGTAGAAAAAGACTATATACGGAACTAAAAGCTAAGGCAGTGAACTTCTCACATTACCTCAGGTGCTTCTGGAATGTTGATCTTCATTCGTTAAACAGCTCTATTGTGTTGCTTTATGCATTCATGAAACTTTATGGGAGCGTTTCGTGTTTAATTCAATGCTCGGGGTCTCTGGTAATACAAAACACTATTAGTTAATACATATCAAATTTCATTCACAGAGACCCGTGGAAGGAGAGACTTGCAATTCTTTGTTTCATTTTCATGAGCGTGTTGGACTTGAAAAAGCTCATAAACCACCAAATCGATGAGACCACTCCCCCATTAGACTAGTTCTTTAAGCTTGAATACTATTCTTCTCTGGTTTTAGTCCTGTTTTTCTACCTCTGTGCATTTGTTCTGAGATAAACATACCATATTGCAGGTCACTGCAACCCTATCACTTGCGGCCGCATGTTCATCTGCGGGAATTGCTGTGTTGTATGCCAAAGACTTGAAATATTGCAAAGGTCCAATGCAGTCGTCATGTAGCAGATTTGAACTGTCCATTGCTCTTGCCTTCATCACTTGGTGCCTCATTGCCATATCTTCTCATGTAATGTTCTGGATACTAGCCTCAGTTTAGTTGGTTTTAAGTTCCTTTCTCCATTGGCCAATATAGCTCATTGAGAGCTCTTCTTCCGCGTGTAAATTGTGACTGCACCTTTTGGACTAGAGAAAAGAAATTCAGGGCCTCTCCAGTTTGGTACGATGGCCGTGCAATTTTGCTTGTGGTATAACATCGGCATTGTGGTGCTTTCCCAATTGTCACTAATTATCACCCTTCCCATCCCATTGAAAGAATTGTTCATGATGGACTTTTTTAAGAGTTTAGGGGGAAAAAAAAGGAAAAAGAAAAAAAAGAAGTTTATTAATTTTTACTCATGTCTCAAAATTATTGTTTAGTTTAAATAATTTTAATTCAATTTATACTAAAAATGAAAATCTAAACTGGACAGTAATTTCTCTCGGAAGTATATATACAGTTTGGTTCTTCCTGCGGCCCGAAAAGGCAAGCAAAATGACAAATTCCATTTTTTTGCAGTTCTTGAATGAACAATAGTAGCAAAGAAACTAAATTGATCTACTTTATTTTCATTCCATCATAAGGTAACAAAAAGTAAGTTTCACTTTGATTTTAAGGTAAATGCTTCTTTTTCAATTCAAGAAAGAAAAGAAAAAACAAAAAAAATTGAAGCCAAAAAAGTAAAGCAAAAATTCCCAAATGTAACATTTCTTCAACTTACACAATCGACTGTACGTTCTGTCCCGGAATGATTTCATTTTTTATGTAAACGGTAAAAATAAAAAATAAAAAAAAGAACAGTTATTTTAGAAAAAAAGTGAGTACAACTGTATAAGTTACGAAAACGATCGACAAGCCCTGGATTCCGATAGTATTTCTTTGCTCTTCATCTAACCCATCTTGCCACAAATAAAATAACGACGAGGAGACAAAACTGAATTGAGACCTAATTAAGAACACTAATCCGGATTAATGAAGAATAACTGTGTAACGTATAAAAAAAATAAAATAAAAAATTAGAGAGACGAAAATGAAGATGAAATTTCACGAAGAACATTCACATTTATTCTTATGATGCTTATCCAGCAGGTTGGCAATTTGGCCAGAACCATGAGAGATTTTCAAGTTTGAAACTTTCTTGTATTACTATTACACATACACTACATATATGCATAGTCTGATTTTGACTATGATACACTTAAAGATTTCAACTGAAAACACCCATGAATTTAATATATATAGTGTGGTCCCTTTGGGTTCTCCACACCATTCACATACATAACATTAAACAGATAGAAGATATAATCATGCATTAAAATGAAGTAGAAGAAGAATAACAAACAATCCTCACTAGAATAGAGCTTATGCTAGTACTAAATGACATGAATTACGTGCCCGTCGGCGGTTTCTTTTTTCCCTTCTTTAAGGCAAGCAATTTTTAGTTGTTCCGAATTCAGAGATATCTTGTTGATTTCGATCACTTGACAGCACGACGAGTGTTGAGATGACGGCCGGCCGGAGATGAGATTCTGGTATTGGAAGAAGGCGACGATGACGACGTGGTGGTGGAGAAACCGCAAGCATCGGGCATTTGGAAACGTCCTGAATCGCCCGGCAATCTGACGTAATAAGCTGAATTGATGGAGGATTCATCCAGCAGCCACGAACCCGTCATCCCCTGTTGACCGTTCTTGTATTGCATTATAGCTCGGTATACTAAAGGAATTAAACCCTCCATAAATGACTGAGTCTTCTTTCTTCTCTTGCTTTAGAGAGACGATCACTTGGGAGTTTTTGTTTGGATGCTAATTTTCAACTCAGTCGGCTCTCTCTTTGAGTTATGGGATTGGTTTAAAAAGAATGAGATCATATGAGACTATGAGGGAAATGGTAACTATTTAATAATATATCAATATTGGGTTAATTGCATCAATCTCCCTAAGCTTTCGAGAAAATATACATCCGCCTTTTTTAGTTTCGTGAAGACTACGATAGTTAAACAACTCGTAAAACTAATTAAATACGAAAAAAAGGGCCTGAAAAAATCATCTCTCTTATGTAGATCTGTACTCATGCTGTCATTTTATGTCATTGTATCAACATTCAGAAAATCTAAGGTTACTTGACAGACGTCAGTCAGATAATTTTTTAACGATTTTGCCAGGAGATAGTGGTTTTTACAAATGTAGGGGATGTTAATGTAATTAACCCAATAAGTGACGTGGCGTAATGGGTTGTTGTTGTTGTTTTATTAAGGCTGATCTAAGAAGATTAAGGGTGGGGATCAAAGGTAAAATGAGAGGAGGGTGGGGGGACCCAATATGAGTGGGGAGTGTCATCAAAGCTTACAAGACAAACCTTCAAAGAAATCTACTTCTTCTTTTTAATTTAACTTTCTAGAGAGTCACTTCAAGAAATCTTACATACTTTTTGAAAGCAATGTTCAAACTACATTCCGACCACATCTCACCAAATCTCACTATAATAATTATCTGCTTCTGCACTACATACCTTCCACCTGTAACATTATTCTAATTTAAACCCACAGGATAACTTAGTTTTAATCATTCTCTCACGGGTCGTTTTTTATGCTGATTCCATGTATGATGTACTCTAGTTTGTTCATTCTCGATTACTTTATAATATAGTACTATATTTATGTTCTTTGATTAAAACCTAATGAGGTATCATCTAGTTAGCCGTCAGTTCAAGTAATGTTCATATCATATTTCAAGTAATGTTCTTAATATTATAGAGCAAATAAAAATGAAATCCATATAACTAAAGTTATCTACTAGGCGTAGAAAATATGCCAAATAATTACGGTTGGTTGATTCCTTGGAATTGTCGTGAAATTGCGTAGTTGAAGAGGAAATCGACGATGAAATAATGAAAAGGTGTAAACAGCAAATTATTTGATCAAGAGTTCATCATTTGGGGGCTACAGCTACAAATCTTTTTGAAGAAGGATTCAATATCAGAAGCTTTCAAATGTGGTCTATTTACCAAATTCAATTAGCTTTTGTGTGTGTATGTATGATTAATTTGTGTGGCGGGCTTCTTCATGATTTTGTAATGGACAGCTGAACTATAGCTTCTAATTAAAACACTATGATTAGTATTGGCTAATGTTTACAAATTGGGAAAATTTTCATTACGAATCCCACGTATGAACACAATATCACGCGATGGATATGTTTTTTGGTTTGAATTATAAAATCCAAGAAAACGAGTGGCCACCTAATGGGTTGTTTTGGTGTGGGATTGATTATTATTATTATTATTATCATCATCATTCAATAATGTGATAATTATCTACCGTCCTCGGTTTTCAACTTGCAGCCTCCTAATACCTGTATATTTCCTCAATAATTATCCATTTCATTTTTCTTGAATGTACTGTAATATAGAAGGAGATATTGCATCCACTAAGAATGAAAGTTGGTATATAGTACATTTTGAGGTTGATGCATGTTGCTCGTTTGTTGCCTTGTAGGTTTTTTTTTTTCATTAGAAAAAAAAAGGAATAAATAATATTTAACTTGTAAATGGGCATGTTTGTTTTCATAAACCCAATGGTATGAACTTGGCCCGCCACCGACCCGGAAAGATAGAAGTGGAATGGCTTTCTTTGTACAATGAGGATGAGGTGGATCTTTGATCCTAAAAAATTTAACCCGATCATATTTCGGTGGTTCCCACGTTAACTTCAGTTCCAAATAATGTTGATCGAAAATATAGTGTTGAAATGAGGAGGGGCCAATTAATGTCAACATAGATGCTTAATCTTGCGTGTATCAGAATAAAGTCAACTCCAGGGAATTTTAAAAACAACAACAACAAAGAAGATTGGCACAGGAAATTATTTGATGCATATAACATCATTGGAGAAATATTTGATGCAGTTAGTTACCTTCAGACGCCAAATTATAATACTGGTTGAGTTTCATTTAAGACAGTCTAGTATTGTTTTTTAATTTGATTTATTTACTGTATTAGTCGAGAAGATACCTACAGACACCAAATAATAAGTTGTCTATCCAGAAAAAGATTTGAGCAGATTTACAAAACATTTTTCTGGTTGTGTTGTGGTAGAACTTTCAATAGCCTAGGATGTAGGGCTTCCTGACATCAAATAAAACCTAACATAGATTGAAATATGCTACTGATTCCCAAATTTGCAAGTCACGATGTTGAAATATTCCTCTAGTTTGTTGAAATTGGACTTCCAAAAAGAAATTCAAAAGCTGGTTTTTGCCTGCACGGTCATATGTCTTTTTTCTTTTTTTTGTTTGGGGGAGAAGGCACGGTCATATGTTACTGGTTACTTACCGTCTTACAGTCTTACCCATAGTTTCTTTTTTTTTTCTTTTTAACAAAAAGAGTATAAGTATCATTTCAACTGATTGTCGTTTTCAACTTTCATCCTCAAGTTCGAAGTTTAAGGCGAAAGTAAATCCCCCAACTGGATTGTGGGTTAAGTGAAGTAAGTTGATTTAGATTACTCAGCTGATGTTACAGTTTCTTCATGGTAACAAATTTGTAGTAGATCCTTTGAATTACGGCAGCAAATTGTCTAAAACTGCACCGGCTACTGCTCCGGCCACTACCTTCAGCGTGATCCAAAGAAGAAAAGACGAAGCTTTATGGTCAGGGAGGTAAACAGAATGCCGTTGTTTGAGACTTGAGTAACAACTTCCATACATAGGCATATGCCAAAGTATTAGAAAATCAGTCTGTTTAGTTACATCACAGCATCAGTCATAATAATGTTAATGTTTGCCCCGTCTCATATTAATAGTTTTCTTCAATTTAATGTTCGCTTTTCATCCCAAATGGGGATACGCTGCACTCCCAAATCCAACTCATCAAGTCACTTCAAGACAGATAACATTCAAGTCAGCAAGTTGTTAGGGGCTGATTAAACTTTGCTTCTAGATGTTTCCAGCAAAAGGGTAGAAAACAAACACATATATGCGCCACTGATAAATAATTCTGCCATCTGATTCCTTTGTTTATCTAACTTTTACAGCAAAACCGACTCCATCCGTCGACCCCTGCAGATAATTTCTTCTTCCTGGATTTCTTCTGTACCGGGAAAAGTTCCAACCTAAGAACACTACTTGAAATAACATGATTGGCGAAATCACTTTTGAAATTACAGCATAGTCCGATGATTAGCTAAAGTGAAAAAAATATGTTACAAGTCAATTGAAGAATGAGAATAAACAACATATAAGCAAAAATGGAACTATTCTGTTACATTAAAACACAGTTTAGCTTCGTCCCAAGGACCATTAATCTCAAACTTGAACTCCTGAATTCTAATTAGCCAATAAGGACAGATCAAATTCACTAAAGCCAAAATGACAAACAAAAACATGAAAAGTAACCTATGTAAATTATATACCAAAATCAATGTCAATGACATTAAGCTCAAAGAGAGAAAGAGATGCAGCCGGAAAGAGTATTTCCTAATGCAATATGTGACAAGGGGAGCAAAGAGGAAAACTTGCAAGGAGAAGAGCATAATAGCAAAGACATGAAATCTCGACGGAAGGCGAGAAGCAATTAAAACTGAAGCCACAATAGAAGCATTTAAAGAAATGTTGCTTGTAAATGCTGGATTTTCCAAGGTCCCGGGAGCTTTAACTGTTGATCCAGTGTAGTCATGCAAGAACAGATGGAGTATGATAAGTGCAGTTGTAAGAGCCCAAATGGAGTCTGAACTTATAGAACGTGTGAGTGTATGGTAAATAGGGGATAGAAGATATAAACCCGCAATGAAGAAGGAAATTTTGCGCAAGTAACTAAGGAGGAGGTTAAAAGAGAGCATTTCTGCAGTCAAAATAAGAATGAGAAAACCTGATCCAAGAACAGCAACATCAAGAAGCAACAGATAATCTTCGTTCAGTGTAGACCTGAGTGTGTAAGTCCACACCAAAACCACAAGAGCAACAATGCAAAGATACTGAGAGATTGAAACTGAATCAAGCATCACCTTTAGCAAGTCCCTTCTAACTACATTGGCATTCATAATCATATCTTCTAAAAAGGAGTCATCAGTGTGATTATCTTCAAACCCAGGCTGCATCCCCCCATAAGCAATTTTTCTCCATTTAGGTTTTAATGTAGAGTAGTCTCCAACATGCGCGCTATTTTCCATTTCTATTTAAACAACATAAACTGCATCCAATCAATAAAGAGTTTGTCACCATAATTTATTCTCTGAGAAATACTTCTATGAGATTGGCAAGTTAAAAGTATGAAATTCATCGAATCACTTTATTGATTATTCTGTTTGCATCCTTCCGCTTACACAGCAACACTTAGCATAAAAGTCTTAAAGACACAGCATTATTCAGTGCCACTGGTCTCCACTTTCAATGTTGAAGAAACAAGAAACTGGACACCTATGACCTATGCATTAAAATCAAATAGAAGTCACGAAAGAACTCAAACTATGGATCACATTCAGCAAGACTGTAAGTTGAGGTGAAGTGATTGTTCACAGAATGATCTATGCAAAGCAAAATGAAAAAAGAAAATGCGTTCAGTACATTTCTATTCACTTTCACATTCGAAAATCAGCAAAAAACACTGTGAGCTCCAACAGATAGCAGAAAAAAAAAAAATTTCTTTTCAATTTCCTACAATATTGATTCAAACAACATTATTAATTGGCGATCTAATGAACTAAAAGGATCTTGCCCAGAAGCGCCAAACAAGGATAATACCAAATTCCCTCCGAAATAGTAACATCAATCCAAAGGGACCTACTCTTAAATTAAGAAAAAAAAAAGTAGCTTACCGGATTCGAGAAGACTCCGGCCGCGTCTTCGCGCTCCTTCCGCCGCTCTGGAAATCCTTCTCTTGAATATGAGTCAATCGATTTTGCGTTCTTCGTCCTGAAAGGCAGAATGTGTTGGCTATTTACTTGTGGCAAGACGATGTCGTCTTGTTTTTTTGGGGAGGCTATTTTTTGAGATAGACAATTGTGGACAAAGTTGGTGGAAAATGCTTTGGGCTTTCATTCGATAGCCCAAACTTAGCCATTTTAACTAAACATTACCGAAAAGGAAATTCAATTTTATGTTATCTGTTATCAGTTGAGCTTTTTCAAGGGCAACCAGCAATCGGCCAGAGAGATATCAACGTTCTTTTGAAAAAAGAAAAAAAAATCAAAAAAAAAAAATTTGAACCCTAGTCTCATTTCTCTTTCTCCGTCCTTCAGTTTATTTTGCTTTTGGTCTTTTGGATATCGATGGAATTTTTTGAAAAGAGTAAAGATGGTTTTTAGCTATTAACACAAATTACTGCAGTACGACAAAAAGAGGGAAATAGTAGGAAATAATGATTATTCAGTTTAAATTTTTATTTAAATATAATTGTTATCTAGTCTTCACCCAAAATATTATTACTGTTTAAATTTTCACTTTTAGTATAATTTGTACTAAAAATTAAAATTTAAATTAGATAATTATTTTGGGACGGATCATTATAATACAATTATATTAAAGGTAAAAATTTGAACTGAAAAGATAATTTTTTTTTTTTAGTACAATAAGAAAGAGGCAAAACCTAATAAAATTTAAGAGCAAATCGTGTTCTAACTACTTTAAAATATCATGCGGTGAATTGTCAAACCATTGCAACCTCCGGGACGGGTAGCGCCAAGGGTGATTTCAATAGAAGAGAGTATATTATCATTGGATCCAAAATAAAGTTTGTCTTTTTTGAGTGGGTTGATGGAGAAATAATGATGTGCCTTTTTTCTTTTGGTCGTTTGGCTTAGAAAACACTCCAAAACAAACTGTACACCAGAGTACAGTGTATATTATTCACGTACTCCACCACCACAGATTCTTTTCTTTCTTTCTTTCTTTCTTTTTTTTTTTCCCTATCTGAAACTGAAAGATGTATCATCGGCTTTCGCAGAACAAATAAAGCCTCATTAATTGAACATTCCGATGGTCCCCTCTAAACCGACCGACCACCCTGTATTTCACCATATTCCAGTCACTTGCCATTTGGCAAGGATCGCATCATTGCATCCATTTTTGCTCTTCTTTTCTCCAAGCTTCATTATAGCAGAATCCTGCCATGAAAATTACTCGTAGCTAGTGTTGGTATCCAGTAGGTATTTAAATGTTAAAAAATCACAACATTAATGATTTCTTCTTCTTTTCTTCCCCTCGCGTAATTTAGATCATACAGATTGAAAGTACTTTGTAATTCTATCAGATTTAGTTAAGTGAATCCCATCGTGGAGGTTTAACACGAACAGAATAATATTCAAAAATCAATTGCAAAATATAGCTGATATCAAATATCGAAAGTTTAATTTCCACCTCTTAAACTTTATGAACCATTCATTTTATCAATTGTCCTAAAAGAATTACTCGTAACAAATATCTTTGGGAAACAACAAAAACATTGCGAAATGATATTTCGCGAGTTTAGTTCCCTATATATGGTCATTAAAGCAATGCACTCGCTACGGTTAACATGACCTAGACCCCCCCTGTCAATGCAAGGCTCAGCTGACCACAAACATTGGCCGTGAACTGGGTGTATAATTCGGTTTATAATTTCTGGAAGCGTCGGACCAATATTCCCCTTAAACAGTAGAACTTACTTTAAGGCTGTTTGGCCTTGTCAGAGATTCAAATGTACTGCTGTACACTCCTGGCAACGTGTTTTGCAGCCTTAATTTCATTACATAATTCATGGTTGTGCGCAACTGCGCATCTTCTTCTCTTCTGCCGGCTACCGGCCTAAAGTCTTTAGATTACTGTCTTTTTTTTTGTTTCGTCGAATAAGTTTACATTACTCTTCTTCTGTCTTTTGCATTATGTCTTGATTCGCATTTCTTTTTTCAAATGCCAAAAAATAACGTGATATTATAATGTAAAGAAAAGAAATTAATTGCTCTTATGATTAAAGAGAGTAAAAAACAAATCACAAGATATGGAATAAGTATGCTATCGGGTAGTGCGACTATTAATAAAGCACATAAAACCCATATTAATCAATTAGTTCCCCAATCATTATCTACGTGTGATTTAGGGAGCCTTCCTAAGTCGATCACTTGCTGAAAGAAAAATACAACACGCCTCACTTGCTTTGTTCTTATTCGCTAATTGATTATTATAGATGGTTGACCTTCGCTAATTAGAACTGCCGATTTGCTGTCTATAGAGGGCTGGTGGAAAAATATGTCAATTCCATGTATTTGCTCTAGTAAGTGGAGCTACTCATTGAGGGCAAATTATCTGGTACACCCGGGGGCACCGTGTACCTCCATGCACGTGTAATTTACTCTCTTAGAATAGTGTGAGTTCGCTAGATAATTCATCCTTCTTTTTCTTTTTTTTTTTAAACGCGTGTGGATAACCAGTGTCGGCACTATAGATAACAAGTTACACACAGCTGGATAACCATTATTAACCTGTTGGATAACCAGTATGGACATAGTGGATAACCAGTGTGTACATTATGGATAACCAGTTACAAACATCTGGATAACCAGTTGCCAAATTTCATTTTTTTCCTTTTATATTTTTCTTGGATATCCTTGTCCGTATTTTTACACTGGTTTTCCAGCTGCCCCTCATTCATTTTTTGTTCTCCATCATTTGGCAAACTTCCCCTCGTTCAATTAAATACTATTTATGAAATTTGTCATGTTCGGCATAGGGGCGGCACAACCGCGAAAGACGGTGCAGCCGCGGGCACCGGCGCAGCCGGGTTGTTTAGTTTATCACGGGGGGATTTATACAAGTAATTTGTGTCCCCTCTTAATGCAATAACACACCCTCCTTACACACACACACTCTCCTTACACACACACACAAAAAAAGGATTATCTTATCTACATTGGCGTGTTCGGCGGGGCGGCGCAGCCGGGGCAGATTGGTGACCTACGATTCTGGTAGCCGCGGGAGTCGTTTAGTTTATCATGGGGGGCGAAGCCCCCCAATTAACATGTTGTACTGGTTATCCACAAGTTGTAAACTGGTTATCCAGAAGATGTAAACTGATTATCCAATGCTCTGTATTGATTATCCAGGACTTTTATATTGGTTATCCAACCAATGTACATCAATATCCAACCGTTTGTAATGGTTATCCAGGATCTTTGTACTAGTTATCCAACTTGTTACACCTGATTATCCGAATATTTTATAGTGATTATCCAGTAAAAAAAAATACAAGTACAACATTTAATGTAAAGGTGAAAAATGTTAAGCGCGTGTAACGCGTGTGTTTGGTGGGGGTATACGGTATACTCGGGTGCACTGGATATGGACTCCTAATTGAGTTCTTAACAATAAATTACACTAGGACGGATAATAATGTCACACCAAGCAAACAGTTGACTCAATACATCAAACGGTTTTCTTTTTTTTGGGGGGGTAAATATGAATAATTGGTGATATTGTTATACCTAAAATGCTGTAAATAAAAATCTACAAAGCAAGAATGAACTGTGAAGTACAACATACATACAGATGCCAGTTAGGAGATCAATAACAGTAGTCGCCTCTAGTTTGCAAAAAAAAGTTTTACCAAGGAAATATTAAATTTCAACTTTCAAGTGTGATTTTTTTGTGTGTGGGCATTTTTTATTTTTCGCCTGAAAATTGCAATATTGCAAGAATTCTTTGAAACGCAAAAGAAATATTTATAAAGATGAGATACACATAAAAATTATAGATAGATGATGTTGGCCTTCACTCAATAATTACAAACTCTAATCAAAGGGGTGAGAGTGTAAATATACTAAATACAATGTGTTGGCCGCTTGTGATTTGTCAAGTTGATTTAATTAATGATGTCGGCCGTGTTTTAAACCAATGAAATCAATGTCTATTTTTTCTTTAATGACGTCCACCACATTAATCACCGCCATGCAAAATGGTAATAATAACACTGTTAATGCATGTGGTTTGTTGAAATTAAAACATAATACTACTTCTGTATTAGAGTTTGATAAACTAGTTGACTTTCTTGCTTCTATCTTTATTTCTTTAATTGTTTTCGGATTTGTGTTTATATATGCAAATCAAGAAGTCCACATCATAGTGATTATTTTTATCAGAAGTCGGTTCCTTGCACCTAATTTCGCCAGCGGAAGAAGGTTCATAATCACAAAGGAAAACGTAATCTTGTGACTTAGCAGCCGTAGATATAAAAAAATTTAAGTCGGTCAAATGATTTTTAAGCGTAACGGCATGCCCTGTTGTTGGTATCCTTGTCGAGTTTCATCACTGTTTATAAAATTATGAACACGTAGCAACAATTTTATGGGTTTTAATATTCGCAATTGGGCCAACTGCTTCAGCAAATGCAAATTATTATTTTTTTACGGGGCCAAAAAAAAAAAAAAAAAAAGAACATGAAAATGAAAAGGGATCACTAATAATATTCACGGTGATTACTTCATCCTAACCTATTCACAGGCATTCATAGACAAAGAAAATGACACATTTTAATTATTAAATAGTGCATTATTATCATTTGATGTTACGTTTATGTTACTGAAACAGCACGTAATTTGTGGTGGTCACTTGGAATCTTTATTATTTAAGTAAGAAATATTGTCACATACTTTGTACAACATTGACAAAATACAAGTCAACCCTTATTAGAGAAGAAGGTAGGTAGGCAATTTCCATCGATTTCCTTGCAACACATCATTAACTAGCTGATGCGCCTGCTAATTAGTGTGATATTACTTTTGCCTCAAAAGGAAAAAAAAAATTATAAAAATTATATTACTTTTTAATATGTATTTTTTTTTAGGTATAAGAAAGAGTATTATTTACCACAATATTAACTACGGTCTTATTTTCAAGTCATATATATTTAAGGATTGCTTCGTGTGGCCATCAAAAGTTGACAATTGTATTTGTTATCGGGGATTTCTAACTGTACAACGCCATATGGTAAAGGTGTGAATGAGGAAGGCAATGCGACATGGTTTTGCTTCCTAACCTGAAAAATCGTCAATAATGGCAGCCTAGGGAAGCTCATATAATAGATGTAGTTCAAGACATCGGCAATGGAGTATAAAGGTTGTGGAACTGTATTATTATGAAAGTACGAAGAGATTAGTAGACATGCGTAGAGTGTTAGTGAATTTGTATTTTAATTGTGTGTAACACGAATCAAACAGGTCAAGACTTATTTGCATGCAATGTTATATCTTGTAGCGATTACAAATTTATTTGTGGAGCTATCTTGGATAACATGTTTAGGTAATGTGTGTTCTTTCATTGCTAGAGGGAAGGCGGGAAAAAAAGGACTAACACCTGGTAGCCTTATAGGAGAAATTATGAAGGTTTGAACCAAAGTATGTGTACTGAGTATAGAGTACATTGATGTTGAGGTTGTTGACTCGATCAATAGTCCAATTAAAATGCTTTCATCGCGGAATAAGTTTTGTGTAATATATTTCTTTTGGATAAATTTTAGTAAGACCATCATAAAATTCAATGTAATAAGAGAAAGAGCACAACGTCGATATAATGTACTCCCTCCGTCCCAAAATTATTATCCAGTTTGGATTTTTATTTATAGTACAAAATAAACTAAAAGTGAAAATCCAAACTGGACAATAATTTAAGGACAAGGGGAATATGTATTATTGTATCAAGATGGTGTATACCGTATCCTTATTCTTATTGTTGAATTTAAAAGATTTGCCTCTCTTTATGTTGTTTTGTTATTTCTTCTGGCGATGTATAATTGGACTGAAGTTTCCAAGCGGGGTGAATACTTGGAGGGAACTGGAGGTTGGAATGGTTTAGAAACAAACAACTGAATGTTGGATTAGGTAACTTTGAAGTTGAAGGCAATAGTGATATGGTATCAAACGGAGTATTATTATATCTTATGGTTGACTCACCATTATTTGAAGTCTCCAGAAATGTACTCTCTCCGGTCCTTATTATAAGACATTTTGAATTGTTCTAAGTTTTTACTTAAGATCTTTTTTTAATTGAAAAAAACCTTAAAAATATATTTTCACATTCGTTGTGTTTTTTTTAATTATTAGAAAATATTTTTAGTATGTTTATTTCAATTAAAGATATCTTATGTAAAATTTAGAAAAAATTAAAATATCTTAAAATAAGTAGCGGAGGGAGTATTTCAAAACCATAGGCATAAACTAAGAAGAATGACAAAAAAGAAATGGTCGAAAAATAGAGATTCACAGTTGAAACTTGCAAGTAGTGGTAAGTGGAAAGAACAAAATGAAAGATGTGCGCGCTCAGAAGCCAAATAACATTTGGAATTTGTCTGTTCACTGGGTTGACCCCACGTAAGCAACGTGGGTCCTGCATCCCACTCACCTCTCTCTACAGAATCATTAAATCCAACTCTGGTACAATTTTGGAATCCGCAAAAAAAGCCAAACGCAGCCTAAAGTCATCGTGGGGCCCGAAACAAATTTCTCCTCTTTAAAAAATTTACCACTAGCAAAAGTGCTCACTTGTTTACGTTTATTTATATACTTTTTTGCTTTCACTTTTTGGCTCGGCGGAGTTTCTTCTCCTCTGTGATTTGGATTAGCGCAAAATTCTTAAGCAGAAAGAAGATTCAGGTTTCTTTGTTGCTTGCGAAGTTCATTTGTTCCTGCCTGCAAATTGCAATTAACAGCGGAATTCATCCGGCTGTGGTGGAAGCATTTTGAGAAGCTTACAAATGGAGGCAAACGAGTACGAATTTTACAGCGCTCCGATTCTTTAGGTAATCTTCTGTGTGTGTGTGTGTGTGTGTGTGTGTGTGTGTGTGTGTGTGTGTTTTTTTTTTTCCGCAGTCGGAAGCTCTAAGTGATGTGCTATTACTTAATTGTAGTTTGATTATTCGAAGTTTGGTTTTGTTTTCGTTTTACGCAGTTGAACATAGCGCTCTGAAATCAGTTAGGTTATATAGTTTAGCATTTTTATTTGGAATGTTTGGAGTGATATTCAGTCGATATTCTTGGAAGTAAATCAGTTTATACGTCTGTCCTAGAAACTTAAACATCACTTTTGGAATAATGATATGCGGATATCTCTTTCGTGATTTATCAAGATTTTCCATGATAACTTGTGATCTTCTTTCTTTCGTTCACTTGAATGCTGTGATTATGCAAATTCATGAAAGCACGCACATCTATGACTCAATACAAACGAAATACTGAACAGAAGATTGTTTAATTCTATAAATTACTGCAGAAAAATAATCTTCTCCGTTCTGCAGTATTTAGCTACTAGTCTCTTAAGTTGTTTAAACTATATACCAGTGTTGTTCTAATAAACTTACAACTTATTCGTGTTATATATTCATAGTTCGCTTGTGTTGTGTTGTTCTTTTGATTAGTGATTTGACAGCATCAAAATTTCTCATGGAAAAATTTGTTGCAAGTTTTTTCCTGATTTTTGTGTTCATGGAAGAAAAGTTTTACTGAAAGCTGACATAGTCTCCTCTTGTTTAATTAGGTACACCCTCTAATGAAACTTGCTTGTTCCTTGGCAACAGGTCCGCAAGTTTTTGTGTGCTCTACGTCCTGAAGTTGGATTTTTGCTTCCAATTAATTTGATCTTGGTGCAAATATTTTTAGTTATTCCTAGTTTTCAGGGAGAATTTTCTATTCCACGAAGCCAATCTTCCTCGTTGATTTCTTCGTCTTAATTCGCTTTTGACGTCGGTTGCATGAATTTCACTACACGGTTGTCAAGGATAATCATAAAGGGCATGGACTCTTTGTTTATGACTTCTATGGAGCCTCCTATGAAACGCAGAGCTGGTCTATGGATTGTTCAAGCCGGACGAGGATCTTACCGTGGCAGTTAGTGAGGGTTTTAGTGCTAATTTGGCTTCATATTACGTACAATATTTGTTTCGCATATTGGATAGATAGGATACTAAATGGTGTCAACTCCTCTGAGGCAGTTCCTTGAAAGGCTTTGCTGCCATTCACTTTGGGATTATGCAGTCTTCTGGAAACTCAAGCAGCATCAAAATCAACTGTAAGCTAATAATCCTCTTCAGCTTGAGCATTATATTTTAAGTGTTGATTTGAAATTTAACACAAGTGCTACATATATATACGTACAATTAAGACCTCATTGTGTGAAAGTTGACTCTCGGGCCTCTCATTAACTTCAATTTCAAACACTGTTATTACCCAAATGCAACTCTGGGTTCAGTTCTCCCGATGTTGTAGTAGGCCCTGTTATAGTTTGAAAATGTTTTCTGAATAATAAGGGAATCGTACATCACAGGTTGATTGAAGCATACAGTATAACCTTTGTCATCCAGAGGCATATAAACTTTTGAGGGGCTTAAAAATGTCAGTGTCAGAGGCTTTTTTGCTTCTTGTTTGCAAATCTGACATTTCTAGGTGTGATCCAGGTCTATGCAAATAGTACACCTTTTTTTCCCCTGGCTCTTAAAAAACATTCTATCTGATGGATGCCTTCTTTCTGCATCATGTATTTGGTGACCTTGTTTTTGAAACATTTATTCAGAAACGATGTTTGGCACCCCAATCTAGTCTATGAGTTGAAGTTATTGGTTATGCGCATTTATTTAGACGTTCTATCAGTAGACGAAAGTAATGTGTACTGGCTCATTATTTGTTGTGATTCTCCTAGGCTTTTGACGTGGGAAGACGGACTTTGTGGTGCTTCAAGACCAATGAATCCCGTGGAGGGCGTTTTGGATTCTTTTTATTTGTGTGGCTCGAACGAGAGACCATACCCTATTTGCCCAGCAAGCATTCATAGTGGAAACCTGAGCAATGGTGCACTTGGAGTTACAATTGCTGAAATGTCAAATTTCAATTATGCAATTGGACATGGGTAGTTCTCTTGATTCAGTGTTCTCCCCTTAAACCTTCCATCATGATTTTTGCTTCAGATTAGTGTACTTATTGGCTTATCAGGGGATCAATATGCTTGGCACTTGAGCTATATTTTTATGCATCCATGAAACTGTTTGTGGTTGTTTCTAATACTAGTGCATCATTGAATCAGGCTTGTTGGTGAAGTGGCATATACCGAGAACCCCAGCTGGATTTCAGTTGATAACTTCATTGCCGGTGAAATAAGCCCCGATGTTATATCAGAGGTAACCATTTGTTGGTCTTGAGTTTAATGTTCCATTTGTTCAAATTTCAAGCATAAAAGGAAATGGTAATTTGTCTGTGCAGTGTCCAGATGAGATTCTACATCAGTTTATTGCTGGTGTAAAGGTAATTTTCTCTTTTTGGACCTCAATATCATAGATTCCGATTAACAGATAGAAGATTTGTGGCGTTTAATGCTCTTTCCACAATGTTCTGCAGACCATACTGCTGGTGCCATTGGCTCCGCATGGAGTTCTACAACTTGGGTCCTTGGATGTGGTACGTTATCTGTGTTATTATATTTCTTTTATTGCATTTTTCAAATAACCCTGATTTTCAAAGAATAACATTTATTACATGCTAAAAGATGCTAGATTCTTATTGACCAGTAAAGCAAATACACCATATTTTAAATCTTGTGTTTTGTTAAGTGTACTATCTTACCTATGCTCTGTCTTTTTCAAGGTTGAGCTTGAAGTCAGTATTCCGTTTTTGCTTATTTGGTGTCTTGGCCTTTGTTTGTATATCACGTACAAATTTCAGGTAAAAGAAGATGATGATGTCGTTGTTAATATCAGAGATGAGTTCAATTCCTATAATCAGTTTGCATCAAGCTTTACTGAATTCGGTACTTTTTGCTTGGAGAATTTACATCCATCAACAATCATGAAAGTTGATGAAGACCTTGCGCCTTCCAGAGAAATCTCTGTAGAAGGTCAAAAAACATCAAATGTAAGACAGGTCATATCTCTGGTCCAGGATCTAAACCAGATATCAGGAGATATGATGGCCATAACTGATAAAGGAAGTGAAATTGGTTCCAGTATTCATGAATTGAGTGACTTTGCGGAGCTTTTCAACCCTCAGATGTGGGAGTTTAGTGAATCAGAGAAACTGCTGGATAGTTATGAATTTTCATGTTCTGATATGGAATTAGAGTGCCTTTCTAATTTTAGTGGCTACAGTGTGAAAAACTGGAAATATCCAGATTCAGTGTTGCAGTCTTACTCGGATGAATGGATTCATATTTTAGAAGGCCATGCCCAAGCAAGCTGTCTAAGTGAAAGGCAAGTTCTGAATTTTCCTATAGATTGTGAACTTCATGAATCACTTGGTCATGGTCTTCTAAATCCACCAATCCTGGATCTGTTAGATCAGAATGCTAATGTAAATTCAGTAGGCGGTGGAAGTACCACCAGCAATAATGTGCCATCTGGTGGGGATTCTGGTGGACTGTGTCTAGATAGGACAAAAGCTGAGTTCCTCTTGGAAGCTGTCGTTAGTGAGATAAATAACAGGTCAGGTTATACTTCAACCAACAAATTCAAAGCAGCAGCTTTGAAGTCATCATCCTCAGAGTTGTTGGTCTCTGATAAGTTTGGAGAAGATGACTTATCAGATGGGAGTCAAATCCCCCACAGCTGCGTGACCACTACATTCAGTGGGGAAGAATCGGCAATGGATATTTCACATCTGGTGCAACCTCAAAGGAATGGTAATGAAGTTTTACCTCCAACCAGGATTTCGAAGGTGGCTGATGGGCGCAAAAAGAGAGCTCGTTCTGTCAACTGCCAAAAACCTAGACCAAGAGATAGACAACTTATTCAGGATAGGATCAAAGAATTACGGGACCTTGTTCCAAATGGTGGAAAGGTGTGTGTGCATTGCTACGGAATACTGACCACTAGTCTGGCACTCATCAAGTTCTTTGTCTTCTTTGTCTAAATTGGCTGACCTGGTTTTCCTCGTGCTGATGCAGTGTAGCATTGATGGACTGCTGGATAGGACCATAAAACACATGCAATTCTTGGCTAGTGTCACTAACCGAGCAGATAAACTAAGGCGGCACGTTGAGAGAAAGGTTAACATTACTAATCTGGAGAACTTATTTTGGGCGGAACTTTTTTGTGTTAGTGAACACATCATGTCAATATATATATATATATATATATATATATATATATATATCTTTGGTTGAATGTCAAGTTACATATTTCTCTATGAACGATATAAAGTATATAATACCATGAATGATAGCCCTTGCTACTCAAACGCTGGCCGTGAGATGCAAATTTAATTGGTTGCTCAATTATAATCTTGTAGATGTCCTTGTGATATTTGGACATGGCTTGCACAGGTATCCATTCCAAAGGATGTAAAGATACCTAAAATGGAAAGAAATAACCACAATGGGTCAAGCTGGGCTTTGGAAGTGGAAAGTGACCTGCAAACATGCCCGATATATGTCAAAGACTTAGAGTATCCAGGTCATTTGCTTATCGAGGTAAACAAAATTATTATCTACTCCCTTTATTACAATTCAATAGGCCCATTTAGACAAACACGGAGATTAAGAAAGTAGATAATATAGTTTAAATGTTTAATTTCTGAGTAATTCACCTAACATGCCCCTATTAATGACTAGTGGTTGCTAGTTAATATGGTGCAATTGGGAATTAGATTCAATTAAATGTTCAAAATTTCAGTGATAGTTGTAGGGGTATATTAGAGAATTTATAGATAAAATTAATGTTAGTGTCTGAAATATGACTTACATTTTGGAACATCTCAAAAAGAAAAGTGAGCCTGTTGAATTGGAATGGGGGGAGTATCTTTATGGGCAGGCTTTTGCTGCATCCCTCCCTTTTTTTAGCTTTGCACCCCTCAATAATGAGTTGCACATTTACTCTTTTTGCTTTCCACCCGTGGAAATACATACTTTAAATGTACGAACCCATTCTAGGGCGTAGGTTTCCGTTTTGCTTGCAGCATATTTTTACCATTCTTCCCTGAAAACATGATGACAGATGCTTTGCAATGATGACGGCCGTTTTCTGGAGATTGCTGATGTTATCCAGCGCTTGGATTTAACAATTTTGAATGGATCAATGGAGAAGAGGTCTGATGAAATTGCCTGGGCTCGTTTTATTGTCGAGGTACCAGTTTTACTTGAGAATCCCAAAATTTAGCGATTTATTAATCATCTTAGATGCTGTACTAATCACAGAGTTACCTTTGGGAACTCAGGCATCAGGATCCTTCCACCGACTAGACATATTCTGGCCTCTAATGCAGCTCTTGCAGCAGAGTCGAACTCAGATATCATGCAACATTTGATCCTATCAACGCTACTGGTGAAGGCTTCCACTGTCAGTGGTATTATTTGTTAAAAGCTTTGTCCCAGGACATCAAATGACATGTTAATATTTCACGCTTTGCTTCCATGGACTATGTTCAGCTTCTGTTTAAGAATAACTTTTGACCCTAATCTCTGGAGAAATAAAAATAACTATTACTGCTTGGATTTTGCAACTATCATACTGCTGAACACAGAATTATCCACTTTTTGGGTTAGCGTCCAATGAAGGGACGAACACATGACAAGGTTACACAAAGTGGCAGTCTCTTCAAGTCAAGCTGATCCTTCCACGAACAACAGTGTGTGCCACCAGCCACAAGTTGTACTTCCGCGAGAAATAAAAATAACTATTACTGCTTGGATTTTGCACCTATCATACTGCTGAACACAGAATTATCCACTTTTTGGTTTAGCGTCCAATGAAGGGACGAACACATGACAAGGTTACACGAACAAGTGGCAGTCTCTTCAAGTCAAGCTGATCCTTCCGCGAGCAACAGTGTGTGCCACCAGCCACAAGTTGTACTTCTAGGAGTGAAACCTTCTAATGGAACTGGAGCAGGAGAGCTTCGGTCAATTGCATCACCCAAACCTAGCTGCAATTTGGAAAAATAGATGACGGTGTTGGAAAACTTTCAACTGCCTGGTAACTTATTAAACGTTGAAACCTTCAACAAGCTTAGATGATGTTGTTAGGCCAGAAATTCAATAGGTGAACACATCACAAAATAGTGATTGATAAACATGGGCTAAGATATCTCCATGTCCCAGGTTCCAATCAGAACACTTGAAACCCAAGCCCAGTGTGGTTGCGCAACAAGTTCTCACATGTGACATGTTCCGAGGCAATTTTCAGAGCTTGCCCCCATAGATATAAAGGTGGGGCTCCAAATGACCTCAAATATGCCGAAAATGATCAGATTAAAGGGTCTGAAATTTGACTACCCAACCCACTGTACATCAATCTACACTTTTTTAAAATTCTTAATCATCCCAATGAATTCAGCAGTTGTATCATGTATGTCACATGGATTTTTAGCTATTGAGAAGATCTTTCTGCTGTTTCCCTAGGTTTTGTAGAATTATGTTACTCCCTTTATCCTTTATTATTTTATTTTAGCGCAGCAAAGTAAAATTTTCTACAACGGAGGGAGTAAATTATTATCACACCCAATTCAACTACAACCCCATCTCAGATTTGAAGGTATGCAAACTACAAACAGCTCAGCCAAAACAAACACAAAATGGAAGTCTACATATGGGCCACATGCATCTAGATGAGTAGCAGAAACATTTTGGGCTGGTCAGCGTTGGGCCACATTAACAATAAGCTTCGAATTTCGATATTACAGTAGAAAGGAGAGTTTGATACCTGACCATACTTGTTCCATCCCCAGCAATATACTTTACCATCATCTGCAATATGAACACCACCAAACAACTTAAGAAACACCCTATTTACGGTTAGGTTGCCATTAAAGATGCTATTGTCTCTTAGGCACAAGTGTTGCTTCAAAGCCTACATAGCATAATACATGCTACCAAACTGTAAACAAGAGCTAACATAGTGAGACGGAAAACAATTTCAGTCATCTTGTTCCTCCATTTAATCTAAGTGCACTGAATTCAACAGCTTTGTTGAAGAGGTGAACCAGGATAGGTGGTCGCTGCACTTTAGCAATTACCTGTGAGTAACACGTTATGACGAGCTCCACAGGATACTGCTTTGGCCATGCTGTTTTCAAGAATTGGAGCATCCAAAACCCTAGGCAATGTCTGTAACCAAGTGAATTTGGAGTTAATCTGATGAAAAATTTTTAGAGACAATTTAACCTACATCTGAGCTGCAGTTGAATTAGCAGGAACTGGTAATCATTTTTAAGAATCTGGAGGGCATTTGAGACTAGTAGACCTAGTCTGCTTTCCCACAATTCATGTTTGCCTAGCAATAGGTAAGAACAGGTCTCTTCAAGACATAGAAGAAAAGGGCACATCCAGAAATGGCATACCTCAACCTGATCAGCACTGGTTGTACCAACTCCCAATTGGCCAAACTGGTTACCGCCAAAGGAACGGACACGACCATCAGAGGATACGCAAATTGTATGCCAGAGCCCTGCTGCAACTGCTTCAATGCTTGTGCCAGACAAAGAGACCACAGCCGTAGGTTTCAGGATATCATCGGTGTTCCCTTGTCCACACTACACGAAATTTCCATTGAGGGTTAATATTTGTGAATGAGCTCGCTAGTGGGTTATCACAATACAATATAACTGTCACCCAGAAGCATTTACAAAAAAATAATTAGGTCTTCCGCAGAAAGCATAACTATCAGTTACCTGCCCATACATTCCCCAGCCAAAAGTAAGGAGAGTACCAGAATCTGAATATGAAGAAAGGGGAATAAGCATGAAAACAACAGTCAATGGAGTAAATCTCTCACAAAAATGATACTCATCAGATTTACTAATTCACTAAAGATGAGCAAATAAGACAATGAAATTTCAAACACAAGAATCTAAACTACATTAAAGGTACAGATAGAGCAAAGCCTTCATGGACTTACCAGTAATGACTGCACTATGACGACCTCCACAAGAAATGGTCTTTATGTAGCTTCCAATTCCACTCCCTTTTTGAACAGGATTTGCTGAATTTATAGGAGGCCTCTGCTTCCCATTCATGGATAACTCAAAGCAGGGTATAAGGTGTGGAGAAGCCACCAATTTTATTCGCGAGCCCAAACCAAGCTGGCCTTCTCCTCCATATCCCCAACCCCATACCTGTCCTACATCTAAATCCGTCAAAAATATGATGCATCAGGTCTTGCTTTACAAAAAAGATCTTCCATAGCTTGGAACTTCATATGACCTACAAAACTATGTGGCGTGACCATATAGAATCGACACATGCTAAAATTCCTTGTTATCGGATGCAGCAGAGAGGCTGCAAATGAATATACCTGATAGGGCTAATGTGTGACGCCCACCAGCCGCAACAGATGTAACCTTCACACCGGGATCCATTGCCACAAGACATGGTGGGGCTGAAAATGTTTCATCAATAGGTATCGAACTTTCTAACTCTGGTTTTGCAGGTGATGTTCTCCTTCGCTTGGCCTGTTCCCCTTCAGATTTCGTGTTGTCTAGATGAGATTCCAAGCTAAGAGCTGATTTTGTCCTTGGAGACCGTGGGCTCATAATTGGATTGTGTCCTAACGACATTTGCGTGCATCCTCAGATATGTGACACGATAAGTTTTTGAGCTGAAACAGCAGAATATCCTCATATTACCTTGCTCGGTCAACACTGAAATTTGCTTCTCTGGAGCCTCGCCTTCACCTGTTACCCCGGCAATAAAATTACGGGAAATTGTACCAGATGGAACACATTCTTTCCAGCCCCATGTATACACGTGCCCTTGATCTGAAAGTCGCACAATAAGAATTTGTAAATGTATCTTTTTAAACAGAAAGAGGAAACATGTGCAATGTCAAATCTCCGGAAGTCATTTAGATGTTGGGAAAAAATCACCGACAAGTACCTGAAACAGTTGCGCAATGTGCCCAACCAGCTGCAGCCTTCACGATTGGAGCCTCAGTTGGAAGTGAAAATTCTTTGGGAGTCTCCTTAAGAATTATATACGATTGAAAGAATAGGAAAATCATTAAAACAAGAACCCCAAAACCAGCATGTAACAAGTTTGCTGCATTACCTCATGCTTGCCAGCTGCCAGATAGCTTTGGCCTTGATCATCAGTTGATCCCCAGGTGATGAGCTTCCCTGACTCTACTCCATAAGATGGTAAAGTTAGTTGAAAATACAGAAGGCCGAAGAATCAAGAGGTTAAAGATTAAAAACAAATAGGAGGAGGAATGGGGCCTATAACCAATTTTGAAACCCTTCCTACAGAGTTATATGAAGAACATGGCAGAACTAAATGAATTTTAGAGCTCTAGACTTCAGTTAGTAATGCATTACTTCAGTTAGTAATACAGACTGCAATTGTAGTATCTCACCTATGCTAAAATATTCTTAAATATAATCAGCGAAAAATGAAGTAAGGAATCTCCAAGACATAATTCTAAAAGAATGCATTAGAATGTCTGTAATTGATAGATGAACAGTAACACTGATACATATATTTCTGGCCAACGCACTGCCATATTATAGGAGGGGAAAAAACAACGATAACAAAAAGTTGCATCAGGATTAATAGGCCAGGTTTAAAGATTTTGCAACTATGTAAAATATGTTCAATGATAATATCACAGAGAACGCTCTATCAGAAACCAAAGTGAAACCATCAATATTCAGACCTCAAAGTCATCAATCAAATAATGAAAATAAAAAAAATTCATTCCGAGTTATAGTCTTTTTTCTACCAGAGAGAGCTGCATTTAATTTCGAACTTCTAATTGATGATTTGATGTGTCTTTTAGTTCATTTTGACCATGAAAATACAGACTAACTTCAAACTAACATGCTCAAAAAAAAATCGACAAACTCCACGGAACAAATGAATCAGAGATTGCAATACTTAATAGTTAAATTAGTAAGAATAACTGCAAGAATAACAAACTAAGTGTACAATTCATATTCTTCTCCGACAAACGCGTAAATTCGGCAGCATTTACGAATCAGAAGGGAGAACGTAAAATTTGCACCTGAAATCGCCAAGCCGAAGCCACAACCACCGCCACAAACGTCCTTCCACGACTCGCCGGATTCCAAAAATGGTACGGCGGTTGGCGACAGCAGCGGCAACCGCTGTTGCGTGGCTCCGGGAAGATATCCCCACATTAGCACCACCGGCGACTCTCTTTTTGCGTCGGAGCTGGGGATTTCGTTTACAACCACCATTTTCTCGCGAAAATGCGATTTGAGAACTTAATTGGAATCTCGTTCTGATGAAGAAGTAGTATTACTTCAAATGTCGATGGTATCATCTTGCATCTAATTGTTGTAATGGTCGAATTAAGTACAGCCATTAAGCGTTCCAGAGCATTAGTTTTTGGATTAAAATATTGAAGGCGCATCCTTTCCTATTTCGTCGTAGGGCCACGTAGGATTCGCAGGGTCCACGGGGGCACGTGTCGGTCCCGAAGCCGCTGCTGGAGTTTCTGTACCCAAATCCACTTTCTAACCACGAATGCACTGGAAGTTTCTGGAAAATCAGCCGAGTTTGGGCTGTTTTTTGTTAAGTGTAAAGAAAATATTTTATTTTGATGAAAAAATGGTAAATGAAGATAAATGATTTTTGCAAACGAAGAATAGTAAATTAAAATCCAAAACCAGACAAAGAAGGAATAATTACCGAAAGTTTAGAATCAAATATTAGTTATTTTTCTAGAATTTTGTTTATAATTCAATTAATGATATTAAAAATTTAAATAACATTCAGACCTGAATATTCAAATTCAGTCTTTAGGCTGAAGTATATGATATTAAAAATTTAAATAACATTCAGACCTGAATATTCAAATTTAGTCTTTAGGCTTCATACTTCAGTCTTCCAATATCAAATTCATATATTTTTATCAAATAATATAAATTCAGTCTTCAAACTTTATATTTTAATTTTAAGTGTTAAGTGTTACGATTCAAAGTTCAGCGATTATGAAGGGAGCCTAAATGAATTGGAGGCTTATTAGTTACAGTTCTCCTAGTTGCGAGCCTACAGTATATTTATCCATATCCACCCGAATTTGCTCTATAGACATACCTAGGCCATAGTGGAATTTTGCATGTTGAAATGCTGCTGAGTGCTGACTCTTGCCACACGGCGGAACAGGTTACTACTCCTATTTTTTCATTTTTTATTTTTTTATATATGAACAAAAAAAAACATAAAAATCAGTTAATAACTACTAAACTTGGGCAGTAGAAATTAATCATGCCTAGAGAATATAATACAGTCACTGACGGAGATAGATCTGAGAAACTTAGGCTTTGTTTATTTTTTTAAATTAATATATTAATAATTGTTTCATCTCATGATATTTTTTTATATTTTCAATATATCTTTTCACATTCTCAATACAAAAAATATCTAAAAACACACATTAAAAAAATAAAACAAACATACCATTAGCGTCACTGAATTTACCGCCTTGTGGAATTGTAGAATAACTTAACCATGAAAGTATAGAAAATGTAATATGATCACTAACGGCGACAAATCCAGTGGGCCACAAATTCGGATAACTCGGTACCGCTGGATTCGTCGCCTCTAGAATTTATAGCATAATTTAACCATGGCATAATATGAGTGAATTCCCGTTCGCATTGTTGTTAATTTGAAGCTGTAAAATATCTTTACGACCAAAAGAAAAAAAGGAAAAGGAAAAACTACCCAACCACTGACCTCACTAATTTACTCAGAACTTTTACCAATTAACATTTTCATAATTTGTTTGAACGGAAAAATTTTCTCCATTGGTGTAGACTTGTAGTATAAAAGTATTTATCCATTTCAAATGATTATACAGTTTTCAATTTTAATTATATTCAAACAAGACAATTATTTTGGAAAAGAGATAAAAACAAATGAAAAGAGTATTTAATCCAAAAAGTTGTAATCATGTTACGGAACATAAATTGTGCTCAGCAAATAATAAATTTGATGACGTAAGAGACATTATTCATACAAAATTCGTATACAAGCACAATTTTTAACCCTACGAAGATAAAAGTTCTTAGAAGCCTCGACTAAAGGAGGGGACATAATGCAAAAACGTAACTACTAGATCTGATGACCTTAAGAACTTTTATTTTATTCTTTTTGTACTCCTTAGAAACTGAAGATCTCCCGAGGACCTAGGAAGTACCAGCTGTAAAACCTCCGTCGACATAGATGATCTGCCCTGTAATGTATGAGGCCGCCTGAAGGCATAGAAATGCCACCAGAGACGAAATCTCATTTGGTTCTGCAAATGGCCGCAGCGGGGTTTGCGTCATTAGTGGCGTATAACGATCCGACAACGATGGATCCAAGTCCTCCTGTCCACATTGTTAATCCGAATTTCAAACTTGGTAACTAATCAAGAACTCTTCATTACTCAAAAGTTTTTAGTTTCAATCAACCTAATACTCCCTCTGTCCCAAAATTATTGTCCAGTTTGAGATTTCACTTTTAGTACAATTTGAACTAAAAATGAAAATCCAAACTGGATAATAATTATGAGACGGAGGGAGTACATTTTTTTCAGAACCAATTATAGACACTACCATATCATGGGACTTGTAGTATGATAAAGGGTGTCATCCATATTTCAATCATTACCAAAAAATTTTATTATACATTTGTCATTGTCGTTGTGGCTATTAATTCTTCTTGAAATTGAGAGCTAATGGTGTTACCTTTTTCGCAATTGTTGTTTTAACAGCCCATGGTGCAACAGTATTGACTCGAATATTTGAGGATGCCCATTCGCATGCCAGATTCTTGGTTAGTTGATTGACCGCCCCTGTCCAATTACAGTTACACAGTATAAATTGTATGTGTTCTGTCACATTTTTAATATGATAACAAACAGAACTCTTTGAGACGGATCATATAAGATTAAGTTTACGGAAGCGAAACCTTTAGTTGCTGCATAAATTGAAAGGCCAGGCAGAGCTTTTCCTCCGGCTACTGAGGAGATGAACACGATGCTTCCATTTTCTGATGCCTTGAGAAGAGGATACGCAAGTTGGCTCAGATGAAAAGGCGATTCCAGATTAGTTCCCATCAAATATGTATGGTCTTCAAAAGTGCAGTCTTGAGCTCGTTTCATTATCACTGCGGCGGCATTGTTCACCTGATTTCAAGAGATATGGCCATAGTCACTAATACTGAACAACCAAAGTAAATTTGGATAATGAATGGTAAAGGATAAAAATCATCAACCTTGATAACAAATACTCCCTACATTCCAAAATAAATATCTTTGGAGGAAAACTAGTTTTTTTTAAAAAAATACATATCATTTTCATATTTCGAGATATGTTTTGCCAATTCCTTCCAACATTACCCTTGCATGGAAAATTGTCATTGTGTTTAAAATTGTCATTGTTAATTAGTTTTAAGGTGAAATCCCATGGTGGGAGAGTGTTGAGTGTCCCACATCGGTGGTGAGAGAGACTTGATATCAATATAGTTTATAAGCTACTTTCTTCATTACCAATTGATTTTGAGGTGTAACCTATGAATTTCTATCATGTTTACATTGATACTACTACTAAAACTAGTAGATGCTCTCGCCCGCAGCTATGGCTGCAATTTCAAGAACGGACATTTGGAAATTTTCCAATTCAGTCATTTTCAAATCCTCGCAATAAATGAAGAGTAGCTGAGAAATCAATCTTCACCCCGCATTAATAAAGTAAGTAAACGATCATTATTATGAGCTGCCCCCACCAGGCTGAAAACAAACGAATTCCCCCCGTGGTTTATTTTATGTAGAAAATCCATTAAAACAACTTTAAATTGATAGCGGAATACAGCAACTTGGGTCGATTAACGTTATAAAACAAAAAGAATTGACTAGATAGCCACTGATCAACAGTGGGAATTATGAATAAGATATGAAGGGACAAAAAATTTTAAAAAATGACAATTATTTTAAGATGGAATGAATAAAACATAAACCGGCCACAAAGGTTGTGTATAATGATTGACTTACGAGGATGTTGAGTTTGCCACCAAATTCAGAAGAGACCGTATTGATGAGCTCCTCACGTTGTGATCTCGACGACAAATCGCATACTGAGCCGCTGACTTTGAATCCTTTGGCTTCCCATTCCTTAATTCTTTCACTGAGCTCGGTTTGGTTCCTGGAACAAGTGTGAACCCTGGCACCAAATCCTGCTAGTTCTTCAACTATTGCATACCTGAAATCCACAATTTCAGACACATTTGAACTTTGAAGTAAGCAAAAAAACAAAACAAAACAAAAAAGAAAAAACAACAACGGGGGATCAGACATTCAGAATCATAAGATGGCAGAAAAGTGGTAGAGAATTAGTTCATCACGAACCCGATGCCTTTGGTGCCACCAGTAACAAGGGCAGTCTTCCCTTTAAGCGACCATCTGTCCTCTCGGGTTAAGGGCAATTCACTTCCCATAATACTAAATACCCCCCAAAAAGATTTTTATGCACCTTGAATGAGAGAGAGATGTGGATGAACTGAAGTACTGCGAATCAAGTAGACTGGTATTTATGGCCTACGGATTCAACAGGTAGACGTAGACCCCCATAAGAAGGAATAATAAATGGCTGGCCATAGCTTTAGTACTGGCGCTTATATAAAGAGTAGTTTGCAAACAAACCCCTCAACTCATACATATTTCTTGTCTTTTTTCTTTTTTCTCTGTATTACCCGAGCGGTCATTATTGCTAATAATGACTAATTGCTTGCTAAATTGTACCTATTTGAAACAATTTGCCAAAAGTATTAAGATTACCTCAACTCCTTTGGTTAAGTAGCTGCATACATATTTCAACGTGCATTTGTTTCCATTTTGATTGTGTCTGTGTACTTTTTCTAAGAGAAGTCGCAAGCAAACATAAATGTCAGGCAGTGAAGCTTGACGGCTTTGGTACTTTCAATTTTGTAATTTAATTCGTCAAAAAGTCTTGTATCCACCCAAATTGAAATTGTATTTTTCTCTATTTAAATTCAATGGCGCTGTACTATGGTATCAATAAGAAGGATGCTTTTTCGGTTAGTTCCAACAGAACAATGTGGTTTTATCTCTTATTGTTTGTCTTTTCCGAAGCCAAGTCTTATGGGTTCATTAATCACTTCTATGATCATAACAAATAGTAGATGACATAGTGAGATGATCAAAATATGCGTAAAACGAAAACCACATTGTGAATATTGAATAAGTTGAGAAAAGCATAGCTCTCTCCTCCACAATAACAGTCTTGATTTGATTTTATTTTCTTTTGCTAGGTAGAAAATAGTTATTAACATTGGATACATATACTCTTCTTCTTGACAGACAATCATTTTAAAAGTATGACTTTTAATAATAAGGAGGGGAAGTGCATACTTATTTCCTCGTCTCAACCTTAACAAGATTCTATATTTAGGACGAAGTAATACAATAAATTCTCTTTGTTGTAAAAAATAAACTATCTCGAATTTTGAAGTTATTATTATTATTATTATTATTACAAATTTTAAAATCAATGTGGATTACCTCTTTTAGATGGAGGGAGTAACACTCAAGGCAGAAAGAGTGCCAGAAACTGCCATGGCACTAATGGCTTTTAGGATAACAAGTATATCCAAATTAGATCAAGCTGATGCACACAATATCTGCCGCAAGGAATAGAATCACAATTCAGAATCAAGACAATGTGAAATGAACTTACCCGTTGCATACTTGCGTACTGCATATGCTCGGGAAGCATTCTAGAAATCTTTCTCGTTTTCATCAATTTCATGAACATTATTATACTGTTTGAGATTATCAAATCTATATTCCCATAAAAACATGATTCTGTCGGCGATAGTAATCATGCGAAGACATAAGCAAGAGCATCAGCATATCCGTCGAGATCACAACATGAATGGGCTACCTTGACGATATACGTTTGTTTCCAGTGGGAATGACTTTTCATCGATTTAATATTCCACCATAAGCATCTGATGGATAACATCAACACGCTGAAGCAAACCTTTAAAGTGACACATAAATTACTAGCAACTATGCGTTAGATAACTATAGTGAGACTCTTCTTTACCGAATTCAGGCATAGCCATCAAGTAGTGATTAAAATATTTATAACGAGAAAAATTTTTTCTCTCAAAATAAAATTATCAATTCGATCCCAATTAATCGGAATAATAAATTTTGAACACGTAAAGTGACAATTATTATTTTGAGACAATGAGTAAATTATACTCTCTCCGTTTCATATTAAGTGTCGTTTTAGCAAAATGAAAAATTTCAAAATAAGTGTCGTTCTCACATTTCAATGCACTTCTTGTCCAAAGTTTTCAAAATTACCATTGAAAGAATTAATATTATTGGTGGATATTTTTTTAATGGAGTTGGTTGAGGATATTCAAGTAATTTTATTATCCTATTTAAGAGTTTCTTAAACTATGTGCAAAGTGTAGAATGACACTTATTTTGGAATAGAGGGAGTACAAATCAACTGCATATTGAAGGCTATCTTATTTAATTTTTTCAAAGATATCAATTCCATTTGATGTTTGGAATGGATAGAAATGAAATGGAACTCTCTCCTCGAAGAAAAAGAGTATAAAAGTAAAACACACAACAAATTTCCAGTTGAAACAAGCACTCCAATTCATTGGAGGCTTAAAATGGAATCTGAATATATATATCTATATATACTAGTGATGTTTCGTCGCGCAATGCGCAACCCTGGCCCAATATATGTGTAGATCTTAGAAATGTTTGTATCTGAAAAAAAGTATTTTATATTTGGCCCGATATATTTTAGAAATTTTTGAAGAATTTAGAAATGTTTTATAAGTGTGATCATAGAAATGCTTGTATTTGGTATAAAAAGAAATTGTGTTTGGTCCGGTACATTTTAGAAATGTTTGAAGATTTTAGAAATGTTTTATAAGTGTTACTTTTTAAATATAAATAAACTTGATCAAATATATGTCTTGAAGTAAATGCTAGAGAAAATATGAAAGCATGCCAATAAGTTTAAATATTAGTAAGATAATTTATTGATGTTCTCCATTGGTTGTGCCAAATCAATACTTAGTTTTGGAGATTTATAATAGCTTTGTAGTAAGCTTCCTCCCAAGGGTATACGCTTAATTGTTGGAACCATTTCTTCCAAAAGTTTATAGGTAGTAAAATATCAAAAATATGATTTTGAAACTGGTTAATTGTTGAAACTGGTTGATCACAAATATGAGAATGAAAATAATGTAAATTTGCATAGGTTTCAAGTTATAGCAAAAAAGAACTCACCTCACTATGGCAAAAATTAAGAAAAAAAAAGAAATTAAAAGATAGCCCATTAAGAATTGAGAAATTTATTTGTATAAAAACACAAATAAACGTAGAAACACCATTCCTTCCCTCTCCACCTCAAATTCATAAAAGGCTTCCCCATAAATTAATTAGAAGAAGCGACATGAACTATTTATATGATGAGGAACTAAAAAAAGTCCAAAAATCAAATCCAAAAAAGTATATTCTTGAAAGCCTGAACACAAAAAAAAAAACGCGCTACATTTGTAAATAAAATAATAATAATAATAATAATAATAATAATAATAATAATAATAATAATAATAATTAGTCAATTGGGAGTATGAAACAAAATCAAAGCAATTAAACAAAAAAAAACACACTTCATAATTGACCATATACGAAAAAAAAACCAAGACTCCATAATTAAAAAAAGAAACCACCCTAATTGAATAAAATATAAAAAAAATTAAAAAAACCACATTATGTAACAAAAAACCCAATTAATGAATTCAATTCAAACAGAACTAAAATCATACAAAAATTCTAGGCTAACTAACCATATAAGAAATCACATCATATTACATGACAACGGTTACGGTAGCTGTAACAGATGGACGCATAAAAATAATAGTAATAACACTATTCTTGAATGGGAAAAATAAAAAATAATAAAAGCCAAACAAATGATCTGTTGAAATAAAATCTTTTAAATTTTAATACCTGTAATTGCACCACCACAACGGCCGAAGCAAGATCAATGAGAATTATTTTTTTTCCCTTTGTGTTTATATATAGAGGTAAAGAGAATATTTTTTGAAATCGAAATTTTATCCGATTAGGATGTAATTGATCATCACTAATGAAAAGATTGAACATGCTAATTGGAATGGAGTATATTTCACCACATATTCTCAATTGATGATTGATGAGGAATTTATTGTTTTTTTTTTTTTATTGTGGAGAAGGGATTGATTTGGATTTTTAGTAGAGATAGGGATGAGGATTTGGATTTTTTATGAACTCTTGGTTTTTTTTTGGGATAATAAGAGGTGGAGGTGGATTTGGTCTGCATTTACCTTTTAAGTCTAGGAGATGTGGAAATAAAAATTTATTTTAAAAATACGATGTGAAAATGGCACATGGTAAATGGTTGTACTTTCTCTTAAGTGTGGTTTTTGTTTTTAATATAGTAAGATATATATATATATATATATATATATATATATATAGATCATGAATTTAGAAAATCCAAACAATTTTTTAAGTTTCGAGTGGGAGGCGCAACTTACAGTAAAAAAGAAGATAATATTTGTGCAAAAGTATTGACCAACGAAGCAGTTGCTTATTTGTAGATGACAAAGGGACGTTGCCCCAAGTTCCGTATTGTCGAAATGAGGCTGAAGCTATTCGCGTCTTTACAGCTAAAATAATGATTATTAGCTCTTGTTTTAAACCCCAAAAAAGAAAGAAGAAAACAAGAGGGTGGAATATTAATTGCTCACTAATTTAACGGTAGACGGGAAATATAGGGGCTTTCATTTTCGTTGCTGTTTTCTCTCAAACATCATCAATTGGTGTAAACTGTAAAGCCTATATGATTGTTTGGGCCTCCAATTGGATCCATGGCGCGGAAGGTAGGTGAGGCGATTCTGTAAATGGTGATCAGCAAATTAATGAAATGATGATTATTATAACTTTCTATGGACAACTTTAGGTTTGACATGCGGTTTAAAAAGTGTTTCAAATATAAATTTATTATATGAATGATTATTTATTTTTATTTTTTTTTAGGTGATGCTGGGAACCCCAATGATTATTTGAATATAAAATAATATGCTCTTGGTTCTAAAAAAAATTATATTAAATTTCAAGATTTATATTATTTTAGTACAAATTTAAAAACTCTATATTGTTTTTTTACAAAAAAAAAACAGAAGGAGTATTTTTATTCACCACAATTGATTTGCAGTTTTATACTCCCTGTGTCCCATTATTGTTGTCCAGTTTGAGTTTTTATTTTTAGTTCAAATTGTACTAAATGTAAAATCTCAAATTGGACAATAATTTTGGGACAGAGAGAATATTCATTAGCTGCATTATTCTCTATTCCATCTTTTTTGGATGGTCTTTCAAGATATTAAATATAGTTTATGTGGGTTTTCGTTGTGTATGAAAATTGTGAAGTATTCTAAACAGACATCTCTCATTCAGATGAATTTCTTTCATTTCGCACCTTTCTTTAACAATGGAATAAATCAATTTTAAGATGCACAAACATGAAGCGAGTGAGATGCATGTCTGATTTCTGAATATGGATAATAAAAGTAATTAATCTACGATAGTATCGTTTGTTTATTTTGTTACAAATTTTCATTTGTTCTCTCTCTCATAAATACCACTAAGATAATCATCTTAATTAAAGGTGTTCCCCGCAGTGTCGTTTTTGCTAAAGAATCTTATTAGGACCACATTAATGTAATGTAACCTTGGATTAATTGACGTCAAATCAAAATACATATCCATCATTTTCATTACCATCGTCGTCGTCATAATTAGCTTCTATTTCATATTTCATCTTCTTTTTTTTTCTGTTACATATAAAAAAAAAAGAAAGAAAGAAAGAACTGTTCCTCAACTCCGTATGAAAACGGCACAAGT